TTTAATACTGGTAGTTTTTTTTAAAGGGAAAATACACAAAACGTACATCTGAAAATATATTTTCACACATTTAAAATGGGGCTCAATGGCTCAATATGGCACCAAAAGTTATCAAGCAAATTAGTGACAGAACAGGATATTTTTCGCAGCATCTTTTAATATAAGGAATACATTAACAATTTATGTACTAGAGTACTTTGTTTAATTGCACAATTTTCAAATATTTCAAGTGTTTAAATTAATGAAACTTTTATCACTTAAGCATCAAACAAAGTATCAACCGTCATCTTGAACTCCACCTCAAATATTTCATTGTCGCAGATAAGTCAGTATTCGGTATTCAAACAGAACTTAGTTGACACCTTCAGAACTCTGGTACCCAAAGTGCGTTGATATGTAGCTAGCATATTAACGTACTTTGGGGACAATTTCTCGATGTTGACACAAAAATGTGCTGGACACGAAAGTGCGATGCGAAGTGCAACGCACTTTGGGATAGGACCTCAAAGTGCGCTGTATCAGTGCTAAAATGTTCTGACGGCGAATACTTAATAAATCAATTAAGCTTTTTTACAAAATATTTCAGTCATTAATTATTCTGCCAGGGGAACACATACGTATGATAACATCTTTTTAAACATAGGATATAACCATAAGTTATTCTGTTCCGCCGGCGATACATTTACTTTTTACAATATATCACAATTCTTAACACCCTTGCAAAATTTTGTCAAATGCATTTCAATAACATCAGTATCATCAAATAATAATACTCATTTTAATTGTTCCGCCAGCGGTACAGAAGTATGATTCCATCTAATGATTAAAATAAGATAAAAACATAAATAATCCTGTTCCGCCGGCGGATCATTTACTTATTACAAGATATCACAATTCTTGCAAGGTTTAATAATAAATAATTCTGAAAGTAACATCATTAATAATAAAATTCATTTAAGATTGTTGCGCCAGCGCTACAGAAAAATGAGTTTATTTAATTTAGATATTATCATAAATGATTCTGTTCCGCTGGGGGAACACTTACTTTTTGCAAAATATAACAAATCTTAACAACCTTTTAAGAGTCTATCCAAAAATAAAATATCTGAAAGTAACATAATAGAATTCACTTGATATTGTCTGTCAGTGGTACAAAAATAACGGTATGATTCCAACAAATGAAAAACAGATAAAATCATGAATGATACTGTTCCATTTTTGGATTCTTGCTTCTATTGTAAAGAACTGTTTAATGTTCCGCCGGCGGAACAAATCATGATTCATTTATAATACATGTAGTATTCGAATGTTTTATCACAAATTGAATATATTTGTGTGTTCGATATATTTTCAGTTGTACTTTTGGTGTACTAGTATTTTCCCTTAAAATACTAAAATAGCTGATAATTGCCTTTTTCATCTGTGGATATTCCTTTATTAAAATGGATGGAGTTTAGGGTTCAATATCGCACTACCATAGTTTGATCACATAAGGACGTAGTTTTAATATCCTATTTGCCCAAGTTAGATCTAAACTAGCTGCTATCAGAAGGGTTTCACCATCCACGTTTTCTACAAAATTAGTGTTTGTTTTCGTTATAATTATTATAGAAGAAATATTCCAAAAGTCTTTATGAATATTTAATAAGAATAAACATTTATTTTGTAAACATTTACATATTATTGGGCACTTTTTCAGGGTTTGTGTCCGGCACCTTCCAAGAAAATGGCAAATCGTTGGAAAACTTTTTATTCCGTGAAGACACTGACCAACGTTTTAGTACGGGGAAGACTCCAGTACTCACTACTCAAGACGACAGGTCCAAGAGCAGTTTGTCTGGGTTTTCATTAAGGTTAGATTCTCCAGAGCCAACCATTATGCCGAGAGACGAGCCTGTTATATTTTCAAGGCAAGAACCTACCGTTTTTCCACGCTCTGAGCCAATGTTCAAGCCCGCACAGGTACCCGTCATCAAAACAAGTCATGAGCCAGTCCAGACGATAAATGAGCCCGTATCAGAATATGTAACAAAGCTTGAACCAGTCAGTGTTTCGAAGCTCCTGAAACAGTATCCTAAAAGTAGTGCGAGACAGTCGCAACCTGTGTACAACGAACAAAGCACGACAGTACCGAATGGGCATGGCAGGTTTCCAAGAAGTTCAAGCTCGAGTTCCTTTACTGAGAACAGGTCTGGTCAGATGGAGAATGACCGATGTCCAAGAAGTCTCAGCTCAAGCTCTTTCAGTGCGACAAGATCTGTTTCGAGTGAAAGGATCCGATCAACCAGTAACCTGAGTGCCTTCAGAGATAGGATGTCTGGTCAGGGAGAGCGTTCCCAGATGACAAGAAACTGGAGCTCGAGTTCTTTGAATAGCGTACAGAATGGTTCAAGGCCTCACTCTGCAGTCTCCGACCGTGAAAGTCCAATGCCGCCTGTAAATCAAAGTCTTCAAAACAGCGATTACCTTGAAATTCCGAAAAAGACGTTCGAATAGTCGAATAATCAGATTTGAAAAGAACATTATAATGCAAATGACTAAACAAAACTGAAATATAAAACGAGAACAACTTGATAAACATACAAAATATTATGAATTTAAAAAGTGTCAAAATGGACTATAAAAGGATAAAAAAGAAACATATACTTAATTATGGATTTAAAATAAATATGTGCAAACAAATATTTCAACAATATGTGATGAAACATGTAGATCGGAAGTAAATACATTTAAATCGGTAGTCAATAGATGTAAAAAAGATTAAAAAAATATAAATAAAGAGTTTTTTAAACGATGATGATTACAATAGAAACACCCTTATGTTACTCTGTTTTATATGTAACATGTATATAGTTATGTATGTTACGAGTGTATTATCTTACTTAATTGCACATTTTTCCTTTTATTATTTAACAAAGAAAGTTACTTATATAATCTGTGAATTATTTCTAACGCACTGGTATAAAATCGAAATATATATCTTTTGTCACGCACACATTAATTATGAACATGTAAATATATATTTGTAATATGTAATACAAATAGTATGCAACGTGTCGATTCGTTATCGATAAGATTTCTTTTTATTTTAAGCACTTGTGATAATGTAAAACTTATACGTGTGTTTTGTTCCTTTCTTTTAGACGAATTATAATGCGTGCTTCTAATAATAGTAACCATCTAGTATCTCCTCGTATTAATAAACCCATCATCAAGACTAATACATGTACGATTTATATCACTTCATTTATATTTTTTCTGCATTTAAGGCAAGCAATTGTTTCTTTTAACTTACTACTGACTCAAATATAATTCTGTTTACATTGTTATTAAAAATCAGATCATTTAGTTATGTTCTAAAACCTAAGATTTACTTACTTTTTGTTCCAAATCATCAAGAATATCTGCATCTAACTTATGACAATACTTTCTTAACATCTTCGGATGTCTCAGATTCGAACCGCCCGCCCTCCCTCTGATTTTATATCATTTATGTCATGAAATTTTGTCTGATTGCCGTTACTCAAGAACAGTAAAAGTATTTTTAATCAGTAAAAAATGTCGTCAACATATAGGTTTGAACCAGTTAACATATTGTACAGAAACTTTACACTGGAAAAGCTTAGGCTGTCGAGTCTTGGTCGCCCGAAGGTATTTTCTTAACGACTCTTTTTATTCTGAACCCGTTCAATGACATTTCAATGTTTATAACTTTTTTTCGGAGCATATTTTTCCATAATACTTTATTACAAATAAATAATAGAAAATGAGCAAAGTAAGATGTTCTGTGTTCAGCAATTGAAAAGAATGTATTTTGCTCCTGAAAAATACATCATAATTCTAAGTCTGATGGGGGCGTTTGGAACGTACAGGTGGATGTAGAGGACTTCTGTGATGTCTATATTTCTTTCATAAAAGATACAAAGCTTAGGTTGGATCATCTGTTTTCTCATTAAACGGGGACAGCATGAATTATCTTATATTGTTTAAATGGTCTATTTGATGTTATGACAAATTAAACTACGGTAACATTTGAGCCGCGCCATGACAAAACCAACATAATGGGTTTGCGACCAGCATGGATCAAGACCAGCCTGCGCATCCGGCAGTCTGATCAGGATCCATGCTGTTCGTTATCAGTTTCTCTACTTGTAATAGAGTTGGTTAGCGAACAGCATGGATTCTGATCAAACTGCGCGATGCGCAGGCTGGTCTGGATCCATGCTGGTCGCAAACGCATTACGTTGGTTTTGTCGTGACGCGGCTCATTTGTATGTTCGGAACTATGAAAATAAACATAAATTTATCGGTTTGTTGCACGTTGTTTTTGATGTTCTGCACATTTTTGTTGGTAAACATGTGATAATTTTGACATTACTTTAAGTAAGGAAGTCAGTAGTTACATCATTCAGATTCTGTTAGATGTATGTATGTATGAACAGTTTGTAACGTTGTTAACTAATATACATGTATTATCACTATTAAAAAGTTACTTACACATCTATATTGTTTTTAATTCTTTTTTGGACCCAAAGGTGATACAGAAATACAGTCAACTTTTGATCTGTCAGTGCCGTTTACATGTATATTATTAGTTAATTTAAAGATTTTTTGACACGTCATACGACCCTGTATAAAAGACTGTTTGCGTATACAACCCTAGCCGTATTATAAACATGAATTGTAAGATATAATATGACAGAGTAAAAATGATATAAATGTTATAAAACGGAAAATCACTTTTTAGCAAAGAAAATAGTTGCCGCCCATGGGCGGGTACCGGAGGGACGGATACTGATTTTAATCGCAAACACATGTCCTGGTTTATTGTACCATATTTATACCCCCACCATAGTTTGGGGGATATCATAATTGCTAGCAAATGACTGATAGGCTAACCCTTAGCTTGCTGGCGACAACTGATGTCCGCTCGTGCAAACCAAGATCAACTGGTATATAAATGAGCCACGTCACGACAAAACCAACAAAATGCGTTTGCAACCAGCATGTGTCCAGACCAGCCTGCGCATCGGCGCAGTCTGATCACGATCCATGCTGTTCGCTTACCAACTCTATAAGTAGAGAAACTGATGGCAAACAGCATGGATCCTGATCAGACTGCCTAGATTCGCAGGCTGGTCTGGATCCATACTGGTCGCAAACGCATTATGTTGGTTTTGTCATGACACGGCTCAAATACTAGTAGCGGCTGATCAAATGGTATGCAATGTTCGCTATTCTGTCAGTATATATTTTTGCAATTTCCTCTACAAATGATGAATGGTTTTGTCAAAATTGAAAGATGAACATGTCCAATTAATAAATTCAATGTTGAAAGGGTAAAACAAATTGTAACGAATATTTGTCAAACTGCAATGAAGTAAAAATGAAGACGACAGTCTGATTTTAGTTCTCATCCAATGTACCACTACTTGGAGGGAAGTAAAATATAGGACACAGACCGAATTCTATGCTACTTTAATTCCACAAATAAGTTTACTTTGTTCGTAGTTTCATAATAATTTATTTGCAAAAAAAAATTTAAGGTCAATGCGAGGCCGATGAGGTGAAACGGTGTGATCAAATATTAATAAAACTTTAACATCAAATCGCTATATATTCGTTTTAAAAGAATAACAGTGTTTTGACAAGATCATATTTTAATGTGAATGGGCATAACAAAGAAGGATTTAAATTTTTTAATTTAACTGTATAGCATATTGAGAATTATGTTATTCGCACCAGTTCACCTTATTTAATTGGCGTTGGTACTGTTAAAAGTATTTTTGTACTAAGTAAATGCTTCTTCGGTGAGTGGTTTTAACAAGTAATTATAAAGTCTCAGTATTAAATGTAAGACGTACTCCTTAAAATAAACACGGCCAGGAAAATTTAAAAAATCTTCTTTAGCTTGCTCGTTGATTGTGCTGACCCGGTTTTGATAGGGTGTATTTAGGTACTTATGGCGGCTCGAAGCTTGGGGAAAAGCTGACTTTGAAACCAATTCAGAGACAGTCTCCGGATGGAAATGTTTCACCTTCAGTTGCTTATAGCATGTGGTACATCGGCAAACAACTTACAACATTTATATAGAAAGGTTCAGTTGTTACAAATCAAATGAGAAACTGAGAAATTATCATGGTTACAGCTGAGAGTGAGATAGTATCGAAACACAAAACATCTTAATGATCTAAATGACCTATGGCTTTAAGATGATTCATTGAAAGTTCCTTCGTGCAGATCCGAGAAGTTATCACTCAAGCATTTCTAGACAGACAAGTTGAATGGCGCTGCAGTGAAACCGGAACAATGTCGGAAAGGAATTGTCATTTTTTGTCATTTATGAATATCTTAATAAATTAGTACATCACTTTACTAACTTACCGCCATCACTCACAATCCCTATTTGTCTTCCATTAATGTCAAACCCCCCGCGGGGAACGTAATATGATCTGACTTAGGAAGCTATAAAATACAAAAAACCCCCAAAATTTTTTAAAATTTACCCCCTGGTTTTGCCCTGTACGAATGATATGAAGGCCCCCAAGGTAAAAGGAAAACGAAGGTCCCCGAAAAAACCCCAAAGGGTGTTCCCATGCAGGATCGGGCCCCCGGACCTCAGGGGTGCCGTCGTGGTCTCTACTGAGCTCCCCACTTTTGGTGCCCCTTTTTGCCCTGTTGTTCCAAACAAATTGAAATCTTGTTTTTTAAGCAAAAAATAAAAATTTAAAATTACTCTAGCGGTTTTAAAAAAGTTTAATAAAAAGCTTATTTTTTTTAAATTTTATATTGAATGAGAGATGGCAAATTTTTTTAATTTTTTGTTATATAACCTATGAAAATCGGTCAACTAGCACATTAGTTTGATATCTGATTGATATGTCTTGAAATTCGTCTAGCCTGATTCATAACTTATTCGAAATACGTGGAGATTTACTACAGTTAAAGATTCTGTAACTCAAATTTTTCTTTGGTTTTAATTCATAAATATGATGCTCAAATGAATATTTATCAATAGTGTAAGTTCCAAAAAGCATTATTGGTAAAGGGATGTAATTTGAAACAAATTTTCAATAAAAAAAAATGAATGCATATATTTAAATGATTACTTACTCGCCGACTAAGTTGAACTAATTTAATATTGTATCAGTTATCTGTATGATTGTCAACGACAAACCGATTGGACAAGGCATGTTTTTCAAATCCCTTTTTTTCATTAATATTTATTTTCATATTTATTTATTTATCTATTTTATTTATTTGTTTATTTATTTTATCTTTGCATGGCTTAACACGTGACTGAAATTACCTTATATCTACATGGGTATCGTCCTTTACAACTGTTTCAACGCAAAATTGTACTCATTTATAAGTTTGTTTTCCACGCTACACACAACTTTCCTAAATAAATTAACCATGAGTGACACAAACATGCATAAATTTGAACATCATTGTATCTCATACAACAATAGGTGAACATGTTGTGCAAGTTACATTTATGACGCTTTATGCAAATTGAAATAAACTCTTGAAAATTTAAAATACAACGAAACTATTAAAATGAAAATTATAACCCCAAGATCATTTGTAGATGTCAAGCATTTGCTTTGGTAGTCGATTTTTATCACAAAACCATGGAAGCTGATTTACTCGCCTTGTGTCGATTTTCGCTGTTTCGCCACAAAAAAAGGGCAAAACAAAGATATATCTCTGTTCTAAAGATGTTTCTTGTTATGAAGAAATTATGCTCAAGAGATTATCAGAAATGATTGGTTAAAGACTAAAGTATTTGTATAATTTCATTTTACGGTCTAAAAGAAGCTATTACCATTGAAATTGCAGTAGGGTGAAACATTATTTTTAAAGATCAACAATATATTAAACTTTTGAAGAATTTCTGAGGTCTTTGTTATCATTTTTCGTGTTCTTTGCAGTATGTGTATTGGCCTTTATCGGTCCTGTGGCAGTATTAATTGGTTCTTATGTCATCTTCTGCAGTTATTAATTGGGGTCCTTTGTCGGTCTTTGTATAGTATTAATTGATCTTGTCGATCTTTGTATTTGAACAGACCTGTGTTTGATGCGCTTGGTCATTTTCAACTACATATTTACTGTCTTGGGAAATGGCCTTGTTAACAAATGCTTTCGTTGACGCATTAAAATATAGTATGTTTAAACAGTTTTAATTTGCCTCAGCACACTGAATTTTTAAAGATTGTAAAATACACGGCTGGAATTATGACGTCAATTATGCACACGATGACCTTTATGTTTAATTTTTCATCAGATTATTATTAAAGTAGACGAAACATTTAATCTAAATGTTCCCTAAAACCATAATTTAAACATTATACATTTCATATTTGCCCCTTTTAAAGAAGTAAAAAATGTTTATGAGGCATAATGTGCCTTTAAACAAATAAAAATTCATTTTTTTAACTGCGAAATAGAATGGTTAAAAAACTGCAAACGGTAATTTGATAAATCGTATCTTCTCAGCCCTTTCCATATTATTATTATTATTATTATTATTATTATTATTATTATTATTATTATTGCATGTTTTATTATTATTGTTAATAGCCGCGATGTTCCGTTCAACCAGTCTTGATCCAGTCCATCAAGATAAAGGTAATAAAGTGCGACTTTTGTTCTGTAAAATGACTAATATGTGTACTTTTTATGGTTTAAAGTTTTAATTTTTTAATATTTTATTATAATTTAAGAGAATTGGGGTAAATTGGGGGGACACAGGGTGAAAAAGTAAAACAAATTTTTAAAATTTTTAACAACAGACCGATTTTTTTATTTGAAATAAAAATAAACCGTTTTTTAAAAGAAAACGTTTGCTGTTGACTTATGAAAAAGAAGGGGCTTAAATACTAAATAAATTTATTTAGAATGGTATATATTCAATATAAAATGTACCCAATTCACCTAGTTTGTTTAACATTGTTGTTGTATACCAGGAATGACAGTAAGTATTAAATGCTTTCCCTCGGTAAGAGAAAAGACTGGTGTAATTTGCTGAAACACGAATCTTAAAATAAATCGCGGGGGTCAGAGAGTATCTCACACCCATTCCGCAAAAGTCTTCAGTTGTAAATTGCCATAAGACATTCAGGCGCGATCATATTTTTACAGGGGGAGTTCAATATTTAACAAGGGGTAATACATTGACATTCTAGTTCCAAGATTTTGCGTGGTTTAACCCTACGGGCATTCCCGTCTGCGGTGACATTCTTCCCCCCAGCTGTTTCCACCCCAAAGATAAAAAAAATTTAGCCCCCCCCCCTCCCGCCTTCCCACACGCACACGCTCACACAACCCCCTTGGAATCAGTGTACGAATGCATGAAACAATCATTCTTGTTAATTGTTCTATATGGGATATTTATCGACTCAATATATTTCCTTCGCAATTTACAACACAATGGTGACAATTTTAATTACCTTAAAAGAGCTCCAGTTAGGTTAAAATCCTAAAAACATAAAGTTTGAATTCTTACATAGATCAAGTAGAAAAAAAAAAACTGCAAAAGATAATTAAAGAAAAATGTAATCAGAATTATAAATCCAAATATCGAATCCTAGCCCGATAACATTTACTAACAATAGTGGGAAAAAACGTAACAAACGTTTTTCATTTTTGGCGGCATTTTGCATAAAAAAATGTTATTTTGGGGCAAGTAGAGATTTAAAAATTGTATTTTAAAAAAAATAAATACTTTTTATGCTTAACTATTTTATCCGTTAAATAAAAATCCCACTAAACAGCTTATATTCTTCAAGGTAAAAAATTTAAAATTCAGATAAAGGTTAAATATTTTGTACAGTAGTTCATATACCGGTTAAAAAAGGTTTAACCAGTAAATTTATTTGATTAAAATTTCCAGAAAATGTTTCACTTGAAATACAGTAAATTTAAAAAAACTTTTAAAACATTTTCATTTAACTTTAGACGAAAGCAGGGGTGTACTTTAAACCTACCCTGTACGCTCCCCCCTTTAAACTCGCCAGTACTTGATCGGAGGGTTATAAAAATGCTATTTTCAAAACTAGACCTCAGATATTTATTGGTCATAAATCTGGCGTAGAATGCGTACCGAGTTCAATGTAAATACCTAAATCCAAACGGATCTAAGAATGAAAAAAATATTCATAATTTTAAGTCCTGTCCTAAAGGTTGTAAAAAAGAAATTCTGATTTTTCTTCCAATTTTTTGGGGAAGATTTTGGCAGACACAATTCCAGAGATTCGAGTTTGAAGACAAGAAGGAAAACTTATTATAATTATAGATCCAAGAGTTAAATCTGACAATAAAGATATCCGTTCAATACAGTTTAATACTGCATATCTGTAACGTCTCATTTCATGGGATTATCGTGACATTTATACAGATATAAAGGTATATATACGCGGCTGATTTCCCCCCTTTTTCTCAAAAAAGCCTACTGTATTATAAATCCGTTATAAAGATTCTTACATCCTAGCGGTTCGGATGATATATGCAAATGACCGTTTTAAATACGGTCATATAACCTGTCAAAAACTGTATAACTTATAATTTAAGTTCATATAAGAGCAAGAACATGTCACTTTTTATTCACATATAACCATCTTTATTCACATAATTTGATTTAAATCTATTAAATTTACTTCATACTAGACAGTCTCTGCACGTGACTGCAATTATTAAGACATATTTGTTCATTACATCTGTTTCCCCACATACTTTACTGAATATATTTTCTTTTTTTCTCGTAAAATATAAAAAGGCACAGCTCTGACAATATTTCCTAATAAATTCATATAGAGTGACACATAAATTCGAACTCCATTTGTATCTTTTACAATAATAGGTAATTAATTGCTGCGCGATAGCTCTATACATTTGTAAATTTGCAAGAGAGAAGATAAACACTGACAACTACGAGTATTTGCTTGAAAATTTAGCATAAAACGAAACTAACAGATAACTTTATATATTATACGGGAACGTTAATGTGGTATTTTTTATATTTTTTTTTATCATGCAACTGCCATGGCAACGGCCCGATAGCACTTGCCTGATATTTATTTTTGATATCGGCCCATTTCATTGGACTTTTTTCTATAGCTTATATATTCTCAGTTGTATCAGTCTTAGAGTAATAAATACTTAGGCCCCCTTACTATTGTTTCATTTTCAAGTACGACGAAATTAGATAGCTTATAGTTAAGCAGAACGTCCTTGGCTATTAATCTATTATTCATATCTTATCCGAAGACTGACGGAAAGGGCCGAACAGTTGAGACTGTACCATATTAATAAGTGACGTCATAATTTGTTTCGCAAATGACATCATCGATGCCCACGTCATTTCATAAACATAATAAACAGGCTAGACGATTTCTTTCTTTTTTCTTTTTATTTTTTTTATTTAGTCTATTTTATTATATTTATTTAGTTTGAGAATGTGTAGGCCTTAATGTTTACATTGTTTGCTGATTTGACTATTCTATGTTTGAAACTGAAATTATGCCTTTATGGTGAACTTTTGAGTGAAAAGAAAGAGTAGACTATCTTCAGAGTTATTCATATCGATGTTAAGGAAGGTAAGAATCTTATTTTATTATATTCTGTGGTATCTAATGAAATAATCCAGTAGGGAGAAAAAATTGCCACCATTTACAAGAAGTGATTCGAACTTTCAAGGGCGGGGAAATTATTTCTTTAAAGAATGCCTCTGTATATAGAGTCACAGTACCTGTGCTCGACCAGCCCAGTGCTCGACCAATACTTCTATTTGTGTATAGTGGAGCCCCATTGTATCGTGCTATTCATTGTATCGATCTATTTACAAATCTTTCGATTTTTTTGCAAAATGCAGTAGCTACTGATTGCTAACAGTTACAAAAGTGTCACGAAAATCTTTCGCATTTGTTTTGTGCCATAAAAACGGTCAAAAACAGGTTTCCAGTACCGTCAGACTTTGTGCATAATAAATGGACTTATAAATAGTGTGTTCTTATTAAAAAACACATTTACTGTCTGTTGAAAGTTCCTAACTTTATGCTGACATTTTAAAACAGACATCTTTGATTCTAATTGACTGAAAAATATAGCATAAAGATGCGTCAGCCTTCCAAAACTTAGATTAACTGAGCGATTCTCACAATGCATCGATATAATGGCGTGACCTAATTCTTCAACCTGTTTGACATGTCTGTAAATAACTGTTTATTTCAAAGCTAAAAACTATATATCAGTGGTGTTTGCCATGTAATATTTTTGACAAAAGAATCAAAATAAATGATACAAAATAAAGATTCAGGGAAATTTAATGTTTTTTAACTGCAGTTGTGATTTATAGGTTAATAGATCGATACAACGGGGTTCCAGGCAACGATTTATGCATAAAAGTGAAAAAACCCTGGGAATTTGATTGTGCTTTTTGTACCTGACCTGTAACCTTTACACCATGTACAAGTACTCCAACTTTGGTAGAAGATTGGCCATTTTGCAGACAATATTTAACAGTACAAAAATACATTTCTATAATAAAAGTAGCAGTAAAACTATTTAAAACACTGAAATAATGGTAATTTAGGGCAAATGTGGAAAATACTTTGTTTAATTGCCTTTACTCTTATGATTCCAATTGATTTCCATAGGAAAGGTGTTCAAAAATTATCAAAACCCTGCTTTCCATAAAAGGCAGTGGCTATGAACATGTAAACAAATATGGCAGCTGTACGGAAACAAATCGGGAACACACCACTAAAAGCATAGACCATTGTATTTTACAACACTTATTACACTTAACTATGTTTGCAGAGTGATTTTAGTAAAAGAAATATGAGAATTAGTAATTTCAAACACCCCAGTTTATGTAAATTCCAAAACTCTTATAAACACTTTATTTCCTTTGTATCATATTTGCTCTCATATTTTCATCTATAGACACTAAAACATAAATGTTTCAAAATATTTTTGAAATAGAATTGTTGAACATAAAAAGTCATATCTGTTTTTAAAAAATAAAAGTTCTGATAGAGATAAAACCACCTGGTCGAGCACTGGTTTGGTTGTCTTAAAAAATATAGTGGTTTTTTACCCTATATACAACTCCGTGGTAAATTGTATCCTAATCTGTGTTATTAAAACGATTTAGCTTATTGTGAGTTTGAAAGGTCCAGCTTTGTAACAAAAATAAGTTTCCCAGCAAACGTTTTGTTCTGAAAGAGTTTTAATGTGATTTTGTGAAAAACTGGTTGACCACTGTATCGGACTAATGTTCAAAATTAAGCAAAACGATACTTGCTTTGTAACAAATAATTTTGTTTGATTTTTATATCTTTAGTGATTATGCAGAGTTTAAATTAATTTTGTTCAACAAAAATTTCGCTATGCATTAACAGTAAACCTGGTCCAATATTTTTATGAAAGGGGATTAGTTTGAAGAAAAGTTCTATCATTTCAAATAAATGAGCCGTGCCATGACAAAACCAACATAATGGGTTTGCGACCAGCATACATCCCTGCTCATCCGCGCAGTCTGATCAGGCTTACAAACCATATAACAAGTAGAGAAACTGATAGCGAACAGCTGCGCGGATGCGCAGGCTGGTCTGGATCCATGCTGGTCGCAAACCCATTATGTTGGTTTTGTCATGGCACGGCTAAAATAGTTTTGGAATTAAATCTGTAATACGAGTTTCAGCAAAAGTGGAAATATGAGAGGAAATACAGTATCAAAAACGGATTTAAAAATCATCCACACTTTTGAGTTATGAGCTCTTGGAAAGGACCTATAAGAGTAGATAATTTACTTTCATGGATAATTTAGTTAATACATTATAAGAAGGAATGAGATCCCTATTTTTATTGTGCAATTATAATTTTCTTTACTCATACAATGGTAAAGAAAATTATGTAAATTGTGTTTACTAGTTTCTTTTCCCTTCTTTGCCTAATTATTAAAATGAAATGTCTTTAAGGAGTGCAAATTACCTTTAATTTCTTTCTCGTATACTTAATTAGGATATCGAATAAATAGATATGGTTTGAATGGTCCAATATGGTTATATAAGTATTCTAGCTGTTTCATTCCCGAAATGTACAGTTCATGTTAAATATTATATGTATATAGATTATAGATATTATAAACAATACCGTGGACATGTAGGCACATCATTTCAGACTTCAAGAGTTTCTTGATGCTTGTTAAGTATACAATAACAACATCATATAACATCTTTCAAATTATAAACAATACAGTAAAACGTTAAAAAAAATAAATTAAGACATAAGAAATATGATTATAAAAATTGTTTCCCTATATTTGTAAATGTCTTATGATTGTAAAAATTAAATGTTGCATTTAATTTTGTCTATATAGGTGCGTATCAGAATAATTATTATAGAATTATAAAAAATTACAACAATGAAGGGTTGTAAACGTGAAGATAAACAAGAAAATTTAATTGCACACTGAAAACTTAATATTTAATTAATTAAATGTCACTAAACATTATTCATCTGTGTGGTAGTGAAATAATGTGGTAAGGTCGTTGCGTGCGCATCTTTTTAAGCGTTTCAACTTCCGAAATTCAACCTGTTTAGGACAAGTGCTTTTATTTGTTTCCATATATCGTCAGCAATGTTCATGGAATTGTTTTAATCTGCCATATTGCATAATTCATTATACAGGAATCGCCTGAACTTTGTGCTAGTTGTGTTATAATAAGATAATTAGTGCCACGTGAGCTTACAACTTATAAAGCTTATAAGTTATAAACATAATTCTATTTTTTAATAAGAATGAGTTGAACCATATAGTTGCTCATAAAATGTAAAAAAAAACACCATATTCTAAATCAAATGAATTAATTAATTTGCGGCCGTTAAACAGATTTTAATATGTCTATCATCCTTGTTTTAATGAAGGTTTTATTAGGCCAGAGTCAATAAACCAAAGTGCATTTGCATTTAAAGTGAATTAAAAAAAAACGACTTTACATTGTAATATCTACATGCGTCATAATATTATAATCCCATTATTAACCGTGAAAATATTGTTAAAAATGGATACATATAAACTTCTGTTGACATCGATTACAAGAAATTGATTTAAAATTGATCACTGTTTTTCTCTGGTCACATGTTATGAAACGTTATTGGTCTTACCAAACAGTGGACAATTGAATGAACTTATAAAATGCTAGTCAACCTGGGACAATGCTTCATTTATTGACTGGACAGCAATGAAATTTCGGACGAAGGAACTATACAGACGATTTTCGGAATATGTCGTCTGCTTCTTTGTTATCACACATGGCATTGGAGGTAAGAATTTATATTAATATCATATTTGTAAAGATCACCATTGTTGTTGTTGTTTAAGTTGTTGTTTTATTTTGTCATTTAAGTTATTTGTCTTCACATTTTTCTTCTTGTACTTCTTTTTCTTTCACTTCTTTTTCTTCTTCTTCTTCTTCTTAATATTATTATTTTTTTTTTATTATTATTATTATTATTATTATTATTATTATTATTATTATTATTATTATAGTATTATTGTTACCATCATAATCATCATCATCATTGTTATTTTTATTAATATTATTATATATAATATTACTATTATTTTCATCATCTTTATTTATTACTATCTTAATTCATGTAACATTTTGTCTACAAATTTTTGTTGCATATGCTTGTATTTCATTATTAACTTCTTTAGTTTTCTCTAAAATCAGTTGTTAAGTTTTCATCATTTCCTATATTTTGCAGATATGACAAAAATACGTGCAGTTGAGACTGTACATGTTAAATATAAATATATGAAAAAATAATCATTTAACATGAAGTCCTAAAATAAGAATGACAGATGTATGCACTTAAAGTTACGACTAAAAATTCAAAGTCTCAAAAGGCAAAATTATAAAATATCTCAATTCAACAGATAACGTTGTTCATTGACATTCAAAATAATGCAAATTTTACACAAATAAAAACAAACAAAAAACAACTGTACACCTAAATAACAGACAAAACAAAACACATTGTTGTGTATACATACTTTTTACGTATAAAATCAGATTGTTTTCAATTTTAAGCCGCTACAAAAAATATAAGTAATCTTCTTAAAATTTGAACAAAGGTTTTAGTTTGTCTATGCATTAAGAAAAGAAATTGAGCCGCGTCACGACAAAACCAACATAATGCGTTTGCGATCAGCATGGATCCAGACCAGCCTGCGCATCCGCGCAGTCTGATCAGGATCCATGCTGTTCGCTTACAAACCCTAGAACAAGAAGAGAAACTGATAGCGAACAGCATGGATCCTGATCAGACTGCGCGGATTCGCAAGCTGGTCTGGATCCATGCTGGTCGCAAACCCATTATGTTCGTTTTGTCGTGACGCGGCTCAAATGTTTCATATAACCATATAAACACCATATTGCTTTTTAATTTAAGCGTTTTTGTGCATCGAAAATAAATTGATATTGAATAAATTTTGATAACGTTGTCATACATAAATTTGTCAACAACAAATACTTGTCAAATTTTACAAGCTATCACGTAATATAACAAAACGGTCGTTGTGTCAAACGGACTTACATTATTTTAATCGTTATCAGACATAAACAAATGTACACCTTTATTGCCTACGAAATTAAGCATTAAAGAAAGCAATACGTCATATTTTGTACAAAAGAAAAGAAAAGAAGAAAAAAAACAAGATATGGCTCAAAATAACATATTGAGCAACAAACAGACGAGACACTTGCAAAATTACGGGTTGTTCATTTAACGCCATCACATATAACGTTTGAATTACACAATGAAGTAAAAAAAACTTACTGGCATGTATGAAATGCAAACCTTAAATGTTAAGGTATTCATACGAAAGCATACGATAGTTCTTCGAGCATTTGAATGACATTTTCAATACTGTTATAAATTGTTAAATGCGAAATCGAAATCTTTACAAATAACAAATGTGAATATTTGTTGAAATAACAGTATTTTTTTAGTTTCTAAAAAAAAATCTAAGGGAGGTATCTTATATAATCAAGATGCCGACGCATATACTACATGTATATTAAAATGCAAAAATAATGTTATCACTACAATTTTGTTCCATTATATTACGTAAAATCGAATTTGGAAAGCAAAAAGCACAGTCGAAAAGGAGAATGTAATAAAACTGTCTAGCATACAATGTATATACGAAATTTTAATTCAAAATTAAAACCTTTTTTTATAGAATAATGACTGTATTTTTAGGTTTGTATGAATCATTTGCGATACTTGCATGTTTACGCTTCTAGTTGGTGAGAAGGAAACTATATCTTATTATCATTCTATACACGTAAGTTTAGATTTAATTTTTTTGTCACAACTTCTCTGTAACGGTCATAGGACGATTTCCTTGAATCATTTCGAGAACGAAAGGGCACCTGAGGAATCACCACCAAACTTATGTTAGCTATAGCCAGCCTAAAGTAAATAAACGGCAACTCCAAGTGCTCACAGCGCTGAGGGGCCAGTGGCTTGCAATCAGATACATTCACTACTCCGCCATGGAGGCCCCTCCCCTACGTTATAATTATAAAGTATATATGTAATATATAATTCGTTTATCCGGTGATGGCTCTAATCAAAATGTTTTATAGAATTCTGTTGTGTTTTTGTTGTTGCTTTTTTTTTGGGGGGGGGGGGGGTCTGAGAAATACCCAGATCTATTAGTACATGTATAAACTGAATATTTAATATTCATCTAAAATTAGATTAGCTTTATATAAATGTGCGATATTCTGACATTTTACTTACTTACACGAAAGAAAGAAAAACTAAAGAAAGGATGATTCTTACCAAAAATATAAGAAGTCAAATTTCACAATGTGTGAATTTGTTTTAATGAGTTTTAATTTGTCAAAGAAAACTGTTCAGACAGATTGCCCTTCTGACTTGTCTACTGTATAGTACTTGTATTGGACGACATCAAGGCCGGTTTAAACAAGAAAAGAAAAAATTAGAAAATATATGAAAAATAAAATTTCGATTTAAATATAGTCAGAATATAATGATACACATTTTATCAAAACAAACATTTTTTTTTCCAATTTCATCATATTTCTGTCAAATTATAGCATCACAAAGTATTCTCTGTCCTTACTGAAATTTACTGAAAATTAAGCAATTTCTCAATAAAAGATAAAGAAACCTATGAACAAACTTTCAAATCTAAAGATGCATATTTATGAATTTAAAAAAATCGCAATTAATAAACACACGCACGTAACATTGGATAATTTAACTAGTGTTTTCAGTTGCAAAAAATAACGTTCTTTTCACATATGTTTCTATGCACATTTGTACTTAACAACTGAACAACTTGAACAACTTGAAAATGTCAACCAGAAATATATTTTCTGGAACACGTAATAACCGTTTTATCTATAAACTAATTGCAGAGAAAACCGTTTTAAGTAAAAAATTGCGAGATATAGGTTGCACATATTTTATTTTTGACTCAACTATCTTTTATCAAATTTAAAGAGTTATGTTCAGTGCATATATCTGGTATTTTATGATTTTAAAAACAAAATATACAATTTATTTGCTGAAACTTCATCCCTCTGTTTATTTACCTGTACTTGCAGTACGTATTTTATGCAAATGTTATTGTTTATAAGAAGTTGTTTAAAATCCAGGAGACCAAATTCCCATGTGAACTTATCATATATAGACCTTTTTTCAATACGATATTTCCATAGAAACGGAAGTAGTATTTTGCACATGCGCAAGGAAAAATGCAATTTTTCAGTATTCAACAACTTCATTAACAATTTAATGGCATCTAAATCATTAACCAATATTTAAGAATAGTTTGTTTTGATAATAATTGGTGCAATGGTGAATTTTAGTAATTCAAATTACGCTTACAGGGTCTTTCAGATATGTACATCCACACTAACATCAAGTCACATGGCACGATAAAAAATTGTATTTGTATTGAATATAAAGCTTAAATCTGAACGTGGGATTTTTTATTGAAATTTCTACCTTTAAAATTACGTAGGCATGTAAAATCAAGTCAAATAATTCTAAAAACTCGACTTTTGTTCAGTATCAATGAGCTTTTATTTAGTAATTTACAAAGATCGTCGTAAGATTTCAAGATAACCAGAGATTTTTTGCAGATAAAGAGATCTATTTCAATTTGTTTGTAATAGAGATTTATTAAATCCTTTAATTTAAACGTTTAAAACTTAAATATTGCCTTAGCAGTTTCATTGTACAGAATGACTCTATCTGAATTAGTTTAAACTTGATAGTTTGCAAGAAAAGAGTAATAAGTAAATGATCAAAGATTTAAATTTGATTTGATATAGGAAATGAATTTTTAAGAATAAAAAAACATTCTAAAACGCCTAAAATTCGCTTTGTTCCTGTTATTTTACTGTTGCTTTCCGTGATTATTTGAAGTTTTTAATTCCAAAAGTTAAAATCATCTTTCCTGTTTGTTCTAAAGCACTTTCTGTTCTGCGAGCAGAAAATTGTATCAATCTTTGTTATGCTAACATTGTTTCTTTCTAACCATTGTAATTCATACTATTAAAAATCATTTGGCGCTGGAAACAAAATACAATGTTTTACAAACGAATGCTACTGTCATGGATGCATATTTTAACCCCGAATGCTGGTAAAAATGGGACCACTGCGCTAATTGCCTCAAATCCATGCCATACGAACCTATTGTAGTGTTAATTATTCGCTCTTTTCAGTACACTTATATATATACTTATTCAAACAACATTCAAGCTAAAAACTATATTTGATTAAACTCACTCACAATGAAACTTTTTATACCATTGTAAAAATGGTATTTTAAATGTATTCTTTAACCGTTTTAATTTTTTTTCAAAAGGTTGACATGTATCTTAAACAAATGACAAATTACAAAACTGATCTTTAATCTTTTTCAAACAGCTGCTTAAATGTTAAAAATATCTTTCTTGACCCCAGCATAAGTTTGAAACTCTTATCTAATCAAACTATTTTGTTTACCATTACTTTCAAATTATTTACTTAAGATATAATTCTTTAAGTTCAACAGAAGAATAATGTTTGTTTATGTATTTTCAAAACAAAAATCATTTTAAGGCGATTATACCTTACATGTTATAAAAACGTTTCTGTGTATCAGCGTTTTGTCTTTGATCTTGACGTAAGCATTCGGTAAATATTGGGGTTCTTTTAAAGTGTACATTTTAATTCTTTTATGAAAATATTTATACTTGTAATTCATGCTTAAGAAAGTTTACTAATATTATTATCAGAAAGCTGCCAAAAGCATATACAATATATCTAAAATTACAGAATATAAATGATAAAGATTTTTTAAATTTTGTACTTGAATATCACATATTTGGCGCCATTTTTATTCTCTGTATAGTCATTACGCATGCGTTGAAAGTTTGAAAGGAATTGCACACCTGAAGTGCATGGGCTACTTGAAAGGTTTAACAAAAGTAATATCAGTGACGGTAGTTTTATCAGATTAGAACACAATCTCACTTAAGACTTGCCAATCGTAAGAGGATTATTAAAGGTTACAAATGCATAAGATGATAATGCATGCATTGTATTTATTATACCTAAATTATGAATGAAATGATTCGGATTTATTTTTTTTAATATATATATAATAAAGATAATAAAATATATTATATAGCCCCATTGGTCGGTTACTTTTTAAATACATTAAAGGCCATTCACCATTCGGGCCCTGAAAAGATGATATTAATATAAATTAGTACAGCATGTATATACAAATTTTCCTTTATACAAAAATTATTATAATATTTAAAGAAATGCATGAATTCTCAATGATACTAAATAAAGTAATACTCAAGATAGGTAAAAGTCCTCCTTCATACCAAATTAACTATAACTAAATACAAGCATAGACATCTGTTTTACCAAATACACTGTGAATGATTGTTTATTTGTTTTTCTGATTTTACGCCGATTTTAATATATTGTTTTGGTCACATCCATCTTGCAGGCTTCCCTGCATTCCCGAAAAATCAGTTGCAGTTTACAAAAAGAAAAGCCAGGGGAATACGAGAATATTACAATAAAATCACTATCATATACTTTTATTTGCAGGTGCACGCGTGACTGATTTAGAGCCCAAATATGGCAGTTTGGCGGGTGAAACGAGGCTGACAATTTTGGGTTCTGGTGAGTAAATAATGCATTAAATGACTATTTTAGCGTACATGTGCGATGATTAATTGACCCTTTCTTTAAAGTTTATTTCAAACAGTGTCTCTCAAATAATTGAAAGAGTCTTGTTTAAATTAAACTATCCATTTGTATTCAGAATGTCAAAACTATTTAAATTAGTTTCAGTCCAATTATATACAAAATAGCAGCGGACATATTGATTTCATTAAAAGTCATTTAAAGGACAGTTGGAAATTTGAATGGTCATATTGGCTTATTTTATTGGACTTATTTGTATTAATTAATCATAGAATGAACCGGTTTTTATTTGAAAAAAAAAACAACAAGCAACTTCAAAGTTAATATAGTACGAGTGAATTGCAACGCATAGGCTTTCATACCCGACGGCGTAGTAGAAATGATTTTATATCCGGTCTGTCCGCGCACTGCAAATATCGTAGATTCGGGGATATGTTCAATTGAAGAGTCCATGTACATTTAGCGAAAATTGTAGTATTGCCACTTGGCTGTCTAGTAGGGTTTGGATTCCGGTATAACAGGGGATTGAAAAACCCGAAGGTCAAATGTCGTAGGTGGGTTAGTCTTACAACTGGTACATAAGTCATTTGCATACTTAATATATCTGACAGATACATGTGACGTTAACAAAATAGAATAGAGTATAAATATCACAATGTATAACAAAAGTGCAATTTTGTATAGATAATTCAAATAAAAAAATTGTAAGATATGTAATTCTATGTTGTTTTTTTTTTTAGGGTTCTTGCGGCCATTTAGTCAATGACGATCCCCAAAGTCGGGAACAAAGTTTCTTGTTTTGTGAATCTTTTGCGGATACTCGTGGGAGTTTAAGGATTTTTCACAGAAACCAAATCAGTTTACACCCCAAAATGTTTTGTTTTATATAATATGCCTGTTGTCGCTCATACAAATTCTTATTATTTATATATATAAGGCATAACGCCATAAAACCGACCCTTTCGAAAAGCATTTCTCTCCATATCCGTTCCGATTGAATGTTCAAATAAAAAAACACCAGGATTCAAGGTTATAAAAAATTGACTCAGTGAAAAGTCAGATCTGAGGTATTTCATTGGTTAGAAATTAATGCATATTGTATACTGACTACTGAAAATCAAATCCTGAACATAAACTCAATAAAAGAAGTATTTAATCAGAAATGCAAGTTTCCATCCAATGATTTCTTTTAGAGATTGATTGCTTATAAAATATTTTTAAAAAAGAAACGTTCGCATAATAGTTATGTTGCCGTTGCGCAACAAGCAATTGTTTAATGCATCACATGTTCACGATTGATGCAGATTAAATGCAATTATGTTGCTTTGGTCCTGAAATTCCCGACTCTAGTTAGTTCTTGACATGGATAAAATAATCCACGGCTTTAATTTTAAATAAAACAGTGAAAAGCCAACAATATTGAAGTCAGGTTTCCTTTTTTAAATCTAACTTTCGAAGAAATGTTCCAGATACCACTAATCTTACGACTTGTTCAAGAGTATAAATGATTTGCATAAGCATTTAAAAAGCATTGTGTTGTTTCTGTTTCGAAGTCTACAATGAGATTGATTGTCTGGTATTTTAATTTCTTAGTAACTTAAAACAAGCATGGTAGCTTTCTAGTCCAGATAATACAGGGTGAATTGAAGAAACAACGGTCTTCCTGATACAAAGAATCATGTTTATAACTGAAATAGAAATGTTCTTTTTACGTATATTTACTCATTGTTTTTATATTTTAAATTAACAGAGGTATGTTGGAAGAGGATCACTATGTGAAAGTTAAAGTTGATGGTATAGTGGTTGAAGATGCCGATCTCTGTAACGGTAACCCAAAAGGATCTAAATGCACATACAAGGTATAGTACCATATGTATGTTTTGGTGTAAAAATATCTAATTTTATAATAGCAGCTTTTCCATATAAAACATGAAAAATATAGGATAAAAATAAGTATTTAGATTCATTTGTTAAAAGTCAATTGAACCCATTTTTTATCACATGCTTTTGATTTCTTGGTGTCTTGTTATAGGTTCTTAAAAATTACTTTTTATTTAGAACAGCTACAAAGATCTTTCTGCAACGTGGTCGTTTGTCTTGCAAAATCGGTCGAATGAAGTATTCTATCGCGCATGCCCAAACTGCATAGAGCAAAAGATCATTGTCTTACATAGATATGTAATAGTGTTCTTAGACAATTCCTTGTAGTGTGACCGTGCAAGAGATTAATTATAATATTTAAATACCGTCCATATATAAAAATGTGAGGGACGCCATTTTTGTGTTGTGGCCAAGGCCCTTTTTGTATCATCTAAAAATGGCAACGAGAAATTTGAATTAAATAATAATTAGTTAATTGTGACAAAAATATAGGTCTGAGAGAAGGCTTACGACTCATTTGGACTCATTTTGTTTGAAATCTTCTATCGGCGTTGTTTAATTCTCATTTCAATATTGAGTTAAAATTTAAATGATGTAAAACAAGGTAACACTTCGGCCGTCCTTTTATTTTCCCATTTCATATAATATCGGTGATCGTTTGTACCTTTTATTATACAGAATTCTAGGTTATATAAATGTGTTACGATCAGCACCTATATTGGACAGATTCCAGGTCCTATAACTTTATATAAATACAGTACGGACAGAACAAAAGAATAGAAAGATAGTTGAAACTTCAGAATCCATATTGCTTTTACTTTTAATTAGAAAACAAATAAATCAAGAGTAATGATTACAGACACAGCACTTAAAGGTAGCGAGAAAAGGGGGCTAAATCAATTTTGAACTATGGAAATATTATTAATAAGGTTATATTTTTGTCAACGAGTGCAGTAAATCAGTTTAACTGATGGTTCAATGTTGATGATATCATTAACCCTATTCTGAAGCAAAATTTACTGATTAGCAACTATTCTCAAGAAAAAATATTAATCATATTTAAATGGTATTAAGCTATATCTTATGAAATATTTTAAGACCCGTAAACTCATACAAAGTATATTATCTGCATTTTGTACGATTTAAGTCATTATAATGTATTGCTATTTTATTTTGTATTTTTAGCCAAGGGCCAGAAACACGCCTACCATTGAAGAAATGTCGACACAATCTGGAAAACCTGGTATGAACTATCTTATTTTTCCTAAAATGATTGTAAAAAAAAACAAACAAAAAACAAGAGAAAAAAAACCTGCAAATGAGAGCATACACTTTGATAAGTAAGATGAACATTTCGTTTGGAACGATATTGTGAGAGTCTCAACTTAATGAAATTTTGAGGGACAATATTACCTTGTTTGATGCCTGAAACACATGTAAACTTGTAAAGTATTAATCTTTGGTTGGCTTCTCATGACATGACGTTAAACTACATTTGAGCCGCGTCACGACAAAACCAACATAATGGGTTTGCGACCAGCATGGATCCAGACCAGCCTGCGCATCCGCGCAGTCTGATCAGGATCCATGCTGTTCGCTATCAGTTTTTCTACTTGTTATAGAGTATGTAAGCGAACAGCATGGTTCCTGATCAGACTGCGCGGATGCGCAGGCTGGTCTGGATCCATGCTGGTCGCAAACCCATTATGTTGGTTTTGTCGTGACACTGCTCATATGGCATACATAAGAATTAAATTGTCTTGACCTTCGTTTTAGTGAATACTCATCCACATAGATAAAGACGCGAAAGAAGCCTCATGGCATGATCCCACGACAAAAACAAACACATTTGAAATCGACTTACTGCAATTCGTAATTAAGCTAATGAAGAGTTTTTAGAGAACAAGAATAATTAAAACCTGAAATGATAAAGAAATCAAAACAGAACAATTTTGAACATTTAAAATTTCATTTACCAAAATTTCTTTTGAAACGTGAAAGTGAGTTCTTTTTTGGCTTTGGTTAAACCTCTTTCATTGTTTTTTTTATCTCGTCAAGGTACATTTGTGACGCTGACTGGAAATATTATCAGTGACAGATATGGCAGTAACATGGTCGCTGCAACGAACGGGAAAACAGAGAAACTACTGAGGTATGCTAAAGATGTTCTGTACCTTTATGGTCAGAAACTAAGTACATTTTACATATACAAACAGCTATAGAATATGACCTGGTGCCCCGTGAAGTAATTAAACACTAAATCTGGTTTTGTAACCAAATTATCCCGGACAGATTAAAACCTATTTTTAAATGTATTAAGAGCATTAACTTTACTGTCTACTTATGTCTCAAATCTAGTTAGTGTTTTTGCCAAAATTTATAAAAGGAGTGACGCAAAAGAGTCTAATCCAAAGATTTTTCGCCAATTTGATTTTCCTATATATACTAATCATAAATGACAAAGCTTTTCTTGGCGTATTTGATAGTGGTCAGTACCATTCCTTGAATTGAACATAGATAAGTTAACTTCCAACTTTACGAATATTGCATAAACCAAGTTTCGCTGATTTTGTTTAATCAAGTAATACTGACGGAATGTTAGGCTGTTCCATTAAATTATCTAAGATATTTTTGCCTGTGTCTTCCGTTATGGTTTATCTTGTATCTTATACAATTTTTCATGTAATATTGTTGTTTTACTGCGAATGCTTCCTAGTAATTACAATGTATCCCTTTTTCATATTTTAGTTGATCTTAATATACATGAGTTTGACCTTTACTTTCCTGCAACTGATAGTGTTTAATCTTGACCAACAGTAGAGCCAGGCCATCCTGCACTATCAGTGCTATTTGACCAGGCTATGAACCACTGGTAACCCATTTTGACTACAACGATAACTGTTAGTTGACTGTTCCAAATCAACAACTGGGCAACATACCAAATATGCAACTAGTTGACACAAACAATATACAAAAATGTATAATTTGTTCAGCAGTTATATCTGACACTTTGTTGGTTCTTCTAAACACGCCACTGTCATCATAAGAATGTTTTTCATTTGCCGCATGCATCAATGTATGTTTGGTTAAAGATTTGCTTATATTAGATCTAGTAGATTGTAAAATTAGTGAAATTGTCTTGTGGTTCAGTGTTGGAACTGTCTTTTTTAACAGGATAATTATGATTTCTTCATTATAAGAGTTATTAGTTTATGGGCATGTGTTTGGTACTAGATACTTGTATACATTCAATATATGTTGATAGTTTTAAGATAATCATTTCACGAATACCATAACCTTCATAAAGTAACAGTTAACAAAATATTGTATTGCAAAATTATTGTTAGATACATTGAAACCGTGGTTTTTAAAGATCCTGTAACACAATTTTTTTTTGGTTTTGCATCATAAATATGATGCTCAAATTAATTTTTTTTCAATTTTGTAAGTTCCAAAAAGCATTAATTATAAAGATATTACCGAATTCAACATTTCATGTAAATAAAGGGAGGTAATAAAATTTTATTTTCAATAAAGTCCAAGTCAAATTTTTCAATAAGAAATGAATGCATATATCTTAATGATTACATACAATATGTACAAATATTTGCAGTACATATTTTACATATTCTCCGATGTTTGAAAATTGCTTTATAAGCATAATTATATACATATACATAATTTCACTAAAGTGTGGTATACAACCTCAATTACAACATACAGGATCTTTAAACGAGATATATCATTGCATCTGACCGTATATATATTTAATAATCGGATAGAAGCCTTAAATGCGCATTATCAATACATATGGACTTGAAATATGAGCAAACTATGAAAATAACTTTGATATATCGATATAAAACCAGTAAAATTAAAATGATGACAAAATTTGTTAAAAAAAATCATTTCAATGGTATAAAATTCGACTGAAAATATTTTTTCTATTCACGAAACGATAAATCACGCAAGTGTTACTAACAATTTCACAAATTATAAAATAACAAAATAATACATGAACCATTTCCAATTCGGTCATTGACAGTGTGTCCAATTGCGTTTGTTATTCATGTTTTAGTAACTTCGTTTATGCCTCCAAAAACTGATAACTTAGTCTCTTCAAAGATATCTACTGTAATTTGCAAATGAGCCGCGTCATGACAAAACCAACATAATGGGTTTTCGACCAGCATGGATCTAGACCAGCCTGCACCTCCGCGCAGTCTGATCAGGATCCATGATGTTCGCTTAAAAAAAACCCTATAACAAGTAGAGAAACTGATAGCGAACAGCATGGATCCTGATCAGACTGCGCGGAGGCGCAGACTGGTCTGGATCCATACTGGTCGCAAACGCACTATGTTGGTTTTGTCGTGAAGCGGCTCAATTATTCTTTTTGATGGGTCCGAGCTGAAGTAAAAAGATTATGCTGCGACACTCCAGCTTTACGAGTGGATAAATATTCTATGTCCCAATTTTTGTATTAATTCAAAATCGAACCCAAAGCAGCGAAGGGCTGGTGATTAGTATTAAAATGTCCATAGCCACTTAGCAATACAAGTCATAAACGTAATAACTTGAAAGACGTTTGGTATGGAAAAAGAAAGGATGAAATCATTTTTAATCCAACCATATTCATGAAAAGGAAAGCCTGGAACTTTGATATTTTAATGTTGTCGAATTTCATAATAACTTCACAATTGTAACTTATTAATTTCATAATAACTTCACAATTGTAACTTATTACTAGATTTTTATGTCCTGTCCGCGTTTATTGGGCACTGAAAATTAATATTGTTTAGCGTTGGTTCATCGTGTATTCTGTACCTGATTTACTGCTTTGAAGATATGATTATATTTTTATTCATTTAGAAGAACAAAATCTCTTTCTTTCAGATTGTATGCTGGACCTCAAGACTGTGGCTTGAAAGAAAACGACAAGTTGTAAGTTTATGATAATATTTCTCACATGTACTGTGTACCTGTGTTAAGTTTCATTACATATTTGTTTAGTCTTTTGTGTGAATGTATATGTGTTGGTGTGGGGGTCGTATGGTGATATTTCCTGGAGTGCTGATTTGATCGGGCGTAGTCGTTAGAGGATGATACTATTTCCCGAGGCGTGTGCTTCATTGGAACACTGTTTTTTCTGGTCCTCCGGGATCATTGAATCCAGCATTTTTAAGTGTTAAGAATTGAGTACCGCTCAAGCCGGTGCTAGGGTGCGTAAGGGATGTTGTAATTTATCATTAGTCCTCATGAACATACTAAAGAACTGTTACCTATGTAACAGTTACTGTACAAAATTGTTAGTCACATGGTACATTTGAATTAACAGTAAGAATAGCTCCCATTGACCTATGGGAAATAAACATTTGAAAATAGTGAGTTGTAATATAAGAAAATAAATATCTGATTGTTCCTGTTGACAGTTGGTCTCTGTATAATGTGAATTAAATTATATTTTGATTTCTCATTTGATCTTTAATGATAGATTGTTGTTACACAGCTCATGACCATATTGAAATGGATCGGATGCTATATACAATCTTTTCTCAAAGATGTTATTTAAATATCTATATCCTTTTCTATCCGGTGTTAATATACTGTACACTTTATATATATACGAAAGGTTTGTCTCATATATAATCTGCCAGTCCCGTGAATAAAACTATTTTTAAAGTTCCTAATATATATTTTTCAGTTTCGGCCTCGCACTTGATAATGAAGAAACTGATCACGGTTCGATGACGTGCAAAACGAAGGGAACATCTGTTGGTAAGTTATTACCGTATTAATATCCACGTGAATGTCGTGCATATCTTAATAGTTTCCTTTGCCAAATATTGTTGTTTATTTGCACATAAGATTTTTTTTTAATGACGTGCTGTAAAGAATTATTAAAATAAAGTATGTTATATATTTCCCTAAGTGACAATTTCATTTCTTTGTTTCAGGATTCTTCAATGCAAGTTTCATCCTTGAATCTCCATACGGACGGTGAGCATATTTCTTAAGTCTCAAACTTTTGTATGTATTTGCTTTAATCATCTAGACTTAAATACTATGCAATATATATGGTGGCTGATTTGATTTGGTGGCGTTGCGTTGTCGACAGCGACCTATATGATAATGCGCAAGTATCTATAATAAAGCAAAGCTTTTTTGTCCGGTACAAAAATATTTGTTTCCTTTATTAAGAAAATGAATGGTAATTGTACTGGTACAAGTTAAGTTTTATTTTCATATGGTACGTATAGCGATGTGGCCGAAAGGTTAACGTATCGGACTAGTAATCTAAGGATTGCTGGCCCCGTGGGTTTAATCCCCGTCAGGGGCAAGCCGTTGTTTACGTGAGCAAAATCTTTACACTTATTGCTTACTACTAGTTTGTTCCAAGAACGTATTCGAGTGTATCAATAAGCTAAATTAGTATTATTTAAACTATTTCCATATGATTTCACAATTATTAACGAACTTACTTAATAAATCAACAAATCTTAATTACATTATATAAAGTAATATTATATACTTATGACCGTGTATTATGTTTCTATGATTTATTACTTGTTGATATGAAGTACATATATTTCATATTATTTTACAGATCAAATCCAGATCCTGAACTCTACCGTGTGTCATACAATGATAATATACACATGTTTCAAACATACACAGGTACATGCATAACAATTTATCTTTATTTTTAACTAATAGAAGATAATATTTATTCAAAAGCGCTCCAGATCATATTTAATCAGGTCACTTGATTCCGAATATTAAACGCCTTTGAAAGTAATACTGTACAATAAATATGTATAGTTAATTTCACCTAAATAATACCGCTAACTTTTTAATTATGTAGAATTAGGGCATACTCCGTACCATTTCATCAACGGACCTTTCTTTCGCCTCTTAGCAAGCCATTTCTATATGCTTTATTTACACGTCGAGCCCTTTGGTACTGACGATCATTCCCACCTTTGATATAATTAAAGAAAAATGGCTACCGAGTCAAAAGATACATAATGTTCAAAAAGAACAAACGACTTTAAATCTCCAAATAAATTATTTCAGATATTACCAGAATCAGTCAAGCTGAGGGCAGCTTGGAGGGAGGTTTGATCCTCACAATCTACGGCAATTACTTTGATGACAGAAAACCTTATACACCACCTAAGGCTTTCATTGGAGGTAACTACCGGATGTTTATTGTTGTTGTTGTTTTTGTTGTTGTTGTTGTTGTTTTGTTTTTGTTTTGGGGTGGTTGGAGTGTTATTGTCATTGTCGTACTTGTTTTCCCTATTGAGACCATTTGCACAAGAATAAGATAATTTTGTGTCTATTGAAACTTATACACATTGAAAAATAGTACTTAATTAAATGATGAATAATGCACGGTCATTTTAAGCAACATGCAATAAGTTCTTTTCGTATTGTATACGGATATTGCAGTTATCTTGTTTGGGGTTTTTTCTGGCTGGTTTTGAAACAATTTAAGTGTTTTATGTAACTTCACTTTACTATGTTATAGATGAGGAATGTAAGGTAAAAGAGGTTATGGTAGACGAGTATGTGTCTTGTGAGGTGGCTGCAGACCCTGGCACAAGCGGTTCGAGTTTCCCTGGTAACCGAGGAGTCAGCTATGAGTACTGGACATCAACCAGCAAGGACATGAGTAGTCTGGACAGCATCCTTTCACTGACCAGTTCATCAGCTGGCTATAACGCCGATGTCCTGGACGAGACATATTTCTATGACGTCAACAATACAATGGACGGCTACGTCAGTAAAATGACGACATATTTTACTCCTCCTCATACCGGAGTGTACGAGTTTCATTTGTTAGCAGACGATGGCGCCAAATTGTTTGTTGACGGAGTAAGTATGTCAAAGTATTTATTTGAAGTCCTTTGAAATTGTGAACAAAGATGTCTCTGAAGAGAGTAATATTGATTCAACGTACATTTGGTCATTACTTATTTAAATTCCTGAAAAGAAAAGATTAAATTATTGAAAGAAGTAAATTTTAGATATATTCTTCGTAGCTATTTTACATAATTTCAAATTTCTAACTGCTTAATTTGCAGACAGGGGTAGTATCATCAGAGAGAGCTTGGGCGACATCGGACAGAATGAACCTTGACAGTAACAAAAGGTAAACATATCGTTATTATAATGAAGTCATTGTGAACTGGGTTATTTCAGTTTTCATTGCAAGCACACAAAACAACATTGTATCAGTTACAATATGTATAATACATATTTTCATATCTAGTGCTTAGATGGGTTTTTGAAAGTAATGTATGATTATTCAACAGTTGTTTGTGTCATCTTATATTAAATTTGCTTAAACCCCATTAGTATGTATCGACACAGAGAAAGAATTAAAGCACTAGTTGTCCCTTTGTAATAAAATTAGATGGTATTTCAAATACAATAAGTGAATCAATCAATGGAGTTTGCACTTTGTCAGATATAACACAATATATGTAATGGTATTGCATTCAGTAATTGCTTTTTTAATTTCGGTAACTTCGTATCTATCCATTCTTAAAAGCCGAAACATAACAATCAGTCGCTTACTTAAAGTCATGGCAACGATTATCAAATATAAAAAAACGCCAAGGACACTGACGAAATTTACCGATCTTTCACGAGGTTATGACAAATGCAATAACCATACCATTACAATGTTTCAGGTACCTTATCCAGGTAGTGCATTATGAAAACTACGGGGACTCATTCGCCCACCTGAAGGCGAAATTTTTCAACACCACTTTCACCAGTGCCTATACTGGTAACGCTAAACAGGAACAGCAGATTATCACCATTTCATCTGACGTGAAATTTGATATACAGGTTGGTAGTTCGTGCTTAGTTACGTCTTTTACCCCCTGTCTGGTGCTTGCAGTTATATGTGATTGCTCTAAAGTCTAAAATGTATAGGCTCATATCATATAGAATTTGATACATTTACTATTCTTTCTGCAACTGTAGGTGCTTCTTTATTTCTTTATTTCAATTTGGAATACAACAAATGTATTGGTTAGTTTACCTTTATACTGTCCCCATCAAAGATGTGAACTGAACAAACTTTTAAAGTTAGGTTTTCTTTTTAAAATAGAAATCTTATGTTACTTGTGTGTTGTAATTTAAAAACCTTGAGATCATTCTTAATTACATATTATATCAGTTATCAAAATAAGGTTAATATCGCCGAAAAGTACGGAATCATGTTGTCGATATGAATTGAATATCTTCAAAATCGATATTGCTAGGCAAATGAAAAATCATAAACCCTTACCCTAGAGTTCTTGTTTCCATTGTAGCAAATCGAGTTTGAAGATTTTTCGCTTAAAGCTGCCGGTTTTGAGAGTCAAACTCTGGTAGTCAGCACAGGCGGAGAGTTCAGGCTCGGGTTATACGGAGTTTATACAGGTGAAAATATACCGTTTATTTTATTTAATTAATTGATATGATTAAACAAAAAAAATAGTAATATCTTCTTAAAATGAATTGTTCTTATCGTTTTGTGGCAGAGAATGGATATTAGCATCTTTTTGGTGATTAACGTATTTCTTATGTATTAACTGCAACAGTTATGCTTATTGCATGTGACACCAGTACTTGCAGGAATCGAAAGTTGTTCAAAAGCGTTTTAAGCTCTCCTTTCAGTCTGGGATAAAAAGATTCATTGAAATCTATTGCTATTCGTCGTTTTGTTTATTCATTCTATACAGTCATGTTCATTATTGTTTCATAAACCATAACTTGTATATATGTAAATAGGAAACAAATTGCTTGTCAAAAGTGCTAAAGGCAATGATCAATTTACATGTTACATGATATCCTAAATTCAACATATTTATAACAATGATTTTAAAGATAATTTTATTTCTTTACAAACAGAACCTCTGACCACCAACATGGCCGAGACTGATATAAAGGATGCTATTAACAGTCTGCCAATATTTGGAAGTGAAGAATCAGTCACCGTTGTCCGACAAGCAGTTGCCACGCCAACTTATAAGATTACATTTGATTCAAAACGAGGTTATTATTTTGTATTATTTTTTTAGCATATGTGTCTTACGGTGTTATTATTTTGATATTTACACATCACATTTCTAAATAGTTTCAATCGCTTTATTTACCTTTTAAACAGCAGACAAACATGTTCGATTGCATTTATCAAAAGAATCAAATTGTTTGTTAATTTGTAATTTTCATTTTTTGCAATATTTACACAGTTTAATTTTTGGGTACTTATTTATACCATTTAAACAGGAAATGTACACTGATATATTATTTTTAAAGCAATATTGACAGATATTTTTGAATTTAATTCGTTTTCAGGTGACTTTCCACGTTTTACTGTTGAACCAGAGTCCGCAGGAAAAGTGTCCGAAGATACCGCCGGCGCGCCTGATCATGACACAGTGTCACTGTCACTAGCTGGCTTAGTCTCAGAACCATTCTCTTTATCAACTCTAACAGCCGCTAGTGTAAGTCTTCTTCTATCTCGTTTTAATTTAATCGTTACCAAGCAGTTAACTAATGCATTTATGCTATTTTGTGCTACATTTTTATTTGTTAAGCTGTTTATGATTTACTGGTTTGATTTGTTAGTAGTGTAAAGTAATAATTAGATTGTTACGACTAGACTGGTATTTATACTTGTGATCATGTCATGTTTGGCAGCAAACAATGACTGTAGTTAATACATTTCTTAATAATTAATCAGTTTTAAAGTAGAACTTTAAATAATGGAAACCAAACAGGTTTTAACTTAATAAAACTGACAGAGGACATGATATGAGGGAGGTACTAAGTCAAACAATACACTTGATATTTTAAATCATATCTAAACAAATCTGTTATAGAAAGGTCTTTATGAAATATTGCAGCTTGAGAAAGCTATAGACGGCATGTTTGAAGCAAAATGTCCGGAGGTATTTTCACCAAGGACTGCCAAGTACTACCAAAGTTTTGAAGTCGGATCAGATGAGTTTACAGGCACGATGGTTAAAGACACAGAACCTTTCTGTGGAAGATACGCTTTGAAGGATCCATTCCGTATTTTCAAGAAAAAGGAAAAAGACCTCGGGATAATGCTATCCCAGTTCAGCATGGTAATTCTTTTAAAGTTATTGCATTCATCTGGTTAATTACTGTTCAGAATTTGTTCTTATACTTATAAAAACATTTTTAGTGAAGTACTCTGTAACATACGCTGTTAATTCCCATTATCAGATTTTTTTGTGTTTGTCACCTGACAGTTAAATCTTTTTTATGTTTCAGTTGTGTTTCGCTTACAAAGGATTTATTCGTGAATATATTGGCCTTAGCTTCTCATTCAAATCAGCAACAACTGGCGCCAGAGAATCTAAGTGGCATTTCTTCCGACACGATTTCAAAACAGATTCCGACACCGAGTAAGTTATCAACAATATAATCGCCCAATATGAACGCAGTGACCTGCCCTTTGATTTTTTGATTTCTGAAAACCCATTTTTATCTGACGGCCTTTCATAATTTCCAACATTTACCCATTGGCCATATAGCGCTGAACCTTCTTTTGCTATTTTGTATTTTTACATTAAGAAGATATATTTATAGTACATTTACAGTTTTCTACTTTTATCACACTCAGCGATACTTTCTGCAGGTAATATTTATCTAACATGCTATAAGTCCATTGATAAATTAAAACGTTAGAACATATTAAAACATAAGTTTTCACTTTCTAAAGAATCATTTTTATCATTTTCTGACTTTAACTTACTCATCATTTTATCAATATCTTCAGGTCTGAAACATGGTTCTATACGTGTATTAACATCTATGACGAGGTCAAGAAGATTACGTCTACTGATACAGAGCATAGAATAGATGAAATTAGAGTGTTCAGTCTTAATGGAGACCAGTCGGGATATGTTGACTCTGTAGTGATTGGCCAGAAAATAACTACCGAAGATAATGGTAAGTTCTACGTTGAAAATATTAAATTTTGTTAAAACTCTATAAAAGGAAAAATTCCAAAAGCGCGACGAAGACAAGAAAAGAATCAAGGTTTAAAATTAATTGAAGCTGTTCATGAGAGAAAATGAAAGTGTTACATCTGATCTCACGTACTCTAGCACCGGTTTAAGTCGTATTTAATTCTCAACAAAGTTTTACAGTCCCACTTTGATATTTGTGTAGTGCTACTGATATGGCAAAAGTGGTTAATCATATCGTTTGAGTATAATAAAATTGTCTTTAAATGTTACATCTTAGAGTATCAAACAAAAGAATAAAAGGATATTAACTGAAATTGACAATGTATTATGAATTTTATAGCAAGATATTGTTTTTGCTTGATTAATTTGTTGAACCATCATGTGATGGAAATGTCCTGAAGTCTGCTTTAGTGTGCGATGACTCAAATGCCCTAAGTACGACCAATTTTAACTGGGCATTCAAATTAGTATAATGATTTGTTGCTGATAGAGTCCCTTAACTACAACGGCTTTGTCGTTTAAGACAAATTTTGTTTTAACAACGTTCTGTTCTCGCAATTTTATAAACTTAGTCTCTGTTTATTTGAATGCTGATCATATTGTCTGTTTATAACTGCAGGATTGAAATATAAAGTTATGCAATTATGTGTTTTCTTCCGCAGAGGTTAACCTAAGGCGTAGACGCCCCACTCTTCCTAACGATGCCTTGATCAATGAAGTGTCAGTCAGAAGTATTTCTGGTGCAGTGTATGAAGTAACGTTGAAACCGTTTGACTGTGGGAATAAATTCCCGCTTTTTGAATTAGCAAACGGAAGGGTAAATTTGTTTTTGTTACACTTAAAATTTAAGTTTTCACGTTGTCGCCGTATATAAAATTTCCTGCGGACGAGAACATGAAGTAAAATATAAAGATATAATTGGTAATTGTTTAAACTATTATAGGTTTAGTAAACACTGAAGCACAAACTTAAACATTAAATAATATATGTTTTATTTTTGCCGTTTATTTTGTTGTTGTTTGAGGAAATATTGTTTTTCTGTTATTTGGAAAGCTTCCTCACGGGAAAAAATCAGAAATCTCTGTCGGGATCCGAACGCACAGCCGCGAAAAAACGGTAGTTCCAAATATCAGAGAAATCTTTCACATACGTGTGGATTATTGCATTAGAGAAATCAACTTGTTATTCGAACCTGTAACAGATTGTTGGAACTCTGTTTGGTTTCCTCTGTGTTATTACAACCGAACATTTTCAATCTTAACATTCGAAATGCTAAGGAAAGTTGGGATAACATGTTTCGACCTTGAATAAATGTATTTAAATTACTACGGTGTTTGTAATACTTTTATCAAAATTGTAAGTTCTTCCATACTATCTTTTAATCTTTGAAAAATAAATTGTAGGTGACATCGGGACAGGCCTCTTCCCCAAGTCGCTCATTAACCTCCACACTGTATAATGGGAAAGGAAACATTGAAGTCACGAGATCGGAAGAAGCGTCACCGCCTGTTACTGGAATGCTGGACGTAAAGTTCAACGGCAAAACTAAAACTGGTAATTTAACATTTCATTCTTCTTTTAATTTTGTACACATTTTTGTACATTTATATTTTTTTCTTTATTTGCATCTCAATAAAAATATCACAATCATTGTGTTTTTTTATGCCATTTACATTGTATTTTCATCTTTTTTATCGTAAATTCCTTAGATCATTGGATATAAGTTTTAAACACGAATTCAATTATTTATGTGAAAATTGCTTACGTTTGTTTAAAGTTTCGCATTTACTTATGTTGGTATCGAACTCGAATTAGGCATAATTTTCTTGTGATTGTAACAATGAGCATTTATTTAAAATTGTTATGGAAGCGAATACGTTAAGCGTCTGTTATATGTTCTTGTTGTTGTTGTTTTTTTTTCTTGTTTTTTGCGGGTCTTTTTTTGGTAGAGCTAATTTATATACATATAGCATTCTCTCTTATATCTGTTAATGAAAGTATATATTTCATGTTAACATAACAATTATTCGGAGCTGAATTAGATTAAGACTTTGTAAATTTACATTTTAAGGACTTAACGTGTCCCTGGAGGCCAAAGACTTCAACAAGGTACTTTCAACCTTGAACAGTATAGGATCCTTGTCTGTTGAAAAGGAAGGGAACTGTGCTAATTTTGACATGAAAGTTACTTTCCTCACACTCCCTGGAGATCAACCAGAAATGGAAGTGAGTATTGTTCTTTTCTTATTGTTATTAGAGGATAAAGTGTAACATAAATATTTGGTTAGTTGTTATGATATTCTAATACATTTAAAACGTGCAAAGGAACGCAATATTGAAAATAACCTAACAAAACAGAAGGATTATTTCTTCTATTTCAATCAGTCACAGTGCTAAATTCCTTGTCATCGCGAAACCGTCTTGTCAATCAAATACCGTCAAAAACGCGTCTTTGGTTGACATTGGGTTGTCATCGATACACCGTCTACCATTGTTTTTGAGACTTCGTCTACGCTTATCATTATCACCATGTACAAATGGCTAAGGTTTTTGAACGAGATATCATACACGGTTGACATTGAGATACCGACTAGGATTGTCATCGAGACATCGTACCGTCTACTGTGATGATTGCGATACCAAGATTGTCATTGCTACACCGTGTACAATTGTAATCGAGACACTGTTTACCAATTGATGTCAGTGATCTGTCTCTGGGTCTAAATAGACAGCGATAAAATCTTTGAATACCATGCCATACCATACTTATTTCTTGTAAATCTTAGAATATTAATTATGATTTTTTAATAGTAATCTTTAAAACAATCCTCATTGCACTTATTTTCATTCTAGGTAACTGGCTCACAATTGGATGGCATTAACCCTTCAGCCAGTATTTCAACCTCTGTAGATGGCGGTTTATTCTATTCACCTTTGACTGGTGATATGACTACCACTGTACACAACAAACCTCAAACTCGATTGTACATCAATGATGTGCCAACAGCTTGTTCTGGAGACTGCTCCTTTGAATGGAAGTCCTCTGTTACACCTACTGTCACTGCAGTGTCGCCATCTACAGGTACTTGCGTAATGCTATAGATAATTTTATTTTCGTATTAATAAAGCACACTCTCTTTAGGCTTTGGTTTAAAGTTATACTTGGTTGTACCTTTCGTTACAAGGTAACTATTTGAGATAAATAACGATGTCCATGAAAAATGCATTATCGTGAGGTATTGTAAGGTTAAGCAAGTCGATCCGGGTCAAGACGTTTTTTTTTTGCTACAGTCACTAAATTGTTAATTATTCATATGACATATAAGGAAAGACCCTTATAAAATATAACAGGAATTGTATAGAAATGAATTTCAAATGTTGACAACTGAATTTTCTCTTTTCAACAGGAACATCTGCGTTGAGTACATCCATCGATATAACTGGAACTGGCTTTAGCACAGACAAAACCATGAATAATGTAACCATCGGAGGCGTCGCTTGTACAGTTACCGACTCAACAGCAACAAGTATCACATGTGACGTTGGGAATGGTCCAGTAGGTCAAGCTAAAGTTATTGTCACTGTTAATGGGAAAGGTAATGCCAAACACACCAATGGAGATGTAATGTTTGAATACACCGCTGATATTTCTGGTATTTCACCATCAACAGGCAGTCTTGGAGGTATGTATGTTTAAAGGGTTATCATGTGATATCTTATGAAATATTTCTATAAAATTTATAAACAATAAAATTTTATTGACTCCATAATCTCATGGTCGATTCTCGGAATAGTTTTTATTTACACACTTGAATATTGTACAGAAGCATGCATACAGAATAAAATGTTAACGGAAGAAAATATCATACTGATATTTTAAATAAATAAGGTTTTATCCGTTTAGCAATGATTCTGTCCTTCGCTTGCAAGGCAATTAGTTACCTAATTTATTTCATACAAGCATTTTGGAAATATTCTTTTTTCATAATATAATTCAAACAATGTTTTTTGTTGAAAACATATGACTTTTTACACTTTAATTCAGACAATGTTTTATACAGATAAGTTTTTCTTACTGTGTTATGTTTTTATGTAGGGATTAGGTAAGGAGTGGCCTTCCGGAACTTGATATTGTTATACCAGATACCGTTATGCCTTTTTATTCTTTCTTATTCCTTGTTCTTATTCAATTTCCTATAAGATGTCCATCTGGTATATTCATTTTTACCGGGGCTTTTTGCTGCTTATTAGATATCAATAATTGACCATCACTTTTCCAGGAGGAGTTACCTTGACAATATCCGGCTATGGTTTTAAAACTGGTGCTTTAGTTACTATCAACTCAGCACCATGTAAAGTAATAAAAATACAACCAGATCAGATTCAGTGTACTGTTCCTCCGATGGTAAGAATTCTTATTCTCTATTTAATAAAATGTAAGTAAGTCTTTACCGTCATGGTATATGTGCGACATTGTTGATTTAAGTATAAAGATTTAACTTTTTGCAGTCATTGAATAGTCATTATGGTAACTGGGTTTTTAAGAATATTGTACACTGTAGTATGTGTCCGATTTTTGACAATTTATTAGTATAAACCTATGGAAGCCTTCCTGTCTAGTTCTGATATCGATAAGTGCAAACTGAAACACAAATGGCAAGAATATACTGTATTGCCTTAATGTCATGTTCCTTTTAATAAACAATGTGAATTTTATAATTAAAAGTGTATTTTATACAATATGTATTTGTCATACAATAAAGATAAAAAAAATTGCCATGTAACATCTTTCTGGCTTGTTTTGCATGATTTAGGAATTCGGCACCGTCTAGTTTTACAATTCAAATTCTTATTCAGAAAACTGATGGGACACATAATGTTGTTGTTGAACAAGGGACTACAACATTGACATTTTCCTCTTATACGTACGATTCCTCCCTGACTGCAACTGTTACTAGCGTTACTCCATCTACTCTAGGAGTGCTTGGTAAGACTTCATTATTTGTGACTGCTGTTTTGAATGTTACCATCCATACAAACCTTGTTCTATCATCTGTTAAAAAAGTATTTAAAATTCAACATTATTTGGAAAAGCTTTTGTTAAACCTGAAAAAGGAAGGCAATACATTTACTATTCAAAAGAAAAGTTTAAAAATGAACAGATGAAATTTTATCATGACTTCTGTATGGAAGTAACAATTAATTGGTTAGTTTACAGCATAATGCTTCTAGGGTGGCATGTGTTATTCAATTGCATATTGAATACTTATTTAAACTTATAGGAATTAAAGGACAGTGATTGATTATTTATAACTTTTATTTATTTATAAGTTTTTCTACTCCTTACTGCCACATGTTGTCTTTTCAAACTAGTCGTAGTGGTTTTCTAAGTAATTTGTCCAATTTCTGATGTGTAACCCGTTGCTGATAATCCTATGAAACTTGATATAGAAATGCAGTGTCATTTATTACAATACTGATCTTCCTTTATAATTCTGTATCTCACATTTCAAGGCTAATCCTTCTCCCTATTTCATGTTAGGAGGGCGACTCACCATCGCAGGTTCATCGTTCACTTCAACACAAGGCAACGTGTATTTAGGCAAAGTAGTAGGAACTGTAGCTTCATGGACAGATTCCCAGATTGAAGTTGACGTAACAGATGTTCCTGCTGGTACACATGAACTTAAAGTAGAGACCAGTAACGGAGTCGCAACCGATGGGTTTGTGTTGTTTTTTAGAATCAAATATAGCTATTGGTTGAACATAAATGCGTCTATAATAACAAACATTTCTCCTTTTTTCGTTCAAATTAGTGATTCTGTATTATGTCAGTAAGACTAATATTCATAATATTCAAGTCTACATATCTTAATAAATATGATTGTTTTCTAGGTCTGGAGATATACCAACGGTCACTGTCGACCTCAGTATTACAAACGTGTTTCCTCTGCAAGGCTCTTTATTGGGTGGAACGAAATTGACTATTACTGGAACAGGATTTGGTAACAACGAAACTCTAATTGATGTAAAAATAGGTGAAGTTAATTGCTTGACTGAGACTGTTACAGATACACAGATAGTGTGTGAAATTACTGATGCGGCTAAGACACATCATGTTACCAACAAGGGAACATCTCAAGGTAATTTGAAATAAAATGCTTTAATCATATGTGAGCTTAGATTACATGTATTTGGATATTTTATATTTGTGTCTAACATCGTCATAGTTATATATATATATATATATATATAAAACCATTTCCATTGATTTAAATTGTTTGACGTCAAGACAGATCATACTTAGCAATTATTGTTTTGCAGAATTTGGTCTGTATTATGCTTTCGATAAGCCTTACATCAAAATCAACGCTGGTGATTCATTGACATGGACATGGGAAACTCCTGATTTTGTAAAAGAAGTTGCTCATGCTATTATCGAGATTGATAGCCCAAGTGCAACTTCAGCTAAGATAGGAGGGTTCAACAGTGGAACACCTACTAAAAATGGTATGCTTTTTTGTTGGAATATCAAACGAACAGCTTGTAAATTTATTAAAAATATGAAATGTATTAAACAATTCGAGTTCAGTCGTCTGAAGAAAGGATACTCTATAACTTAATATATAATATTCAACACAAGAGAACTTACTCGATAAGATTGACAAAGAATTAATAAACACTACAAAATAACTCTGGACAACAATTTTCCTTGTTGTAAAAAGATATGACAATAGTTTACAAGGTCAAACTCTAATTACCTAGGTTTCAAGCCATTTACAGACCTCAGGCATGGCATGGACAGATATGTGTTACGAATATATATCCTAATTTGATTGAAACATTTAGTTTGCTAGCTTCTTTAAATATTGAACATTCCTTCTTCTTTTTGTCATATCAAAGCAGAAACCTATACTCTTATATTCATTTTTATCTACATCAGGTCAATATACTAAGCGGTTTACAGACACTGGCGTGTACTATATATGGAGTGGCTTCGTAGATCCTTTCAATATCAAACAGTATGCTGGTACTGTCGAAGTAGGAAATGCAGAATCAAGACTGGAAGAAATTATGGTTAAAGTTGGTGATATTGAAGCCCTACATAGTGTTGGAGGTACGAATATCTGTTTAAAGTCAAATGTTCATTTCAATGCTTAAACTCTCGGTAAAATATTATTTAATCGATTCCCTTGCTTCTTCAAATGGACTCATAACTTCAATATGAGCAAAACTGTACAAAGGTAGTAAGTATTTTAACAAACCGGTGCAATATACTCAATTTAATTAAAAGTTTTCACACATCTTCCCTGCCGTGTGGCGGCTGTAAAAAGTCTCCCCGTACATTTAATCAATGGTGTTATATTTTCGATCCTTGAAGATCGTTCAGCACGAAATTATTGTTGTGCTTGTGTTATTTCTAGTTTCAACTTTTCGGCATTTTCTAGTTGGGTGGTTCCTATATTCCTACTTGAATAATGTTGAATCACCCTTAGGATATGTTGCCTGCTTTTTAAATTTGTCTTTTGACGTCTTATCTGTGATACGCAGGCTTCATAACCTCTGATCCCCTTTCAAAATTCCATTTTATTTAGTTCCGCCCATTGTTTTCTCGTTTAGGGCACACGCTTTTTATTACTTGGGGACCATACGCCGCTTTTCATGGAATGGCACGGAAGTGCCACATTGAAGGTTCCATGATAACCGCCGTATGAACACATCTGCGGGTGTTTCTAAATTCAAAATTTTACTCTTTCACGTTTAAATGTTGAATTCTGCTTAAGCCGGTGCTAGGGGGCGTGGACGGTAACTTGCACTTTCCAATATCGTCCATGAACAGGCTCAATCAAACCGAGCCTGCAACATTTTCAATTTTGCCGTGTTGGGCTTTCTTTAGGGATTCTGTATTTATCTACTTCATGTTATTTTCAACCCTTATTATCATTTCTTTCTTAGGTGCGAATAATCCTGTTGATGCATCTAACTGTAAATCGGTAATAACAGCGAAAGATCTTTGTTCTGACAGTCAACCAAGTGGTGGTGATCAAAATAAATTTAACTTTGCCTTCTGGACATGCAGCACGCCTATAGTCACATCCATTGACGTCAATAATGGTACAGTTCAAACGACGGTAACAATATCTGGCGAAGGATTGTCAGGGAAAGATTGTCAAAATGAAGTAAAATTTGGTGACTATGACTGTGAGGTAACATCATCAAGTGATACAGAAGTTCAATGTAAATTTGCAAAATCTGATGAGCCAGAGCTTGGAGTTTTGTATCCGTTGAATATGAGAGTTGGTAATCGTGGTCACGCACTTATTTCTATAGCATCTGAAGAAGACACAGGATTTGGTCTAATTCCAAATATCGAATCAATAACACCAACATCTGGTTCTCTAGCTGGTGGTGCACGTGTAACAATAACTGGTTTTGGTTTTGGCGATTCTCCACTTGTATACATTGGTACATCAACATGTGACATTGTTGAGAGCTCATACTCTGAAATCATCTGTGAGAGTCCAGCATCCTCACAGGGCGAGAATGACATTGAAGTGCATGCATACATAAATGGAAATCCCTTACCTGCAGAATGCCAGACGTCAACCATGACATGCCGATTTTCTTATGCTTCCCTGTGGACACCATCAGTGACTGCAATAAATCCGGACAGTATGTCAAGCTCTACTACAGTAACTATAACAGGAACATCGCTTGGAACTGATAAAACAGAATTAGAGGTCATAATTGGTGGATCCTCAGCAACAGTTCTAACAGCCAATGATACCACTCTCACAGCTCGTATTGATAACATACCAGCAGGTGATAATGACGTGATTGTGAAAGTAAAAGACTATGGTAAAGCATCAGGTAGTCTAAAGATTTACGGAACTCCTACCATCTCTGCAATTGTACCTTCATCGGGAAGTATTCATGGTGAAACAGTTGTAACAGTTCAAGGAAATGGTTTTGTTGATAATGATACTACAGTTTCTATCGATGGTGCAACGTGTGAGATCAGTTCAACTACACTTGCAGAGGTGACTTGTAAGACACAGCCCCATGCAGCTGGTTCAGTAACAGTTGCAGTTTCTTCTAACGGAGTTTCCTACACTTCTTCGTCGTACAGTTATAGTGCTGGATCAACACCAACCGTTACATCCATTAATCCAGTATCAGGATTGTCAGGTCAAACATTAACTATCTCCGGATCAAACCTAGATGGTGGTGCTGTAAACGTTACCTTAGATGATGTTGAATGTTCGGTCATCTCAAGTTCAAGCAATCAAATTCAGTGTACCCTTGGAAATCATGCTACCGGCTCTGTTCCGGTGTCTGTTCTTGTGGAAGGGAAAGGGCGTTCAAATACTGACCAGCAGTTTGAATATCAGTTATCGATCAGTAGTGTTTCTCCAGTTGAAGGTTAGTGTATTGTTTATAGTTAAGTGTGTAAAAACGTTCTGATTGATTTAGTATATATTGTCACCGTACCCATTGATCAAATTAACTGAGGAAACAAAACTGATTTATTAAAATGTTAATATCATTATTGAATGGTGCATTTTCAGTTCTAAATTTTCCTTTTGAAATATAGATAGTAATGTTATTTCGATTCAATATCAACAGGCGGTACTGCCGGAGGACAAACAGTTGTGGTGTCTGGAACAGGGTTTGATGACACGGCAACTGTAACAGTATGTGGCCAACCATGTGTCCAGGTCGGATCTACATCAACTGCGTATACATGTAAAACTCCCGCAAATGCTGGTTAGTAAATGCAATAATACTACCTTAACTTAATATTTTTTAATTTTTCTTGTTGATATTTGTTTCTCCATTTGATACTTCACAGAAATATGAAAACAGGTAAATAGTTTGGTTTGATAAAATTTATACATTGAACTTGTTTCGAGTTAACATATATTTATATAATGATTTCATAGCTTATTTACCATTCTTTAACCTATATCGATACTCCAAAATCAATTTATTTTAATTCAAATTATCTCTAGTATGGTCTTTTTTACAGCCGGCACATGCGATGTTGCTGTAATCCTTAATGGCCTTACAAAAACATTGCCTGGCTCTTACACGTACAATGCTGCTTTAACACCAACTGTTTCTAATGTTACACCCACACGAGGCGGCACCGGTGGAGGAACGTCCATTACTGTAACCGGAACAGGCTTTGGGTAAGTCCTTATTTCTGGTAAATATTATGTAAATTCTAAAAGTCATTATTAATTCCGCTGTGTATATACATATTGTGAATCAGACTTTAATGTCAGGTAAATAAAATTGGCATTGAATTTCGTGTTTTGTAAACGTTTATGAACTTCAAAATGTAAGGATATTTTAGTAAATAATCGGTTAAAAAATAATTGTATGGGAAATTGTTACAATTTCTTTATAGAACAAAATCAATTTTCTATATCAGTTGTCATTTATTGTATGTACGAGTATTAGCTAATATTGTTTGTACGTTTGCCAGTTGAGTCTATAAGTGAAATAGTATGCCGATATAAAAAACAGTTATGATTTCGATTAAAATATTTTGAAAAATGAAAATGTTATAATAAATGAAGTCGTTGATAACAAATTAGCTTCAACACATTTGCATGGTATACAATAATAAATTTTAAATGAATCACAAAAAAGGTTTATGTACATTTCTACCAGGTCTGTTATTGGCAATGTTGAAGTTATGATTAATGCAGTCGAATGTGTAGCTACGTCAGTGACATCAACACAGATAGTGTGCACGACAGGGCCACATCCCGGTTCAATTGATACCAAGATAGAGGTTCAAATCTCCGGAAATGGCATTGCTGATGAGGTATAATTACTATTCTATTTGCTTTTTATGGCGGAGATTGGATTTCACGGCCTGTTTTAAACGTAATGGTGTGTGTGATTTTTCTAAGTTTGCTGTCATACAAGTGTTAACATGCTCCTGTGGGCTATTTCTCAGAGACGCGGAAGACATCACGAGTTTACCTTCCCTTAGCTTGCTAAAAGCGTCATTGTATCAATGTTTTGATATAAAAAATTGCCACTCGTTATTATCTTATATTATCATACAACTTCTATTGGTGATAGTAAAAATGTTATACATAAGAAGTGCAAAATATAAGCAATAATGTTTCTCTTATATCGCATATTTGTGAGTGTTTGCTTATCTTGACAGCATTAATTTTTGAATTTTTTTTAATTTTAACCAAGTTCCTTGTTTTTCTTTCTAATTCAAGGCAACCTCTGGTGATGCGGACTTTAGCTATATAGATGTATGGTCATCACTATATACATGGGGAGGAAGTTCACTGCCTCAAGCAGGAGAATTTATCATAATTCCTGCTGGTATGACACTGTTGTTAGACACAGACACTCCGGTTCTTAGTTTCCTGCTAATCCAAGGTAAATAATTCATAGATTTTAAAGGTTATGTTTTTTTGTCAAAGTAGGAGGAAAAACATTTACTTGTGTTTAAGTTCAATTTCTGATAGGAATTCTAAGGATCATAGATATTTGTAAACTTTGCTGTTTTTTCTTTGTGGGTTTCGACTAATTCATAAAATAATTAATCCTTGCGCGACAAAATAAATGTTGAATTGAGCTAAAAATGCTACATATCATTTTGATAACACTCAATTATTTTAATGTTACATTAATAATACATTCTTTTTAAATATTAGCCCGATCTTGCTCCAAGCGTAAATCAAATACTGCAAGCCAGATTTCAAATGTCGGGGATTTAATTTTATTTTTGCCCTTAAGCTTGGTATTAAATGAAATAAATGGTATATTCAAGTTTGAATTTGGAAAGCTACATTGTACAAGGTCTGGAAATTGCACCTTTTTGTTAAGTGTGTAAACCTATATTTTTCTGAATTGCTTGAATTATCTTAAAATCTTTATGTTTAAGGCGGAAAATTGATATTTGACGAAAAGGATGTGGAACTGAAGTCTAAAATCATAATGATTACTGATGGAGGTCTTTTACAAGTTGGCACGGAATCTGAACCTTTTCAGCATAAGGGTATCATCACCTTATACGGTCATCATAGAGATAAGGAATTACCTATTTATGGAACTAAAGTACTCGCAGTCAGGAACGGAACGCTAGATCTTCATGGTTTGTATTCAACAATTATATATTTTTAACGTAGTTTTATAGAAAATTAATGAAGCTGTTTTAAAAAGAATCTCGGGGTCCTTATCTTGTTTTCTTTTAATTCTTGTCGTTGTAAAATTACTTCATGGTATTTCCTGATCGTCTTTTAACCTTATATTTGAACAGGAATAGAAATACCTCTAACATGGACAAGGTTAGAATCAACAGCCACATCAGGGTCAAGCACACTTGAATTACAGAACCCAGTGGAATGGAATGTTGGAGACGAAATAGTTATTGCTTCAACAAGTCATAAACATTCGCAGAGTGAAAATGAGAAGAAAAAAATCACCAACATATCATTAGACAAACGTACACTAACGCTTGACTCTGCACTTGAAGCCACTCACTGGGGCACGCAGGAAACATTCGATGGTACAACTGTAGAATTCAGAGCTGAAGTTGGATTGCTGACACACAATGTTGTTGTCAGGGGTAACACTGATGCCCAATGGGAACAAGAAATAAAGGCATGTGAGGCTGGATTTGATACAGGTATTAAATATTACTACATGTAATACGTTTTATATGCAACGAGAAGATATGGAATATGTTAAATACAATAATATCTGCCTGCTGCAGATTAATAATTAATTATTATTAGTTTTTGTCATAATTATTTAAGAAACTTGACGTTGTTTAATGAACATGTAGCGGATGAAAGAATTTGAACAGCTCTTTGTCACCTCATTTATTCAGTAATGCTACATTCTCGTTTATAAATATTTTCATCATTGATTATTATCAGTTAATGGAAGTTTTTCTTTTCGATTGACAGGTGAGTTTGTAACTCAAACATGCTTCCTGGGGAGATTTGGAGATGAAATTGGCAGCAGTCAATTTGGAGGAATGATTTTGGTTCATGCTCCTGTATATAATACTCACGAAGCCCAGGCTAAAATCTCATATACTGAGGTTACTTTTGCTGGTCAAGCATTCAGATTAGGCAGATATCCTGTACATTTCCATTTGAATGGTGATATGTCAACTAGCTATGTTAGAGGATGCGGTATACATCATACTTTCAACAGAGCTGTAAATATTCACGGTACTCACAATACCTTGATTGAAAAGACTGTCATTTATAATATCATGGGTGGAGCGTTTTTCTTGGAAGACGGTATCGAGACCGGAAATACCATACAATATAACTTGGCTGTTTTTGTAAGGGAGAGTTCAAGTCTTTTGAACGATGATATTACCCCTGCCTCCTATTGGGTTACTAATCCAAACAACACTATTCAGCATAACGCTGCAGCTGGTGGAACTCACTTTGGTTATTGGTACAGGATGCACGATCACCCCGAAGGACCATCACACACTGAATCAGTATGTCCTATCAAAACTCCTCTAGGGGTGTTTTCAAACAACTCAGCCCATAGTTTTGGTTGGTTCGGTTTGTGGATTTTCCCAGACTACTTCCCCCAAAAAGATTCATGCATTGCCTCTGACGCAGAGCCAGCAGTTTTTGACGGTCTGTATGCATGGAATTGCGATAAAGGCGCGGAAGCTGTTAACAGTGGTGCTTTACAATTTAAAAATTTCATTCTTGTTCAAAATAAACTAGCTGGTTATGAAGGAAAAATTGTATTAAATGCTCCTCTGTACACGGATGAGGCTCCAATGATTGAGGACAGTTTGATAGTTGGTCTTACAACAGTTATACCACATGTAGAGCAAGGCTGTACAAGAGGGGGTTTAATCTTTCCATATGGAGCAGGATTCAAAGCAAAAAATGTCCGATTTGTAAATTTTGCAAGCAATAACTGTGCAACGCTCCGCATGACCAGAATTGATGGAACATGTAGCGACTTATGTGGTGGATACACATACCATACTGAAGGCATTAAGTTTGTAAATGCGCCAAATAAAGCAGTATTTGCATGGGATTGGGAAGGTGTTTTTACTGATTTGGATGGAAGTCTTACAGGTAAAGCCGCTGGCTGGACTGTCTTACCAACCACAGGTACTGTACCAACTGATTGTGAACATGCAGCAGACTTCAGTATGTTCAAGCCCGCAAGTATGTGTCCACCAAAATACAAGAAATGGCACAGACTGTCATTTAACAAAGCAACGCCAGAGTCATTAAACGGCAGAAACTTTATGATAACAAACCAGTTTGGTACAAGCAGCTGTCCGTTTGCCGACAAACGAATTACTCATGGATCAGGATGGGCATTAGCTCTACTTGATGGTGCAACTTACTCGTTCGAATTTGAAGGTGCAAAACAAATTCATAATATAAGTTTCACGGGACAATTTGAACATTTTGAGGTAATTGATTTCTTGTCTTATAACGCAGAAATTATTTAAGATAAAGGTTTGACAATTGTAAATTTAAAATTAGTTTATATCACCCTTGCAAGTACATAATGTCTTCTAAAGCATATAAGATGATCTAAGAAAAGAAGCTCTGAATGTTATATTATTTGTCATAAAAGTAAAGGAGTACTTCGACTTCTCTACAAAATACAAAATCATTTTAACTGTACTTAATGCCAATAAAATGTTTTCATTCTTAGGCAAGTGATTATCTTTTGATGGAATTCGAAGCAGAGGTTCTACCTGATAGGTTTTCATTCGATGGAGGTCAATCATACATAAATGCAACTGTTGGAAGTATAGATCCAGCTACTGCGAAAAATGGTGATTGGACATGGGACAATACTAACAGCAAAGTCAAATTCATAGGTATTAAAAGTTTATTATAAGTCACTTTAGTGACCAACAGAAAATCATTTTGCTTACTTAAACATTTGTTTATATATTTCCATATATTCAGCCACTATATTTGAATTAGGGTTGATGAATTGTGCCAAAATTATCTAAATATACAACATACAACAGTTGAATGTTCACTATTTGATTGTCTTTTTATCTAATCCGCGGTCAAATATACCTGATTTGAAGTATGCAAAACATATATACTCGTGAACAAATTTATAGGTATTTTGTAAAACTAATTGAAATGGTCTTCATTAAAATGATATATTTAACTTGAACTCGTATTATTTACTGTATATTTGTTTTCAAGTCCATGGAAATAAACGCTCTAAACGTGGTAGCCCATCGCCCGGACCTTATTCGGTGGACCGGCCAGTAACTTTCACAGCATATAAATGTTTTTACGAGAATTGCATTCCTCCACCGGACCCGGATACTGTACCTCCTGCAACAGAACGCCCACTTGACTTTGATTTATGGGATGATACTACTCTCTGGAACATCTCTAATATAGACAATGAGACGTTTGTGTCTACAGAAGGAGGGACATATGGATTGCCGACTGACTTTGATAACGTCCGGATTGCAGCTGGTAAAAAAACTTTTTTGTAAACATTCTGTTAACAAACTTAAATATAAAATTTTAATATAAAATGTATAGTAATAATAATAATAATAATAATTATAATATAATGATGATAATAATAATAATAATAATGATAATGATAATAATAATAATAACAATAATAATAGTATTATTATTCAATCTGCTTACACATCACAGGGAATTTGACGAAATCATAATTATATTTTCAGCCAAAATGTGTGTATAAATATTCTTTTATATTCATTAAATAACATCACTAAAAAGAAACGACTGCGATAGATAATGATAAATCAGATAAGATAATAATGCATGTATATATTGAATTGAATTGAGTAAACTCACATAAAATGGCTTTTGGTGATTTGATATTTTTAGGATCGTGGGTGGTAGTTAACAGGACTACACCATTCCCGAAGCTTGGAACAATACTGATTGAGGGTGTTCTCGAGTTTTTTGACACACCAGGAGCTGTGTATGAAATTGAGGCTGACTTTATCATCATCAAAGCAGGTCGACTCATTATCGGTTGGCCAGAAGATCCGTTTGATGGTTTGGCTACAATTACTTTAAGAGGGAACCAATCTTCACCTTATCGTATTCCAGGAGACGGGCCTGTTCTTGGAGCCAAAGCTATAGGTTATTTTTTGAAATTGTTTCATTTTATTGATATAAATGTTCAAAGAAAAAATACATAAGCATAACTCATTATATGTTTACAATGTTAATTTCTTAACATTAATTACTTTAAAATTACATCTTAACGTTTTGAGTGTATTAACTTTAACATATTATTTATGATAAAGTTGGAATGTGAGAAAATGTATACTGTATTCATTTGATAGAAATAAAATCTGGAATAATCAAGTAAGTAGAAACAGCAAACGTAACCTTTATTTTAATAGCATCAGTTACTTATACAATAATAGGTTTGGTCCATAAGAAATTATTCCGCCTCCGTGGTCGAGGGGTTAGAGACGATGACTTCTAATCCAGTTACCTTTCTGGCGTGGGTTCGATCCCCGGGAGATGCTTTGGTAGTTTAGCGCGGAGGAAAGTAATCTAGTACTGGTGTAACTATCCAGGAACGATTGTTAGGAAACTACCCGCCTATATGACTGAAATACTGTTGGGAAAAGGCTTAAAATGAAACAAACAAACAAACCATAAGAAATTATTTTTATTTATATCATTGTTAAATTTATTATTCAAATTATAGGCGTATTTGGTGGCTTGGATCTCTTTGGAAAAGATGTCGGGAATACCTGGACAGAACTTGCAACAACAGCTACAGCTGGGTCAAATAAAATAGTTCTCTCAGACCAGGTGCAATGGTCTTCTGGTGATGAAATTGTTCTTGGACCTACAAGTTTTGATCCATGGCAGACTGAATCGTTTAAAATAGAGTCCGTAGCATCTGACAACATTACCCTTACATTGAACACTACATTGAAACACTCTCATATAGGTAACATTTATGCTGTACAATATTTCCACTCAAAGCTGTAGCACATTGAGTGCTTCAAATAAATATTCTCTTTATAAACTATTTTGGTTCATATTAAAAAAAGATTAATACGCGAACATTAACAAGGAATCAAAGGCTGATACATAAATTAATTTCAATAAACTAAACATAAATTTACACAGAAAGGTTTTAGTTAAATGTATAATGAAGAATAGGTGATACATTTTACAATATCTTTTCAATAAAAAGATGGTTCAACACGCATTTGATTAACTGATATTTCAATGCTGTGTAACCTTTTTGCTGTGTGCCTTGGGTTATTTACTGAAATATAAATGAATCAAATAGAATTAGTTTTACAATAAGGGTAAGCTGTCATAAAATTTATAATAAATATTTTGTCTCCAGTTTATAATTATGGTATATAACATTTCAGCTCACCGTGAGACGCTATCTAACGGTCAGGAAATTAAGGTCGGTGCAGCAGTTGGTCTTTTATCAAGAAATATCAAGATAGTCGGACAAGACTACGATGCTTTGTACAAGGAGTCATTTGGAACTCGCGTAATAGTTGGATTAATAACTTCCAACGGCCAAACTTATACAGGTATTTTATATTAAGAACACTTTTATTTACGAAAAATTTGTGTAACATCTTCACACTGTTAAGGTATGTACATTTAATAATCATTTAATTCTATTCTCGTACTTTTTGTTATAGTATTATTAATGTGTTCTTTTCTGTACTTGAAACATATTGTAACGATGTACAAGAACATGTATGTATAATAAAATGAATTATATCACGACTTATATAGGTTATGCAAGATTGTCAAATGTCGAGTTCTATCATACCGGACAAGAGGGATTCACCGATGAGTTTGACCCAAGATACTCACTCGCCTTTTTAGCTACAGGAACTGTTAGTGATGTTAAGCCGTCAAAAGTCAGTAAATGTTCCTTTCATAATGGTTTTAATACAGCAGTCGGAGTGTTTGGTACAGGAAGTCTTAATGTGACAGAAAACGTTGTATTTGGATCTATTGGAAACGGTGAGTAAACGTGTTTATTCATAAATGGTCAATTGACCAATGTAAAAACATTAACTTCGATCCAAAACAAATTAATTTTCATACACTGTTTTTAAACGCGAATTGTCAAACATATCTCTTTAAAACTGTACATGCCAAGTTTATATAAACCTGTGTCCATTCTAAAAAAAATTCAAAAATGGAAACCTCTAAGTCGGAAAGCATACTAAAATTTAAATGTTGCGGACCTTGATGAATCTCCATGGACGACAGTGATAGATGCAAGCAACCGTCACTTTGCATCTCCATCTGGCATATCTTGAACTCGACATTTTTATATGAACACCATGATTAAGTTAGACATTTGAAACATCCGCATGCAATTCGCACGGTGTATATGATTATTTTTACCTTTCGTGAACTTCATAAAAAATCGAAATAACAGAATATTAACAAACCAATTAAAAAGATGGGGGGTAAAATAAAAAAAAAAAGGGAAAAATTTTAAATTTTGAGCTTTTATTGGTTCCGAAAGATAAAAAATTCCCCTTTTTTGAATTCCAAAAACATATTTTTAAAATCAAAAGTTATCAATTGATTTATATCAATTAGTATAGCTTATTTGACAATAAGACTTAATTTATTTTACTTCAGCTATAAGAACCAGCTCCGGTGATACAAGACTAATCAACAACTTAGTAGCATTGGTTGTGAGTACGGCTTCTTACCAAGATAGATTTGAATTATACGATTTTGAGTCTGAAAGCGGCATAGAGGCTATGACATCTTCTGACTTGGTTCTTCAAGGAAACCTTGTCACTGGTTCAGAGAGGATAGCATTCCATGTTCCACCTCAAGATTGTGACGACACTTCCGATAGATACAAGAACAATAAAGCTTATGCGAATGTCCTAGGAGGATTTGTTGTTGAATTCAGAGATGTTCTTAAACAAACTGACTGTGCGCAAATGTCTGGTCACACAGTTTGGAAAACTCATGACTATGGTATTTACTATCAAAACGATCCAAGTTTCCTTGCCCAAAATAATATTCTTATTGAGAACACCAACGGTCTCTTCCCTATTGTGTTAAAACCGCATTCATTATCACATGTCTTTGCAAACAAAACAATGCAAGTGCGTAATACACTATTTGTAGGCGAAACAAGTAGTTTTGACTGCCAAAATGATGTCACTCCTAAAAATGACGATAACTACAAGCTCTCTGAAATGGCTCGTCCTAGTATGTTGCCTTCGAAAGGAATGGTTGGTTTGATATTTCCAAACTTCTATTCGAAAGACAACGGACTTCCTACACATCCATGGGCAGGATGTATGTCTTATCCAGCTATAGGTGGACTTATGATAATGAACAACGTCACCTTCGCGAAGTATAAGAGTAGCAGTTGCAAATCAAACTTTGGAATTTCTACAAATGCTAACAATGATGACGGAATACACCCCATTGAGTCGAAAGAAGTGACTTTGATTGATGTTGACGAGACCAACAAAATCATATATCATAGACCAAATGTTGCGTACGTATATACTTTGAGTATTTCTTAATAGTTTGCACATGATCATAAAGACATGTTATGATTTATATATTATTTGTCTGTTATTGATAGTCAAACTTAATGAAACGTGAAATATTGAACTGAGTCATAAACTTTAGACATTAATCTACATTTGCTAGACATTTTGTGACAATAATGAAAAAGGTGTTTTATAATTAAAAAATGTAAAGGTAAATCTAACATGCAATTATTTTACACTTATTTTGTATTGTGAAGGTAATTTTAAAAAAAGTATACAGCATGAATTATATACGTTTCAATCACTCCATGAAAAGGAGATTCACAATCAGGCGATAACTAAGAATTTATAATTGCAACACCATGTTGGTGGAAATCCGATGATTTTCTTAAATGTCTCCAAATGAAAAGATGAGAATAAGGACATAATATCTGGAGAGTGACATTATCATTTAAGCAGTTCACAGTAGGTCAATATTCTGTTTAAAATGGAATAAATGCTATGACTTTGAGCATGCAACATTTTATAATTTCAGACGTATTAATGGTGCAGACTGCGTCGACATGGATTGTGATGGACATAAGAAAGCTCTTTTCAAAGACATGGATGGTACGTTCCTTGGCCATATTGGTTCCGTCGTTCCGGAATCAGAATGGGAATGGGATGGCGATCCGAGACGTGGTCTAGGAGATGCCAGAATACCAAAAACAATGCTTACTGACATAGATGGCAATAAAATTGCAGTCAATACATTAGCTCCACATAAAGGTATGTCTAAGATTATAAATATTTGTTACGTTTATCATTTTCAAAGTGTATTCAGGAGATTTTTTGCTAATATAAGAAAAACAATAAGCAATAAATAGTTCATGGACTACTGTGTTTTCTTTAACATTTATATTTTTCCTATTAGTGCTATTTATTGACATGCCCTTTCACTAATAATGACACTTCTAATTTCGATCCTCAAGTCTTAATTGTTGGATGCGACTAGTAATCATTTAAAACTTCATTTTCTCATATGTCTCTTTACAAATGAGCCCTGTATCTATAATTAAAAGAAATCTCTGTTGGTGTTTTGTTTTGTATTTGTGAACTTTAATTACTTTGATAATTATTCAACCATTTGCTTAGGTGTGATCCGAAGTGACAACTGTATATATCGCTCTACATGGCACGCGTATGAATGCGACTCTGATCTGAACTATCAGTTGCTTATAATAGAAAGTATGGATGATGACACGGAGACGAGGCGTCTTTCTCCAGTTGCTATACTTGGTAATGGATATCTTGATCTTATCAATGGTCCGCAGGATCACGGATGGTGCAGTGGTTACACATGTAGATTGCGAATATCAACATTTATGGCCCTTGTTGATACAGGTGTGTGTAAATTAACATAAATTTGTATGTATATTTATCAAGATACTCAAACGAGGACACACGCTCTCAAAATTATGTAAACATAGTTTAAGTGATGGTTATTTTTTTTACTTTTAAAGTATTTGACTGAGAAAAAGATGCCTCTCAATCGGAAATGTATTGCTTAGCATCAATTTTGGCTACCAGCAATTTGTATCTAATGTTTATTTCATCAGTTCTCTTCTCATTTCAATGACAAAACTGTCAAACAAATGAGGGCTAATAAGGGCTAATAGGAATTAATTATATTGTGTCAACTAGACTATGTCTCTACTCTTGCTTTTTGGTCAATTAATAAGATGGTTTACATAAATATACTTGACGTTTTTCTTTACCTAATGACACGTTTTTCTATGTAATATAAAAGAGTTTGTAGATAATTTTGCAGAAAAGTAAATAGCCATATGACAATATTCATTGTTAAATTGCCCTGTGAACATTAAATATACAAAATGGATTTCTGAAACTGATATTCTTAAATATCGATAATTTCTAACTATACATTACAGGTGAAGATTATTTGGTACATCTGTCAAGTGTCACACCCAAGCATATGAGATACCGTTTGTTGAACGCTTCTCCTAGTGAAGCAATTAAGTTCACCCTTTGGTACTCAAAGTCAAATAGACTTGATGTGTATGTTGATAACGAGTATGTCATGCCAACCAACGGAAGAACTGACAGCAAAGGCAGATTCATTACATCGACTCCAAAAGGTAACCTTATCTTTGTTAAATTGAAAAGTACATAGTTAATACGTTTTTTTTTAAAATCTGACTTTGTTCGAGGTTTTGCAAAGAGTAAATGCCAAGTAGTGTTGATATTCTTTTTATAGAAGTTGCCAAAATATTTGCGATGATACTAGTAGTAGTACGTGCTTGTAATATTGATTGGATCGAATTAACTTGCAGTTTATATTCAATTTGTCTATATTCATGTTTTAGGAAATGAGTATGAACCTTATATAGCAAATGGAACGGGAGCCAATTACTTTGACAAAGAAACCGGGGAATTGACAATAATCATTAAAGGAACACAAGTAATTGATGTTAAAACACAGGAGTCTGTCATTGTAACATTTGGTATGCCAAGCTTAACTGTTGACCAGTTCTTCGGGGACGGCATCGTTGAAAATCTGGCTAATTTCCTGGGTATCCCAGTAAACAAAGTACGTGTAGTGAAGGTTGTGAGTGCATCAAATAGCGGACGAAAGAAGAGATCAACTGGAGGAATAACTGTTGAAATTGAAATTGGAGATGAACCAGTGTCAAGTAGGCACATTTTGTTTTATTAAAAAATAGGTTATACTGTCTTGTAGAATATTATCTGCTGCAAACCTTCAGTATAATTATGTGATATTATTCAAATTACAAATGGTACAAACGAATGACACAGGATTGAATCAGAATCCTAATGACTTACAATATGTTCATAATTTGTAATTTATCTGATTATTTTTTAAATGCATTTTCAAATACATTATAGCAGCATATGTCTTACATAACGTGAAAATATAGTGTTTATACGTACCACAGTATAATCCTTCTTATTGCATGCTGTGCCTGTTTATATGTCAAGTCTTTATTTTTCTCCAAAAAATTTCAGATATTAATGACACCGCTTCAAACTCGATCGATTATTCAAAGCTGACAGAGATTGCTTCAAGCATCGTAAATGAATGTCAAGTAGGAAATGTTAGCGAAAGTCTGAATGTGACTGGAGGATGTGAGACTGTTCAGGTACCGGCTACCGACCCAGCATCACCCACTATTGTGTACAACACGCCGTCACCAGATCACCTTTACTTTGTTGATAAACCAGAGCCAGAATATGAAGGTGTCCTTCTAAAAAAACAGCCAAGAATACGAGTTGCTGATATTTCGGTAAGATGTATAATCATTGTGTAATTTATTTATAATTATATATAAGAATGTTTGTTCTTAGTGACTAATTCTTTGTACTATTAAGTACTTTGTTTTGTTTGGTAATATGTTCAGTGAGAGATAAGTATCAATTGCTTTAATATCAGTGCAAGCGTAATTGATTTAACAACGCACTTAGCTATCGGAATTTATTTGTAGCTATTATATCTTATGAAACGTGTTTCTTTGTTACTTAAACATCGGAATAAGGTAAAGCTTAATTCAACAATTTCGGCAACTAAACACATTTTATATTTCACTATTTTCAGGATAATGTTATAACTGAGCTTGGAACAACAGAATATCCATGGCAGCTTACTGCTAGTCTGCGAGAAGGCTCTGGTCACCCAAATGCCATGTTAAACGGAACTGTCACTGTAAACTGCAGTGAAGGTTGGTTTACCTTTACCGACCTTGCTATATCGCACATGGGCACCGGCTATGTACTGGACTTCAATGTCTCCTACCCAGCGGAAGCTGAAAACTTTACATTGGCTTCAGATCCTTTTGATGTTGATGGACGACCAATAAAGGTTCACGTATATGATCAAACAAGTGGTGATATCGTGAAAGATGCTCGTTTTTCAGTTACACTAGATTTGCAAGATTCTAATACAGAAGATATCATTTCCGATATTGCATGGAGGGTATGTATATATTCCATATTTGCTTAACTGACTGTAATTATTTATTCTTAAAGATGAGTGGAGCGTTGACCAAGGAATGTTTTGCGTAGAATTCAGTAGCACAATTTTTTGTTTTTGTTTTACAATTCAACTCTTTACTTTTTTTAATGTGAATTCTGAGAAACTATTTAAAGTATCTGTTGGTCGTAAAAACAATTCAACTACTGTAATTATAATTACAAAATGAAAATTCAAACTTATCTTTATATGTGTCTTTATTCAGGATCACACATGGACTTCTGAAGTTATCCTGCTTGGAAGCTCCAATTATGCCTCTCTGAGTGGTGTCTTTACGTCTTCCTTTGACGCAACCTCGGGAAGAGCCTTGTTCCCAGACCTCACCCTTACCGGTTTTGGAATGTATTACTTGCAGTTCAGAGTGATCTCGAACCCTCCAGATTTCAACTTGACCTTAAACCACAAACTGAACATCAAAAACCCATCACACGTTGGTATGACAGTTGAGGAAGATTATGAAGTACAGGTAAATATTTGTCTCGACATATACGTGAAGTTTATTCATTTGTGTAGTTTCAAATGTATCAGTCTTTCTATTATAAATTGTATAAGATAAAAGTTAGTGTGTCAAAGTATTACTTGTAATTTGTACCCAACTTATATGGTGTTTCGACCATCTTTTTCCCTACAGGTTAAGTTTGATGTTGATTTCAACAAAGTGTTGCCATCAGTGGACAAACAGAATGAATTTGAGCAGATGGTTCTGACAGAATATGCTAATTTGTGGCCGGACGTACTGCTTTCTATTGGCTCTATCAGAGAAGGTATATTTGACAGATTTGATTTTAAAACCAATATCTTTCAAGTGCAGTGATGACATGACTTTAGTATATTGCAGTAAAATTTATATTTAACTAGAGTTAATAATTGTGTCAAACCATTTAGAAAATTTTACCAACATACCGTTTATAACCGTTTATTCATTTTATGAGCCTGAGAGTATGCCTGTGTAAAGCCTCTCTTACTGAGATTCTCTACTGGGGACATATACCCCCAAAAAGGCGCCTTTACCTCATCATCCCTTAATATCCCTATCTGGGTATATTTTGATTAGATTATTTGATTTAGAATAAGCTATAACAGTTTTATGAGCACTTTAAAGCTTCAATGATATATATGCCCTATGTTTGCATTTTATACACATTTCAATAAATGTTTTTTTTTCTTATTTCAGGGAGTATCGTAGTGACATTTGTTATATCAGGAACCTTATCGTCTGTGAATTCTACAGCATACAGTCTGTGTGACAGTATTTATAATAAGACGGCCTACTCCTATAACGGTTACAGTCTTACTCTGTCTCCCTACCTCACCATCAACAACCAAACTTACTATGGAGTGACATGTGGCGAAATAGTAAGAATCTTTTATTAAAGGGATAGCCTATCAAAATAAACATGCAGACTAAATTTTTCAGCTGTTTGAATGTTCTGAACTGTTTATGGCATTTCATTACCTAATTTTTCTATGTTTTAAGTTGTGTTTTGAGGTAAAAGTGGCACAGTATACTATGTTAGGATCTATTGCAAATTGGATGTTTTATGTGAAAAAAAAGAAATGTTGAAGATAAGATTTAATAATCAATAACGCCAACAATTTCCTTTGTATTCGGCCAGTGCATTAAAAATAAGTAGAATTGTTAACACGAAAGTTATAATGCATAACATGTTCTTGACTTTTGTCTATTTAGTCGGATGATGAAGACGAGGGACTTGCAACTTACCTTATTATTATCATAGTCCTGCTCTGTCTGCTGGCCGTCATAGCCGTTGCTGCTGTTGTTATTTGGAAGTGTTCCGTCAAGCCAAAGACACAAACACACGGTATGTCATCATTGCTAATTACGCCTTCAATGGTAATGTATGGTATTTAATACTATTTGCTTTTGTGAATAGCTGTATGCTTTTTTTAACTACTATCATGTTCATTTAACCCTTTCGCTGCCAGAGGGTTATTGTTTTATTGATCACCTATTTGCCAGAAATTACTATAATTATATTACTATATTATCAATTAATATAATTATTATTATTTGTTATTAGAATTATAATAATTATATATGTTTCCAAATCTGTTAGTATAATAATAATTATTGTCGATGGTATAATTTTCTTTATATTTATTATTATTTTTATTATTATTATTATTATTATTATTATTATAATTATTATTATTATAGAAAAGGCAAAAGCCGTCCATATGGCAAATACGCCGAAAATTACAGGGACGGCATAAGCCGTCCCTATGGCAGTGAAAGGGTTAATTAGGTAGTTTTACAGATGAGTGTCGCCCCGATTAACATGCATACTTGCGTATATTAATGTTTATCTTTTTTAATATGTAAGTTAATAACTGGACAACTTATTGCTCTATTACGCCTTTATTGAAGTAGATAATATTTTACAGTTCCTGTATTTGTTAAACCTCTTGGAAATGACAAGACAGCAATGGGTAAATAATTGCTTTCAAAACATTACGTTTGTTATTGCTGTTGTTTTATATTTGCACTGGTGTTGAGTTCACTAACTCTTAATCGTCGAAAAACGTGTAATTAGAACATTAAGTAGCACAGTTTCGATGGTAATTATATAAATATCTTGACTTTTTCTTTGGCAATGCTACGCACACTCTCTAATATATACCTATTCGATTTGTGTTGTCAACAGTTAGTTTAAGGAAATTCGTTATTTAATACTAAAAATAAACAATACTTTGTACGAGTAAATGTACGTTTAGTAATGACCTATACTCATTTAAAAATCGATTGTATTTGCCCTTCAAATTTTGGTACTGAAATGATTTTTCTCATTATCTTTGCACTTGTTTAGAATTTGAAAAAAATAACTAATACACAAATTGCCTGATATCATTATCTCACTATTCATTATTTCACGTGTGCACAATCCGTCACATATTTGTATTGCACGATGGTTACATGTTTCAATATTTCACGTGTGGAAGTGATTCCCTCAACCAGTGTGATGTGTGTTTTATCTTACACTTGGTAAGTATTTTGATATAATTTTCTAATAACATTTTCTCTATATAATTTTTATTCCTGGTAACGGCTTGTACAGAGATTAAACTTGCATACTGTTTAAAGTCAGAATTGTAATTGTTACGATTTATTATATAAATTCTTCATTGAAGTTGTCAAAATGTACTTACTACTGTGATGCTAATTTGGATAAAAAAATTGTAAGTTTTTATTCTAGAATTTGTTATTAATACAGAGTAAAAATATACCACAGTTAGCGACTTCTCATAAAATGTTATTTAAAACATCGTTTCTTTGTTATCTTTTAAGTACATGGTACTCAGTACATTGGCTTCACCGACGGGAAGCTCGAGGATTACCTGTTCAGAGACGAATCGTTTACGAGCCTACGAGGCGGTTACTTGAACACCCAAGCCCCACCAGTTGCAACAAAAATAAAGATCGCAAATATCCCAGAGAATGAATACCTGTATGGTTTGCAATCTCCAAGATCTGAAAGCGGAGAGTCTGCACTGACGGCAAGATCAATCATTAGTGTGTCAGATCTTTTAACAACTGACACCAAAAACATGCCCCTTGGAACTGATTTTACACCGAGAGCAACTGGAAAGTGTCTTCAAGTCGCAAGATTTAGAGAGGAATTCAGACAGCCAAGCCCAAGTGGCAGTGCATCCCCAATGTTACATAGAGCATGTACCCCTGTTACGGAAATAGAAAACGATCTACCACCTGTTGGAGAGGCAAGATATAGATTATAAATAATGCTGACCATGCAAAGCTAAAACACGAACGAATACTACTGAGATACATCGTTGTCGGACATACAACTATCACAGCATACCTGCAGTATACATGTATATACATACAACAAATGTGAACGTATGCTTGTAAACAGTGCAGAACTTGAAAAGGACAAAATATGATATTTGGACTTATTTCGCAATGCAAATTATACGCTGTGATTTTAAATATTCTTTTATCTTAACATACTAAGAATGTGTGTTACCAGCAAATTTATAAGAAGTAATTCTTTGTATATTCCAACATTTTTTTTTGAATTTTGCTTAGCAATTATTCAAATATATGTTTCTTATTAAAATATTAAAAATTTGGTTTTTGTTGAAACCGAGAACAATAGCAAATCTTTGAAATGTTACTTTTTGTATAAAGGGACATTTTATATGAAAGGGCTGGAAACAATTTGATGTGGGTCTAGACCAAAACATTTAAGATCATTTGCCCTCTCCGTTTTTTTCTAGAATAGTTTTTCTTATTTTTTTTATAAATGACTCAAATAGAAGGTTGCACTCAAATCGGGCTTAGATTTTTTTGCCATATTGTTCTACTTTAAGTGCCTCAGCTGATTTAAGTAAGAAATTCAAATTTTATGTTTTTAGGCTTTTGGACTTATAGCACTGGAGTTCCTATAATGACAATTTTGTGTGTTTGCTTGCGTGCGTGCTGTGTTTTATCATCGATGATAAAAAAAACAACTCGGCATGTGTGTTTTCCCATCAAATCCCGTAGTACATACAGAATTCTACAGTAACAACTTTGTAAATATATCGATAATAAGTGCATCGCATTGATAATTATATTGTGAACGTTAATGCACCGTCAAGCTATAACGCTCAAAATGTGTTTATACCCAGGGATGAGATGGGGAAAGTTAACTGTCAACGTTTGTTTATACCCAGGGATGGGATGGGGAAAAACCCACACTTGCCGAGTTTCTGAGATCTTCCCGTTATCATGTATCTAAAAGAAGATTTAATTGGTATCAATACAATATATAATAGATTTGCCATAATCCTAAATATGAAACATGTTGGGAAGTATTTGATTCATTATTGCATTTGCCTTTTCATTAGTTTGTCGTAAATGTGTTATATTTATTGTTTTAAAAAAATCCTTCATATTCTTTACAGAGTAAGTATGCTCGTTAATCGTTCGATTGAAGTGTTTGTTGTAAAAGAGTGGCTCACCCATTCAACTGAAACTTTCTTTGCTTAATTTACTTGTTTAGGAATCGTGATTTGTATATCTAGTTATTTAAATCGTCAAAAGTTTCGATTTTCGCCTGAATTTCTGTTTAATTCATGGGAAGTTTGAATATTAAACTTAATTTTTCCTGCCCTGTATACTTGCCTATTCTAATAAACACTGTGTTATTTGCATATTTACTTTCCGATTTCTTCTTTATCCCACGGTAGAAAACATATAGTTATATACATGTGTGCCAACGTCTTGGAATTAAACTGTGGTTATACTCAGGTGTCCGTTTGTGCCTGAAATAATACACAGAAGAGCAACTGAGTTGCTCTACCACCAGAGAAACTGGAACTTCGCCATATTTATATTTGATAATACTGGTAATTAAATTAACGTTAAAATACATAGGCCACATTAAAATACATTTTGTCTTAAAATGACGGAAAGGTTATTTATTAAAAGGTTTATCAATTACCCGTAGTAAAATACAGGCCTTTCAATGTTTTCATGAAATAATTTTAATGTATATGTATATTGCGTTTTGGCAATCACTTATAATTGTTCGTTGTCACGCATTTAATGATTATTTTCTATTTCAAGAGTGACATTATCAAAGTGCTTACCATTGCAAATAAATCTAGGAGACACTATGTCTTTTTATGTATATTAGATAATAACATGTGCAATCTTTCGTATGGCATTTCTCATAAACAATTCCTATAAGTCATAATATCAATACGGTATCTATCACAGTGCTATTATCAAAAGTATTTGACTTTGCAAACGAAAAGCACCATCAGTTTACAAATTGATACCTTACAAGGTAGATGAATAAACATGAGGGCAAAACTCATTGAAATAACGGTCAGAATCCAATTACCAGAAAAGCATAGGTGAGAGTGGAGACCTGTTACTGTTTTAAAAAAATACAATTTCAGAAGAAAAACGGATAAAGAAATATAATAATAGTCTATTTTGTTCGTAACATTACTGAAATACATTTTCACACAAGTGTTCACAAATCCAAAAACACAGAACAGGCGCAGTTAAGCTTATGTTTGCGGAATCATTTAACTAAATTTTTAATATGTATGTATGTCACAAAACCAAAAGAGCAATGTATGATAGTATACATCTCAGAGTATTCATATTGATTTGAAATTAAACATTCTTCAAACAAGAAACCCAGCTACTTGAATGGTGGAACAAAAAAAGTATCAAATACTGGTCCGGAGAGACTCTTCTGAACATGTAAATCTTCAATTATATGAAATTTAATGAAAAATATAGACGGCCTCTAAATGCATTAGACTCTGTCTAAGAAGGTGGTAATACTTGATACTAGTTCAGGGACAAAGGTTAGTCTAAATTGGTTGGCCAAGTTCAATGGTGGGGACAGGGTAAATAAAAAGAAGTTTCAAAAATGGAAATGAAAAATAAAATTCTTGTTTGAATGTACTAGGCTGAGATTTGTTGTATCTAATATAAGCTATATGTCCTCTACCTAAGTAGTTCAAAGTTTGCCTGTAGTGTGAAGTTTGACACCACTTAAGGAGTCATAGGTTTTCCTTATAATTTATGAATATAGTAAAAAAATCATCTCCTCTGAAATGTCAAAGGCTAAAAAGTACATATTTTGTATGAAACATTGTGTGGTGGACCTCTAACAAGATTGTTCAAATAATAGTCCTGGACTCAAAATTCGCCCTGCCCCACGGGTCATAGATGATCCATATAAATAAAATGAAAAAATATTTATAGTAAAAATAAAATAAAAAATTCTTCTGAAATGACAAGGGTGAGAGCGAAAATATTTGGCATAAAACATTGCCTGGTAGACCTCTATCAAAGTTATTCAAATTATGCTTCTAGTTTGAAAATTGGCCACGCCCGGAAGGGGGTCATAATTGAAACCTCCCTGAAAGAGCTCATATGTTTTGCTTTTGTGTATAAAATAAAGTCTTTAAAATCTTCTCCTCTGAAATGACAAGCTAAGATATTTGGCACGAAATTTTGTGTAGTGCACCTCAAACAAGTTTGTTCAAATTTTAGCTGGGGTCAAAATTGGCTCTGCCCGGGGAGTCATAGGTTTTCATATGTCTACATATTGGAAAATATTATGGGAAAAGAGCTCAGGCATGAAACATTGTAAATCTGTTTAACGATGGTCATGAATTTTCTTTATTTACATATAACAAAGACTGAAAACACATTCTCTGGAGAGCTTAGCTGCTTGGCATGAAACATTGTCTTACGACATTTATCGAAAGTCTTGTGGTCACCATTTGCAATATCCCAGTGAACTCAGTGACCAACTGTTTCGTTTTTTACAAACAGCTACACAATTTGGACCATGTGTACAGTTTCGGATGTAGAAATGAACTTTGACATCAGCTGACCTTGGTTTTGACATAGTGACCTCTTTTGTTGCTGTTGTTGTTTTTTTACTATGTGCACAGTTTCAGGTGTAGAATTGAAATCTAATGTCAGATGATTTAAGTATTGACCTAGTGACTTACTTTCTTGTCATTTGATGTACAGCTATAAATGTTGGACTATGTGCACAGTTTTAGATGTAAAATTGAAATTTCATATTCTTTAACCTAGATTTTAACCTTGTTAACTACTTTCTTGGATTTTTACGTGCAACTTTGAAACTTCTCCTTTCGCCGCCCTTATGTCAACTCCAGGTTTTTGTTTGGTGCCTCTCTGGGTGCCCTACTTGGGTGTTTCGGGGGGGGGGCTGCGTCCTGTGAACGTTGCCTTTACCTTGTTGATCTGTATTATTGTTTTGTTTTGTTTTTTGACATTTTTGTTTGTTTTTTTTTTTTTTTTTTTTTTTTTTTTTTTTTTTTTGAGCATGTGTAGTGTTTCAGTAGAATTGTACGTTCATATTAGAATCTTTATATTGACCTGATATCTTACTTTTCTGTTACTTGATTTACATCTATATAATAAAAACCATATTTATGGTAAAAATTTAAAACAATATTTTACATGAAGTATGGTCAAGTGACCTACATCGTTCAAATCCTTGTAATAAATACTAGCTTTCACTGCTTTAAAACAAATAACAAATAATAAGTTTGTCCTCGGGTGAGCGCTAAGTGATCATTGCAGGTCTACTTGTTAAGTTATAAGTGTGGATTAATTGTAATTCTTATCTGTATGTTATCTGTTTTCAGATAACTGGCGCACAGGTACCTCGTATAATGGCGACAAACCCGTTGAAGACTTTTTGTTCCGAGAAGATTCTAATGCCCCACTGAAATTTAATATTGGCCAGGCACCTGCTATGACGTTTCTGGGCTCTGAAAAGAAGCGACCAGCTTCAGGTATGTCAGACTTCTCCCTGCGTATCAACACGCCAGAACCCAACAATGTGTCCAGCCCTATACCAAGGTTTCCTCCATCGATTGGCACAACGAATGCTCAACCTGCTTATGTTAGACCAAGACCTACCAACGTGGTTCCAAATATGCAGGGATCTAACTACCAGTACGCTAAATCTATCATCAATCGTCAAGACTCTCGTCCACATTCTGCCGTATCAGACCGCCAGAGTCCACTTCCGCCTGTTGGGCAGACGACAACTCTACATGACCTGGACCTCATTTAAACCACCGAACAGAACAGTCTGATATAACGAAATAGATAACTCTTATTATCAATGTTTGATATTTCAGTTAACGAGTTTGTGTATCTTTAATTCATCTACTCTTTTGTATACTTTTATATTTCTAAGCAGACGACATAAGTACGCAGAAAATTTTAAAAAAGATAACTTTAGAAAAAATCCATACATTTTAGCATGAATGAGATTGTATTTATTTTATGTCTCTTTGAAATTGTAATGTAAAAATTTATGCATGGAACTGATATGGTTTTTTTTGTTCGATACTAATATCTATATTAAAAAATATCTTGCATAATGAGCGTTTCGTATGAATATAGACAAAAGAGCCTAGGAACAGCGTTTTCATTGGTCAAAATCAAATTTGAATTTGAAAATAACCAACCAAATTTCTTCTGAGTGGTTGTGGGCATCACTTTTTTAACAATTGATCACTATTTTATCCCAGTCATTCAATATGTTTATCTTTCTTGTTAGTTTACTTTTGTTTTTTTTTATTTACTCATTTAAAAATTCAGAATGAAGCTAACGTCATTTGAGTCGTTCAGCTGACTGACTTACTATCAGAATAAAAATTGTTTTTTTCCTGTATGAAAATAGGGTTGCCAAATGAACTGAACACACCAAATCAACAATATTCAAAAATTATTTGACTACAATGATTTCCGTTTTCTGTTTGCGATTTTGTTTTGCATATTTGTAGTGGCAAACAAATTTGATTTGTAAAAAGTGTGACAAGAAGTATAATTTTCGAACGCTTTTAAAACGTTGTCTCTTTTTCGAGAAGAAAATCATCTTTGAAAATTTCCAAACTCACGTCACATTCGTGCTTGGCTCTCTGAAAAATTTGTATAAAAAGTTATCGAATTTAAATGATTTTTTATGAAAAGGGTGAAATATAATAGAGCTGTGATATTTACGTTTCTGGTGTTTTCTTTCTTGTATATACATGTATTTACTAGATTCAGTATTATTACGTTCTTTTTTCTCTATGTGTATTATCTTAAAATAGTTGTAGTAGAAAACAAAATATAAAAGAGAGATTTTTTACCATATTAAATACCTGTAGTATGTAAATGTAAAACTACGCAATTTCTAAAATCTACCATTTGTTAATCCTTATTAGTATTTTTGTTTTGTGATTTTTGTAACCAACTAGTTTAAATATTCAGCTTCATCATGATTGTTTATTTCCATCATGAAACCAATCGTGAAATTTGTACTATTTTGTTAAACTTACAAACATTTTAATAAAAGTAATACAAGTGTGGTTGTAACCTTTTGGCAGGGATTAAAGATTTGAAAAAAGAATCATGCGTTCTTCGTCTTTTAAAATGATAAGTACAACGATAAATTTATGTATGAAGTGTGTTTGATTGTTTAAGAAGATCGTCGTAAAATAACAATACAATGTGCATTAGTGACTTCGGTAGAAGAGATTGAATACATTACAGATTTGACAAGTTGAATTCATTTCGCGTCAGAATAACTTACAACATTTTACTGATTCAGTCGGTGTTACAACCGACCTATATTGAAGTATCACCCCAAGATTGTAAATAACAGCTATACTTTTGTTTTCGTTTCTGGATTTTATGCCGTTTTTACAATTTTAACAATTTCAAAGGTCATATCTCTGCGATTGATCCACCTAAGTAAATATTCAGTGAATTCTTTATTGTTTTCATTCTATCTACATATTAATTCAGAAACTTGTCGAGAAATCTGTGACAGGCTTAACGGCGAGTTCAAGTGAAACTGGTGATGCGTATCCGATGCAAGGTGTCCAAAATGTATCAAAGGTCCGATTTCAACGGAAATTACGTCAGCTATTTTGTGAACCTCGTGTTCCAATGACGTCAGGAGAGTTCTGTTATGTGTACCATCGTCAGTAAGGATTAATACAACATTTTTAGCTGATGGTCGGTCACCGGCTCTGGATCTGAGTGCATGATGGGTCACATATTTTAATCCAACATCGATATCTCCGCTTCCGCCGTGCAAAGATAAGTGAGTTAAGGCTCTGAGAACTGAATCTTTGGAATGAAGGTCATCCAGATCGAATATATGTCTAGACGAACTTGCAAACATGCCAAGAGACACATGTACTTCAGCGTCGCTAATGGGCAATGGGGAAACTACGTCATGTAAAAATTGCTCAACCTCGCTTTGGTACCTTCTGACACTGGTCGACTCATCTATTACAATTACAAGGTCTATTACACAACCTGAAAATCAATATTTTAACATTTGAGCCGCGTCACGACAAAACCAACATAATGGGTTTGCGACCAGCATGGATCCAGACCAGCCTGCGCATCCGCGCAGTCTGATCAGGATCCATGCTGTTCGCTATCAGTTTCTTTACTTGTTATAGGGTCTGTAAGCGAACAGCATGGATCCTGATCAGACTGCGCGGATGCGCAGGCTGGTCTAGATCCATGCTGGTCGCAAACGCATTACGTTGGTTTTGTCGTGACGCGGCTCATTTATACTTTCAGTCAATTATGTGTGTCTTTCACGTTGTATTTATGTTAATATGTCGATTTGTTGATTATACAATTTATTTAATCATGTTTATAAAGTACTCTGTCGATGAACGTTTTCAGGCGTGTTGTTAAAAGTTTAAAATTTCCCAACAGGATTAATAATACCTTTCATATGTTGCAGTTTGGATGGAAATATCCGTCCCGAGGGGGCATGCCCATGGACGGGTTCCCGAGGGGCGGATATTTCGATCCGAACAGCAAACATATGTCAGATATTTTTTCTTACATACGGCTCGTATACTACCATATGTCGTTATATTTTAAACTCTTTACCTTAATAAAACAATTTTCCGTGGACATTATGTCATTACACCCGTAATTATTTTCTTACAACAATGTATGAAATTACAACTTCATTCATAACGGGTAAATAACGTCATATAGAGAGAATTGTAATACCCAATAATTTTTCTTCAGAGCAACAAAAAAATTGCTCTGTTTTATGTAAAATACAAGGATTACTTTCATGAATATAATTTTGCTTGTGTTTTGAGAAATATATTCGTGGCACAGGGCGCCAATGAAAATACCTGAGTGCAATGACCACCACGGTAGTTTTATTATCAAAACATAGCTGGCGAATTTCATCGCATTAGCATGTGAAGAGCATGACGAAATCGGTAAGTTTTATGCCCTGAGTACTCGCACTTAATATGCATCATTAATAATCTATCAAATACAATATATATCAACGGAAATGACCATTAAATCCTATTTATGTAGCATTATAATTGACAACTTGACATGAGTCCATGCTCCTTTCAAATATTGTAACCACCGTCATCATGTTAAAGGCGACGAACACGTAATTGTTCAAATGCTGAAAAAATACATCAAATCTTAGTTATTGTGATTCTTCAGAAATGAAGAAGTTTATGTCTATACATATGGTGCAAGTTACCTGTCGGCGTTTTTGTTGTTGGTCTTGTTGTCGTTGGTCTTGTTGTTGTTGGTCTTGTTGTCGTTGGTCTTGTTGTTGTTGGAATAGCCGTGGTAAATACTTCTGGTTTTGTTGTTAAGGTTTCCGGATAATTACAGAGGTCGTCCGAACAACATGTTATTGAAACGTCACGTGCATCTTTGCTACGCTTTCCGAATGCACTTAAACTACTCCATGGGTCATCACACGTCTGAGATGAATAAAAAAATATAATATATAATTTATCTATTCAAATATTTCATTGTTTTGTTGTTATTTTTTCTAATTACTAATTAAAAATCAAAGGTTAAGAAAGCTATGCATGTATGAAATATTTGTGCGCATCGCATTAGCATGTGTAGTTAACGTACTGGTTTCTGCAGTGAAATTGAAATTTTCTACATAGGAAGGAAGGGAGATAGCATCGAGAAAGGACAGTGGTCCTCTGTATTGTGTACAAATGACGTCAACATACTCGAATGAATAAAATTTTCTTCTTTAGTTAATAATGTTTAAATAATGGTTTTCGAGCATGTGAGCAGCTTATTACCTGAAAATGGGAGCGCTGAACATGTCATTATCTGTCATTAACGTAGCAAAATGTAAACAAAGTATTATTTTGATTTTCATTCAAACAAACTAAATCACTGTGACTGTACTAATATCCAGAAAGCAACAAACGCGAAACATAACACGGGTAATTGACAATGAGTACATTATGTTCAGCAAATTGTATTTCATTTTGAAAAAGAAAAGCATTTGAAATATCTTCTTACCACTTTGTCTGCGCATGTCATTTCATATTCGTGATGTCCATCCAATGCAGATTTTAATTCCTTCTTCATACAAATCTGTAGAAATACTAAATATAAATATATGTACACTTAGACTTTCCTTTAAAATGAATATAGATATTGAAGTTCTGTTTCCGTTTGATGAACGCAGGGGCAAAAAGTGACTCGACTTCAGCTCGAGACTCGGCAAGGGAGGCACTGGCGTATGTGCCGATACGCAAAAAAACACACTGAATAGAATGTAAAAAAGGATTATATTGTGGGCTAAGAAACAGTTTGGTGGCTGCTTATTGCTGCTTTATACTCAAAATGAGTTCATGTACATCATTTGAAATATTTGAACCATGTACATTTACTCACCTCTCCTTCAGCGCACTTCATTGTTGTGTTACAAAGATGGTAGTCTTTCACTGTCGCGTTACAATGATAGCAGGTCACGGCTGTAAACATTGGATGTAATTAAAAAAATAACGTTTATATACATTTGTGTTAAACATATCAACTAAAATGTGCCCTTATTTCTTTCCTTTTTTTTCTACCTATATGATTTACAAATTTCCCTGGCTGCTCTTCTTTTACTTCATTTTGGTTCGTAACTATCTTTGTATTTGACTCTGTAATTTAGTCTTTACGACATTGTGAATACATACAATCACGTTGACATTAAAGTGCCTATGATAGAATTTATCTCAATAATTAAAAAGAAAACAATAGATCTTGATTTGGCAACCAGACATAAAGTTTTACAGTAGTGGAAGCGTTAAACACAATTTTGCAAACTATTGTGCATTTCAGTTCAATAACAAAATAAGGATATGTATATTCTTTGAAAAATTGTACAATACCGTTCGGTGTATTGAGATGCCATGCATTCGTACCCGTGTCAAAAATATATAATTTTTGTCGACTATATCAACAGTTGCCTTCAACAAGAATTTTGTATCGAGTTTAACGTCGCACCAACTCAGTATAATGTCAAATTGAGACTTTCCAGCCTTACTGACTGTTGACTCTAGGTGCCATTGATTGAATTGTTAAAGATGGCAAAGGATATGATCTTAGTAAATGCTTTTATCGAAAGCGATTATCTTTCACTACCAGTATAGAGCTGCACAAGCCTGCATAGTGGTATTGTTTGACTATAGGTTCTACTCGGTTGGAAGGCCAATACTAAATCTTAAAAGTATTTTTATACTAGAAAATATCTTAAAAGTTATTAGACAGTTCTAAATTCTAAGCATGGCAAATCCATTATTAAAGTTTAGCAAGAATTATATAGTCTTACATAACGTGACATAACAACCTGTAGTAAAAGCCTGAAATTAGCAGAATTCTATTTGAACTTACGGCACTTTTTACAATAGGCCGGACATGCAGTTTTGGCTATGGTGTCGTCGGCGCAAAGGTCGGGTCTTTGTTGAGCCATCAGTTTACAGGCTATTGGGTCAATATCTTTACAATCCTGGGCTACAACCAAGGAACTAAACGCAAAGACGAAGGCTGAAAAGCAGAATTTTTAAGTTTAAACAGTACATTTTAGCAATAATTCAGTTGCAGGATTTCTTATAAAATATATTATGTTCATAATTTGTATTCAATTTATGTCTGTTGTTATACTAAGGAATGGAAGATATGGAATAAATATCAACATTCATGCACTCCTAGCAGCAGGTACATATCTTCATATATTATTTTCGTATATAAGGATGTCTTTCTCTGTGATGACATATTATCATGACTTCTTAACATCTTGCACGTGACTTAGAGCATTTTAATAGTGAACAGACGACAGAAAAGAAATAACATATTTACAGAAATCAGTGATTTAAGATTCTTTCGTAAATCATGATAAAATGTACGGGATTTTTTCCCATCTTAATACTGGAAACTAACTTTTACAGTTACAACACGGTTAAATGTCAAGTCGGTACACAAACGGTGTACTTGCTGTCCAGTCTATCCTTATTTCCGGCGTGTTAGCTGTTTAAAAGTCTATTTGTAATATAACTATTACCCAGAAACACAGTGTGTTGTTTCCCGATTTTATATTTAATTATATATAAAATACAATATAAACATTTGAATTTGGCGGTAATATTTGGTCTCCCGAAAGTGACGATTTTGATACAAGCGTTTAGTGGTGAGAGAATTATAATGTTGGGTCCAGGCTTAAAAGGCGAAACAAGAGCGCAAACATTTGCTAGGCTCAGGTCGCGAATTGGTTGGACTGCTTACATTTTGGAGTCGTATATGGTATTTTTTTCAGATATCTAAAAATTGTTTGAAAACCAGTTTTATCGTTGTAACAGAACGATGTCCAATTCGTGTTTAGATATTAAAATATTTTTGATAGAGTGTTTACAGGGGCGTATCGCGTTCGGGGGCAGGATCGGAGGGGGTCAAAAATCATAGAATGGCTGTAAAAATCGTAAAAAATGAACAGTTTTTTAATCTGAAATAATCTGTATGTTAACCAGTTGTAATATTTGATGTGTCCTCCCATGGCAAAACACCTTTGTCTTTCATTTCTCCATTCCTGAACAAGGGCTTGCCCATGTTCCAGCAAAATGCTAGGGGATACTGGTCGCTTTCTCACACGCCTGTTCAAGTCATCGATGATGTTTAGATCAGGTGACTTGGGAAAGGTTTGTTTATATCTCTTATTGAAAGCTATGTCCGTTATACAAAAACTTCGCAATAAATTTCTGCTGAAAGAATGTTTGTTTACAAGTATTATCGAAAGTTTTGATAACTTACATATGCCGAGGACAAACAACATGGTTCACGTCTGGTCCAAAAAAGTCCAATCAGTTGATTGTGAAACAAAATATACTATATTTAAGTTTACCTTATATTCTAGGTCAACTGTTATATCATGATTTCGTTTAAGGCCATGCTAACATAAATGTTACGTTAAATCATACAAACGTATCTTTACAGATATGAACTATAAGAAATAATCGTTCTGTAATAAAACTCAATATTACCAAAATGATTAAATTTTCTATGTGTTTGTGATATGTGGGAGAAATCGTTTTGACCTTTTTTTAGATATTGGGGGAAACAACAGCCTCGAAACGCTTTCTTAGGACGCTTGTTTATAAAGGGACTTTTTGACTTGACGGGAATAGAAATGGTTTTACAAGAATTTTATGCAGGTCAAAATAAAGTGTGTTTAAAATTTCAGATCACTCACAACGTTTTAATAATTTGATCATTTTATCGTACATAATGACCGAAAAACCGAAATGCGTTTAAACGCTTTTTACTCAAATCGGACGATAATATATCGATTTTGGATTCATTCTGATAATATTTCTTTATTATATTTTTCATATTTGTCAGTTTTAGCAAGTCGATCTATGTATGGTTTCAGTCTTTTATCTTAAAGGGATTTCACTGAGGTTTTTTTTGACACGACTGGTTTAAAAATAATTTTTCAATATTTATGTTCCATTTGTTTAAGGTCTAGGCCAATAACTCTTTTCATGTTTCAAGAATAATTATTTTAATAGTGAAAAAATAGCCAAAATTGAAAAGCGTTGCAATGCTTTTCACTCAAATCAAACTTAGGATAGCACAAAATTCAATTTTTAATTTATTACTTCGTATATTTCTTATTTATCTTTTGCATACCATATTGTTTTATGTGCCCCTGCTGATCTATGAAACACAATCAAATTTTATGTTTTAGGCTTTTGGACCTCAGTGAAGCTCCTTTAAGGCTTTTCGACCTCAGTGAAGCTCCTTTAAGGCTTTTGGACCTCAGTGAAGCTCCTTTAAGGCTTTTGGACCTCTCCTTTAGGCTTTTGGACCTCAGTGAAGCTCCTTTAAGGCTTTTGGACCTCAGTGAAGCTCCTTTGAGGCTTTTGGACCTCAGTGAAGCTCCTTTAAGGCATTTGGACCTCAGTGAAGCTCCTTTGAGGCTTTTGGACCTTAGTGAAGCTCCTTTGAGGCTTTTGGACCTCAGTGAAGCTCCTTTAGGCTTTTGGACCTCAGTGAAGCTCCTTAAGGCTTTTGGACCTCAGTGAAGCTCCTATAAGGCTTTTGGTCCTCAGAAAAGCTCCTTTGAGGCTTTTGGACCTCAGTGAAGCTCCTTTAAGCTTTTGGACTTTAGTGAAGCTCCTTTTAGGCTTTTGACCTCAGAAAAGCTCATTTTAGGCTTTTGGACTTCAGTGAAGCTCCTTAAGGCTTTTGGACCTCAGTGAAGCTCCTTTAAGGCTTTTGGACCTCAGAAAAGCTCCTTTGAGGCTTTTGGACCTTAGTGAAGCTCCTTAAGGCTTTTGGACCTCAGTGAAGCTCCTTTAAGGCTTTTGGACCTCAGTGAAGCTCCTTTAAGGCTTTTGGACCTCAGAAAAGCTCCTTTGAGGCTTTTGGACCTTAGTGAAGCTCCTTTAAGGCATTTGGACCTCAGTGAAGCTCCTTTTGAGGCTTTTGGACCTTAGTGAAGCTCCTTTGAGGCTTTTGGACCTCAGTGAAGCTCCTTTAGGCTTTTGGACCTCAGTGAAGCTCCTTAAGGCTTTTGGACCTCAGTGAAGCTCCTATAAGGCTTTTGGTCCTCAGAAAAGCTCCTTTGAGGCTTTTGGACCTCAGTGAAGCTCCTTAAGGCTTTTGGACTTTAGTGAAGCTCCTTTTAGGCTTTTGACCTCAGAAAAGCTCATTTTAGGCTTTTGGACTTCAGTGAAGCTCCTTAAGGCTTTTGGACCTCAGTGAAGCTCCTTTAAGGCTTTTGGACCTCAGAAAAGCTCCTTTGAGGCTTTTGGACCTTAGTGAAGCTCCTTAAGGCTTTTGGACCTCAGTGAAGCTCCTTTAAGGCTTTTGGACCTCAGTGAAGCTCCTTTAAGGCTTTTGGACCTCAGAAAAGCTCCTTTGAGGCTTTTGGACCTTAGTGAAGCTCCTTTAAGGCTTTTGGACTTTAGTGAAGCTCCTTTAAGGCTTTTCGACCTCAGTGAAGCTCCTTTACGGCTTTTGGACCTCAGTGAAGCTTCTTTAAGGCTTTTCGACCTCAGTGAAGCTCCTTTAAGGCTGTTGGACCTCAGTGAAGCTCCTTTAAGGTTTTTGGACCTCTGTGGAGCTATTTAGATATATCAAAGTCCAAGTGTTTTGGCTTGCTTTTCATGTATTTTGTTTGTATGATCATGTCAGGTTGTAAAAATACCCCAAGATCTAATAACGGAAGTAATATTTCGCGCATGCGCATGCTGTGTAGGGCAAACATCTTATTACGGGCGGCTGCTTGTTTGTGTTAGAATGTTCATCACAGACACATTGATTGCAACACTAGATATATTTGCACAAAACAAGATGTTGGTAGAAATAAAGATAATTACTTGCTCTTTTTAATATATATTTGCATGTTTTGCGTTTTTTGGATTGCTTAAAACGTTATTATTTTTTTATTATTATAATTCACATTTTATATTGACTACTTCAACTTTATTTACAAATTTTTTTTCGTTGTGCTTTACACCGCATGAACACAGTATAGGTCATATGGCGATTTTCTATAGAGCACAAACCGCATCTGAGTAGAACCACAGACGTTCCGTAAGCTAGCTGGAAAGCTTCCTCGCATGAAAGAACCAAAAGTTCCTGTCGTGATTCGAACCCACAGTAATGAGGGGCAAGTGGTTTGTAGCCAACGAGCTTCACCATTCGGCCTCGGACGCCCCTTTGCAAATTATGCATAACACAATGACTGAAAAATAAATAAAGAGTAGCATGTGTCCTTGAACTATATTTGTGAACATGTGTTACGCATCATATTGATATCAGATAGATGTATGTCTGCTTATCAAAACAGACAGATTCAGTTAAAATAGAGCAAATATATATGTGAATGAAGGGAAAATAAGTAAATTTGTAATATTCTTTTAATCACACAGAGCGGCAGATTTTGTCTCTTGTCTTCGTTTTAAAAGTGGTTAAGGTCGTTGACTTCAAACCACATGCCCCTCACCGCTTAAGGTTCGTTTTTCGACAGGGACTGAATTATTTCATGTGAGGAAGCTATCCAGCTAACTAACGGAACGTCGATGGTTTTACACAGGTGTCCGTTCCGTTCGTGCTCGAAGGGGCACCCCGAGGTTAATCTGGAAAGCCGCGATTTCACCTTTACTGTGTTGGTCCAACCAATTAAAAAACAACATTTTTTTATTACTCTTTTAGAATGAAAGAAAACATAAGATCTATGTGGTGATATGTATGAAGTATCGGTTTTATAATTGACATGTTGCGTAATAGTACGTCCTGTAGTAAAAGAATGAACTGTATATACAGTGCATGTTTTGTCAATTTAGAAACTTGCTGTCAACTGACTCTTGATTGTCAACGGACGCGTTTTAATTTGTTTCGGAACTTAAGTTGTCTCCTTCCGGACACTCTCTGAATCATGGCTGTCCACATGTCGCCAACATATCGAAACATCGCTTTAATCATTACCCTAATCATCAAAACTTAAAAACTTCATCATGATTTCACCAGGAATCTTAATTATCATTGACATCAATTACATCATCGGTGTCGTCATCGTCGTTAATAACAAAATCATCGTCACAAATGGTATTATTGTCCCCACTATTACCACCTCTATTAAAATTATCAGATGTTAGCTCTAATACTTATTTGCTTGTAAACATTTTTGCTATCATTGACATGGTCATAGTCATTTCATATGAGAAATAAATGTTTCTTTTACAAGATCATCTTTATTTTTACCAAAATGGCGTTACTATAATTTCGCGCAAAAGACGTCATAATTATGTATCGTCTACATTTTTTTCGACCCTTATTTTCGACGTAGGTTAAATATTCAGCGAGGAGTATATTCGGGTAGGGATGTAAACGGCGTAACATGGCATTATTTTGTGTGTCAAGCCTGTATCAAAGGCAATGCTGGTGTATTTTCGCAGTGAATAATGAAGAAGAATAACAAAAATCTATCTTATTTACTAGTACTTTTATATCATTAATATTTTTATCTTTCATTGTTGCAATGATTACAAGACTGACGTATTAAAGGCAACAAGGCGAATACTGCAAAAAATTAACTTACTGAGTTAACAAAAAAAAACAGATATAAAATGACCCTAAAATTCTTATATAATCACTATAAATCTTTCTGTATACTATAAAGTTAAAATGAGAGAAAGAATAAACCCGAGCTTTTAGAAATCATCTGAGATTTGCAAAATTCAAGCAAACAATGTTGCAACCTCCAATAAGCCGAATTGGAATATTTGTCACACCTTTATTTGACCTTAGGACTTAAAGCGTTTACCAAAGTATTTGTCTGATCAACACATGTACATTGAATCAACAAGCTATAACTAATAATTCAAATAAGCTGCCGGAACATTATGATTATTAAAATGTTCATAAGGCACTTGATGATACTTTCGCTGACCAGGACTCTGGAATCTGATGAAACTTGAGGTCAGGTGTCGTAACTTCCACCCATCTCTGAAAAAAAACACAAATTAGATTAAGGCCGCTATTCCATTTATACGTAACCCGTGATCCGCGTCCGTGAAGCGCGTCCGGCGCATGTCGGCGAGAATTATTCCATAGGTACGTATTATTCCATATACTTAAAATAATAGTTGGTAGGAGATAATTACTGTTTGTAGAACGCACAAATGAAATAATGGAATAGCCTTATACAGACTGTGTAACGGAAATAAACGAATGCAACGGAAATTACCGAGCAGTATCGGGAACCCAGAACAAGTCCCTGGAAGCGGTACGTAGAATTTTTTTGTTCCTTTAGTTTGTGAAAAAGTGAGATGCCAAAGGACAAGCGCATTTTAATGTTTCAAACCATCCGTCTTTTGTTGCCCGTTCAAGTAAACGAGGAGAGTATTATTGTTTTAAAGTACTAACGTAACATGTGCAAACATTTAACTTAAATTATTTGAAAAAAAGGTCAATGACGTTTAATAATCAAAGGGCTGCAAGCTCTGTGGTATTTTCTGATCTTTGCAATCTAAATCATACTGACTATCTGTATGTATTTTCCTATATAAGTTTATTTTTATATACTATAATACATCTTACGCAGCGACTGCGTTAAGATTTTTTTCTATAACAGTTTGAGATTGATACATATGGAACATGTGCAAACATTTAACTTAAATTATTTGAAAAAAGGTCAATGACGTTTAATAATCAAAGGGCTGCAAGCTCTGTGGTATTTTCTGATCTTTGCAATCTAAATCATACTGACTATCTGTATGTATTTTCCTATATAAGTTTATTTTTATATACTATAATACATCTTACGCAGCGACTGCGTTAAGATTTTTTTCTATAACAGTTTGAGATTGATACATATGGAATTTTGCATGACTAGAGTTGCATCAAAAATCATTTTTTATGACAGCCACACTTTATCCTTGCATATCGTGGCTACTTCCTTAAAAAAAGACACTTCAAAAAAAAAAGTTGCCTCGACTAGGATTTGAACCTTAGGCCTCTCACACCCTAAACGAGCGCGATACCAGCGCGATACCCCTGTACCACGGTGAAGTAATACGTAATATGTAGCCTGAATAAAAACAAATACATTGTAATTTTAAATTGAGAATTTCCATTTTGTGTTTGTAATCCTTATCAATTTCGAGGTATTTTGTTCACGATAAACCTGTTTAACACTGATAAAAATAATTAAGCGAAAATGTTCTCGCCAAAACAGTCCGACATGTATATATTCCACTACTCGGCAGTCAGATTTATTTGTGTACTACGCCCTGGAGTATTCAGTAATCGACATAGCTAAAAATAACATTTTCATTGATTAAAATGATATTCATCCGCGAAATTTGTGATTGTAACTTCATATTTCTATTGACTAATCTGAACTTTCAATGCACTGAATTCGTTAAATGCCTACATTAAAAATTATTCTGTCTTTTAAATTGCTGGTTTTTAAGCAGTTTTGAGTGAGAACTACTTTGCGTTGTTAGGTCTGTTAGGAAATTTTGTGTTAGACCGTGGATGTTAGCTATGTATTTTCTGATCTTGCGATCAGAAAATACAAAATTAAACAAACAAATATCAGAATATGTACCTCTCTTAGCGTTCCTTTTGCCTTAAACATCTTGAAAAGGAAAACAATGGGGATGCACAGCATAGAAACAAGTGCTACACATATACCAAGCGCATGCGCTTCATCCGGGTACTCATACACGTTGTTGTATTTCAGGGGAGTAAAATCTACCAGCATGAAGAGAAAAACTCCCTGAAATGAATAAAAATCATAAATAATACAAAACACTACTACATGTACTAATTAATGTAGCCTTTGCTAGGTTTGATTATCTTACTCACGAGGTTCTCTGTAAATAAATAGTTTCAAAAACGAAATAGACATGTATAATTGAAATATAAAGGGAGATAAACGTTTTTAAATTTTGATAATAATGCAGTCTCAGGCAAAACAAATGTAAAAACCTAAGATAGCTTCTTAAGGACGAGTGGACTACAACAGTGTGCTTAAAGCCAGATATAAACTAAGATAGGTCACAGCCTATTAGCAGAATAGTACATATATTGACATCGTAAATCTAATCGTGAGAAAAAATTCTTATCTTATATAAAAACTGGTTGTGATTTAACCTTTTCAGTATATCGTTTAACGGACATGATTTCATATATTTATCAGCTGAAAAATGGTCATGAAATAAAGATAATGAAATTAAATTAAACGTTTCTCAGTTGCATGAAATATAGCTATATTACTAATGACTTATTAATGAAAAGATTCATTAATTGAAAAAAACTTATTCCTCAAGATATCATAATTATGAGCTATTTTTCAAAAGAAGAAAAAATTAGGACCTCTTTATTACTTATTCATTCATATTTGTCCTATTTATTTGCTCAAACTTACGAGAGATAAGCCTGGTAGGAGATATTTCCAACATATAACAAACCAGATAGAAACTCTTTGTCCCGTCATAAGTTCTATAACATCTGCAAACTTTTCTGCCCCTAAAATAAAAACAAGAGTAAGTCACGGTGTTACAGCTCGTCTGTAAAGGGCAACAACAAATTATGACAAAAGTTTTAAAGTCGCTGTCAGAATTATGCCCCTTGTCCAACAGTTGCACTCTGTTATGATAAGCAAATATTCCAAGTTTTATGTCGATAATTTTTATATGTTCATACAAATGGCTTCATTTAAGCGTTTGCACGACAACGACGGCACAGCGATCATAATTGTTCGACTTATTCTTAGAAAAATCTAATCAAGTTATCATTGTAAATTAAAGTAGTCATTGTTTATATTCTTACCAGTTACTAAGTTTCGTTTTCTTTATCAAAATAATTTGTCTTAACATTTTTATATTTAGTTATAAATATGATTTAGTCTAGTTTAAACATATTTATTCCCAGAAGTAAACATATATATTAACATTCACGCAATCAACAAATTTGTTACATAATGGAAAAGGATGAGAATAAAACATATGAATTCATTGCCCGTTACTACTTGGGTTCGGATCCCGCCAGGAAATTCTGGTTCTTTCATGTTAATGAGCTAATTTACGGAAGGACGGTGATTCTACTCCATGTAGACTTTATGTGTAAGATTGCAGATTTTGCCCCTCATTCCTACTATAAAAGTTTACTAGACACGGAAAGTGTCGAAATATTCCGAATTTTCAAGACCGTGAGTTTGATTATATCATACCGAACACCCATCCGATGACAACAGCTTCAAACATACACACCCAGAGTAAAACAAGACCGCTTGCACTATAGTAGTCGAACAACTGAAATATGTACATTCCACCCTGAAATAGTAAAATTAAAAAGTTCAAACCACTCGAAATATCACTCGAACAAATGAAAAACAAACATTCCATTCTGAAACAGTAAGCCTATAAAGGTTTACATTTTCAGATCACTCGAAGAACTAAAACAGAAATGAGTATATTATTATTCTCAAGCAACTAAAAATGCATACCACCTGTAAAAGCAAGATACAATCGACCCGAACAACATACATACGTACATTTCAGCCCTAAAATAGTAAGGCGTAATCTGATGTTCAAGTCACGTGAAAACCTGAAATATGTAGAGGCGGTCCTGAAAGATCATTTGATTATTGATGGATAACGTAGTGTACCGGCCTGAAATAGAATGTGTAATAGAAAGTTAAGATCACTCGAACAAATAAAGTCTGATTTTGTACAATTTTCTGCATAGAATATCATGAAATATAAAACAAACATTTTATGTATCGTGGTATGTTAACTAACATTGGTTTTATTTAGGAGTGCGAACAAAATGTTAAGTTGGATTCTTGTTATGTTACATGGCGATTCATATTTTTATGGAAAAAAAACACTCTGTTTAATGTAAAATGTATTAAACTGTAGGATATGAATATTATTTTGTTAAACTATTAAAAAGATTTAATTTCACTTTATTCAAATATCTTTCATTCCATTAGCTAAGAAAAATGTTCAAAATGTTTTATGTTAAAGGCCCATTATGCCTAAGAAATGCTATCATCTTTATTCCCCAAAATCTTTTTGGTATAATGTTACAATGTCCAAAGCAAATACTCAATTGCCGCATAGATGAACCCCATCTTTTACTTCTTTTGCTCTGTGTGAAATAGATATAATCATAGTGAAAAGGTATTTTGTATGGTAGTCAAAATACTATTTTTTTTTACAATTTGCTACCGTTACCACATATTACTGCACATTCAGCGCTATTTTCTTCAGTTGTTAAACATTTAATATGCTCTAAATCAATTATTAAGATATAAATAAACACATGTTTGACATTTCAAAAAATAACAAATGCGGATTTCTGAGACATATTGTGCCCTTATATCTAAAACATAAACATCTCTTTCTTTCGGGTAATGGACAAAAAGTATCAAACTAAAATAAAATTCCCATATTAAGTCTACCCATTGGCTGAAGAAATTATTACAAAATAGACCTCACTATTAGAAATGACATAAAATATGTAAATAATATTTTCTTTTCCTTAGCAGTCAATTTAAACATATCACTTAAAAGCAAAACTGTTTTCATCTTGAATGCAATATTTCCGGATTACCAGAAATCTTGCTTTATCCTTGCTCAAGCCAGTTTGAGATTCTTTTTCCATGCATATTTTATCCAATAAAAAATCATTCAATAACCACCGTGTATATCCAGTATCGCAGGAATGTGCAAATAACGCAGGAATTGTGCAAAAGTAACGCAGAATTGTGCAGTTTAGTGACTAAAACGAGCACCGCGATAAGTAAATGGTCCAATATTTGTTATTGTACGCCGAATTGGAATAAATGAGTTTGTGAATACGGTTGCTGAGACATTATACTTTAAACCACATCAAAAATATTTCCATGAAAATGTTTATTGTTCTTGATCATTCGTAAAAGGCCGGCCTGACTAGCGTATTGATGACGATTTTTAGTTTCGTTGATATCTTTAAATACAATAATGTACGTATTGCTTTATGGTTTTTCATATTACTAATATAACACGAGTAGATTGGAAAATGTCTCAGGTACACCGAATATGAACAAGGTTAGTGGGGTGTACTGAAAGGTCTTGTCCCAAGGGTTGTTGTGGCCAAGTATAAAGACAATACACCAAGAAATAAAAAAGTTATGATCCAGGTACAAGTTTGCGGACGGCAACGCCGCCGCGACTATAACAATACCTCTACTTTTGTTTCCAAAAAAAAAAGTCGAGCTAAAAATCATAAAGTAATGCGTACGTTATTGTATTTAATGATATCAACGAAAGGACTTCCGTTAATGGAAGTTTAGGCGTCATTTACCCCTTGGTTTTGGATTGTGACTTCCAAAATCTAGTACTTTTTCTTCTTTACCTATATAATGTGACTTCCAAAATAAGAGATTGTGCAGTCTCTGACTTCCACATTTTGGAACTTAATGGAAGCCCTCCCCAGATAAAACGTAATTGAGACCATTTTTACGAGGTAACGCCTAATTCGTGAATGAAGCAACGGCGGTTATCTCATTAAAAGTAGCTAAATCCTATTTTACCAGCTTCCTTCATATTGTTATACGACACTTATATGTTGATAAATGTCTTAGGTATACATAATATGAAAATTCATAGTTTTAAATGTGTTAAATGTACATATCTATTTGACGAAACAAGAAAGACACCTTCAAAACGGTAATCCTGTTGTCTTTCTCACGAATTATTTAAAAAAGTAAACATATTCCAAATAAAAAATGTAATGCTGGTTAAAGTATAATGTTGCAGCTGCCGTATGCGCTAATTTACTTCTTAAACTTTGATTTAGAATAAAATATTGTGGTTCGTTTACTTAATGTATTATTCGTTTAGTCAATAGCGTTGCACAGGTTCGGGGTTACTTTTCCGTTAATTGCACATTCCTGTGTTACTAGATATGGGTGATAACGATAAATAATTCTTTCGATCAGCATTTTTCCCAATAGTGCTGTTTGACTTTACAGTAACATTCATAACGGCGTCAGCATGATGTTATTCACCGCATGCATCAAATCTTACACCAACCCCACCCAGAAGTTTAAGATGACATTTTTAAGCACCAGTGTAAAATGCAGTTTAGTATGAACGAAAATTTTGATTACATCATCAAATCCACATTTCTAGATTAAATGCAATATTGTTAACAAACTTATTGCCATCAGTACAGATAAGAGAATAATTTACCACTTTTCCGAGCTAAAGACAATATTACTTCAATTTGCATTTTATTACAATCTCTTCTGGCTAGAGACAATATTGTGTACAACTTTAATGCCATCTTTACAGATAAAAGAATAATATTCACATCTTAATTACTATCTTTCCTGACTAAAGTCAATATTATTTATATCCTATTTACCATCATTCCGGGCTAGAGACAACACTACTTACATCCCCTAATTGTATCATAGTTTGGGGACCTTTCTGTTGAAAAAGTGTCAGAGTTAAATCGTATACATATACATGCACAGTGCGGTAACTAGAGTGCAGGTATCAGTTACCCGCACTCCAGATAATGCCCGTTGATTGGTTCATTTTTGCTGGGGTTTACATATTGTGACGGCAGAGAAAGGGAAAGGGGCAGAAATATCATATTCAAATGCTCGTTCATTGGTTATTTTTTTCTGGGGTTTCATATTATGACAACAGGGAACTTGCTGTCATGTTTGACTATGATACAAAAGAGAAAGAACACCAAAACACTCGGCAATCTGATTAATACTCGAGGGCTACGCCCCCTCGTACAAATCAGATAGCCTCGTGTTTCGGTGCTCTTTCTATTACTTGTATCATAGTTTGGGGACCTTTCTGTTGAAAAAGTGTCAGAGTTAAATCGTATACATATACATGCACAGTGCGGTAACTGGAGTGCAGGTATCAGTTACCCGCACTCCAGATAAAGCCCGTTGATTGGTTCATTATTGCTGGGGTTTACTTATTGTGACGGCAGAGAAAGGGAAAGGGGCAGAAATATCATATTCAAATGCTTGTTCATTGGTTCATTTTTTCTGGGGTTTCGTATTATGACAACAGGGAACGTGCTGCCATGTTTGACTATGATACAAAAGAAAAAGAACACCAAAACACTCGGCAATCTGATTTATACTCGGGGGCTACGCCCCCTCGTACAAATCAGATAGCCTCGTGTTTCGGTGCTCTTTCTATTACTTACCATCTTTCCAGGTTAGACGAAATATTATTTACATCCTAATTACCATCTTTCCAGGCTAGACGAAATATTATTTACATTCTTATTGTATCATAGTTTGGAGACCTTTCTGTTGAAAATGTGTCAGGGTTAAATCGTATACATATACATGCACAGTGCGTTAACTGGAGTGCGGGTATTAGTTACCCGCACTCCAGAACATGCCCATTGATTGGCTCATTTTTGCTGGGGTTTACATATTGTGACGGCAGAGAAAGGGAAAGCGACAGAAATGTCATATTCAGATGTTCGTTCATTGGTTCATTTTTGCCGGGGTTTCATATTGTGACAACAGGGAACGTGCTTTTATGTTTGACTATGATACAAAAGAGAAAGAACACCAAAACACTCGGTAATCTGATTAATACTCGGGGGCTAGGCCCCCTCGTACAAATCAGATAGCCTCGTGTTTCGGTGCTCTTTCTATTACTTAACATATATCCAGGCTAAAGACAATATGATACATTCTATTTACCATCTTTCCAGGCTAAGACAATATTTTTACATCATTTTTACCATCTTTCTGTTCTGGGCTACAGAAAATATCATTAGACCATTATTGCTATCTTTCTATCCATAAGGCAATATTATAACCATTTTTCAGGATAACCGACAATATAGTTATCATTTATGTTGCTATATTTCGAAATAAATTACAAGAAAAAAGAGAATTAATACGACATACCTCTGTTACCATACAAAGACCAATCAAAAATGATACGAAACAGTATACGGCAGACACAAACATCCTCTTGTAATTGGAACCGTACAACAGGTGTGGAAACATGTCATATACCGGGGTAAGAAATCCTTCGGCACCCACAAACTGAAAAGAAAAGATACTCAATCTTAATATAACTTGAAATACATGAAACAAGTGAGTGCAAAAAGTGCATGCTATGTTCCTGCATAATGAGCGAAATAGTTTTTTCTGTACTAAATGTGAAAAAACTCTTGTGTTGTAAGTGACAAGTATTCAGAATTTGGCAAAAAAGACAGAAATGTAAGTCATAGCATGAATCAGACATTGCAGAAGTTTGTTGGCATCAGGGATTATATTCAAGCTTAAAGCTATGGAGGGCGTTCGTTGCCAAAATTCCAGACATGTAAAGTGTTCCTTTTTAAAATGACTTTTGAAAATGCAAACTTGTATGCCTACCATTTTTTATTGTACCCGTGCATAGCACATGATATGTCTCTTAATTCAATCTTTTAATTGAAGGTTCCCGCCTTTATATAACAAGTTTACATATAGATCGTAACAACTGACCTAACATCTAAAACGACAACAAATTTACAAGTTCGTATCTTCCATTGCATGCAATACATATGCATGTTTGCACACTTATAGATATGAAATATACAAATGAAATGTAAATCTTAAATACAGAAAATAGAGTTTAAGAAAACGTGTTACCAGTTGTAGAACTACAAGAGTACTTTAACACAGTAACATGTTTAAAATGACAAAAGTAGATTCACAAAGTTAAACGATTTTAAGTCAAGCATAACGCCCCGCCCCTCTCGGAGTATTTACGAACTTTATTGCGGACAGGTATAAAACGGCGCCTCTCCCATATTTCTAAATAAAACCGAAGGACAACATACCGCATTTTTCATAACATATATTTGTTTCATTTGTTACAAAAGTTTTGTCACTAGCAACATCACTTGAAAATTGCTGGTTTTACCATTTATGATGAAGATAACTTATGCATAAACTTATTATTTAACATCGTGTTTTCCTGAGAAACATCGGCGATTTGGAAATTTTTAGGGCAAACAATGACCAACTTCAAGGGAGTAAATATATTGATAATCTAAAGACCATCCAATATTTTTATTGGTATCATTGAAAAATGTATTGGCACAAATTTCATTTTCAACAAAAACTATTTGCAAAAATAGGATTTTAAGGCGGCCACCGAGATTTCCTTTCCGAAATCATGAAAATACTTATCCGTAGCACATATGTACAATCTTTAATATGGTATTTTCAGTATAAATAAAAACATTTTGCACTTGTTCATTATCCCTCATGTACAGACTCAATCAAACCGAGTCTGCATTTCTTATGTAATTTTGTTGTGATTTATGCTTCCGAGGGATCACTTTGTTTCAAGATTTTTATACTTCACAACAGCAGGTGTCAAGTGCCGTGTAGCAGCTGTAAAAAGTTGCCCCGTACTCCACTTCAGTGGTGTTATATTTTTCAGGTCCTTCGGGATCATTGATGCCAGCGCTATTAAGTGTTGAGAATTGAGTACCGCTCAAGTCGGTGCTAGGGGGCGTGAGGGAAGTTGCACTTGTTCATTTTCCCTCATGTACAGACTCAATAAAACCGAGTCTGCAATTCCTTTGAATTCCTAATCAGTTACAAGTTATTTATCATTTAGTGAATAACCTGTCCGTGCTCTGTCTTTGCCCTGTCCTGTTTTTGTTTGGAGTCCGCCTGGGCTCCTTGCCACTGGTTCTTGTTGCTGGGTCATATGGGGGTTGCGTTCATTGAACGCCGCCTTTCCTTGTTAATCTTGTTTATCATATTTTATGTAATTTTGTTGTGATTAATGCTTCCGAGGGATCACTTTGTTTCAAGATTTTTAATATACTTGTCCAAAGCTTATGGTCTTAACTTTCATTCAATATTCATTTTCTTTTTTGAATAAAGTATCTAAAGGAAGCGACGTCTTGCCAAATATATGTGTGTGGTTTTAAGAGAGAAAAAATAAACAACGATAAGTTCGAAACAAAATTTTAAATACGTAATTAGTTTTCATTTTTAAGGCATCACTAGAAAGTCCATGAAGGATTCTTTTACTTGAGTCTAAATTTATCAAAATTGACCAAGAAAAAAAAGTAAGTAGGGGGCGCCATGTTTCTCTTACTGAATTTCAGAGTGTGTTTTGTTTTCTTACTTGGGGACCATATGCCGTTTTTCATGGAATGGCACTTACGTGTCACATTGAAGGTTCCATGATAATCACCATATTGACACATATGCGGAAGTTTCAAAATTGTACCAGTTCATATTAAATGTTGAATTTTGCTTGAGACGGTGCTAAGGGGCGTGGACGGTAACTTGCACTTTCCATTACCGTCCATGAACAGGCTCAATCAAACCGAGCCTGCAACATTCTCAATTTTGTCGTTTTGAGTGTTCTTTAGGGATTCTTATTTTCTCTATTTTACAGAAAGTAACATGATAAACTTTAAAACGAAAAAATTAATTCATTTTGATTTAATTCAGTTTTATTTTTAGGCATTATATAATTATATATTATAAATCGTATGAAGCACACTTTAATTTCAATCCAAAATTATCAAAATTGATTACAAAATAAAAAAGTTTGGAGGGAACGCCGTGTTTTTCTTACTAATTCGAGAGTGTTATTTTCAGAGGAAAAAATGATCAATTTTGAAACAAAAATTTCAATACATCTATTTAATTTATTTTTATTTTTGAGGCACTCATACAAAACTTATGGAGTAATCTTTCATTTGATACAAAAAAATATTTGACTTTTTATAGAAATAAAAAAAAAGTTAGAATGGACGCCGTGTTTTCCTTCACATTATTGAGAAATAGGAGAGAGGCGACGGGTATTATACCTGTCCGTACATTTCGTAATAGAAGATCGTAAGTACTCAGAGAGGGGCGGGGCGTCATGCATGACTTAAAATCGTTTAACTTTGTAAATCTACTTTTGTCATTTTAAACGTGTTACTGTGTAAACGTACTACTGTTGTAGTTCTACGACTGGAAACACGTTTTATTAAATTCTATTTTCTGTATTCGAGTGTTACATTTCATTTGTATTTTTCAGGTACAGATAGATGCAAACATGCTTATGTATTATATGCAATGGAATATACGAACTGGTAAATTTGTTGTTGTTCTCCATGTTATGTCAGTTGTTGAGATTAACATGTAAACTTGTTATTTAAAAGCGGGTGCCTTCAATTAAAAGATTGGATTAAGAGGCATATCATTTGTTGTGCAGGAATACATTAAAAAATGCTAGACATACACGTTCGCATTTTCAAAAGTAGTTTTCAAAAGGAACACATTACATGACTGGAATTTTGGCATCGATCGCCCTCCATATAAAGCAGCATGCCTCCAGATATATGAGTATTTTCATGAACATTTTTAAAATGTATTACAAAACGTAAAAGAGTGTCAAGTGAACAAAGAAAGTAATTTACACAATGCATCTATGGAAAATATCAAATAAAGGCCAGAATATACAAAAATAACCCTTAATGCGTTAGTCACACAGTAGAAATCTGGCCCCGTGTTCACAAAGATTTAAGGATCAGGATCAAGATCAGGATCAAATTGAAAAACTCTAATATTCTTCATTTTTTATCCTCATAGATTAAATATCTAATATTAATTTGATAAAACTGGACTTGAAAAAGCAAATCAATGAAATTTAAGAATAAATTTATTGTAATTTTTACAAGTATATACGGTCATTTTACAGTTGATCCAAATATTGATCCTGATCTTAAAATTGATCCTTATTTTGTTCCAAACATTTTTGTATTTGTTTTGTTATTTGTTAATTTTATCCCAAAATGGTTTGATCTCTTTTCAAATCAGCAAAGTTTTACATTTTGAATATTTACTAACTAATTCTAGCAAAACACAATGAATTTTAGTAACATAAAACAATGAAAATAAAATCAGGCTCACTTGATCCTGATTGTGAACACGGGGCATGGTGTTAATACTGCTAAATCATGTAAAATCAGTCATTAAATGCATATAACATGTAAATTATTTCTAGAGTTGCGAATATTTCCACTAATCTTAAAATCGTAGTACATTTTTCTCAAGGTTAATTTTTTGAAATATTTTGGCGCACATGGAGGCATGCAGCTTTAGATAGTTACTGTCAAATCACTTACACATTTCAAACGAAACAAAAAAACATTGAATATTTCTGGTATTTAGGTAACGTTTTTTCAAGACAGAACATTTAATTGACTTTGCTACTTATTGTCAGACAAGCCTATGATTGACGTGAACGTATTTTCAAGATTTCACAAGTAAGGGAAATAACTCGACTATTTCAGTAGGCGAAGAGTTTAGTCCTCTTACCTGACTGTCAATGCCTACAAATAGAATCATCAGAAAGAACATGACTGCCCACACCGGTGACGCTGGCATCTGGGTTACAGCTTTCGGATAAGTTATAAACACCAAACCGGGACCTGAAATTAAAAAAAATGTAAAAATGAGTAAAACAAATAAATCATGTATTTATTATTTTATATAAGAAATATCTATTAAGGCCTGTGAGTCTTAATAAAAGTTGTAATATTTCGTTTGCGTATGATAAATTAATCATGGTAATAATCATGGTCTTTGTTATCCTCCTAAACAAAAAACACGTATCAGATAAACTGTGTGATTTGTAATCTTTTCACCATACTTCCTAAACCAAAGCAAAGTGTGTAAAATATCTTATTTTTTTATTTATTTTTTTTTTACTTTACAATAGTTTCATCTTTTGTTGGCAAACTTTCATTGCGCTCGAGCATTTGTGTCTATCTGTATAAATAGTTCAAACTGGGTAAAGATAAGATATAGCGTGCACAGTTTACTGCGTGTCAAATATATGAGGATTTACATTCCTGTCCATTTTCAAGCAAATGATTTTGGAGTTTGAAAATTATTGTTTGTTTATTGTTGTTTATGAAGTGGATTGAGGGTGATGTTGTTTCTTCACAGTTAGAGGTGTGGTGATGTTTTATTCACTGATGAAGATGTGGTAATGTTTATCTTCACTGATGAAGATGTGGTGATGTTTATCTTCACTGATGAAGATGTGGTGATGTTTATCGTCACTGATGAGGATGTGGTGATGTCATGCTTCATTGATGAGGATGTGGTGATGTGTTTCTTTACTGATAGGAATGTGGTGATTTATTATTCTTTGACGGGGTGTGGTAATGTTTTTATTCTTTGACGGGGTGTTGTAATGTTTTATTCTTTGACAGGGTGTGGTAATGTTTTTATTCTTTGACGGGGTGTGGTAATGTTTTTATTCTTTGGCGGGGTGTGGTAATGTTTTTCTTCACTAATTAGTCTGAGGGAGGAATCAACAGTCAACAATACCTGATTGAGCAACTTCCGCCACTGTAACATTCTGTTCATTGGCCATGAAGCCGAGGACCGAGAACACAGCCACGCCCCCGTACAGGCTAGTCATACTGTTGATACTGCATATAATGAAGCATTGCCTGAAAGTTGGGAAAAGGTATAACTTTGCAATGATATAAAGCGTTCAGATGAAATTCTTGAGAATATGATAATGTCAAGGTCAAGATACACTGTCCGTTATCTGCGGAATTACCATTAATGTGGTTGGAACTTCGAGAAGAAAAAAACAGCTTTTATTTACGTTATTTGAAAATAAATAAGTGCACCTACTTGTAGATATTGTTGTTAAACTTGTTATAACTTCCGAGTGTAATCATAGCACCAATAGCAACAGCATACGAGAAAAATATCTGCGTTCCACCATCCACCCACACCTGTCAAATTATTGTATGTTATATGTTTCAGTTATTTACAATTGATTGGTTATAAAATAAGTACAGACGTAAGCAAAATGTACAGTGTACGTGTTCTATATTTAAACAGATTTAATATATAGCATTTTAACACTGTGAAAGAAAAGTTTACACATTTAAAGTAATGACGTGTTTGACTGGGAATAATGATTTATACACTGGTACAAGTTGCCTCCCTTTCTTTGGCTATCGGCAGTAGGAGTTGGTTGGGAACAATTTCCTACTTTTGGCATCAAAATTCACTGAATGGGTCAATACTTGAGATCTTTAAAAGATAAAGTCTCACAACTCTGGCTTCTAATTCTAAATTTCCTCTAAGGACATGACTGTTGACATTCCAGAGGGCAACACGCCACACTCGTTGTGATGGAATCGGATATACTTTTAAGAACCAAATTAGGCGTCATTTATAAAGATATTATTAGATACTTTTAGACTTTGTACATACCTGCGGATCGCCGAGTCTGGAAAAGTCCGGTTTTAGGTAGAACTTTAGTCCCTCCCCTGCACCCTCCAAAGTCACGCCCCTCAAGAGTAGAATTGTGAGAATGACATAAGGAAATATCGCAGTGAAGTAAACAATCTATAATCATATACATGAGAATGTCGCATTGATGTTGAAGATAATTATACTATGCTTAAATTTGATGTTAGAAAATATTGAAAACTGCTACACAGTATCTTTGTTAATATAAAATAAACATCACACAAAGTAGACATGTTATGTTAAAAATTCTACACACTATAGGTGGTCACAATATGAATATATAGTGTCATTAAAAACTGGCATTTTTTTAAAGAAAGAACTGACTTTGCTTGTCCGATAATGGTGAAGGCAGCTTCCTAAACATAGTTTGTTCATTCGACAATTTCAGTATGAATTTCATGGATTTCAGTAAATTTCTGCGATTAGGATATTTAACTCAAGAATGAGCATAGTATATATTTAACTAATGATAAATGGGGGTTATAGCAATGTATTGAACAAATCATTATTGAGAATATGTCACTTATAAGTTCACTGACATTAAAGTTTACGAAGGAATATAACATTGAAGTTAACTATCGATAACAATTCACGAGGAATATCGCAACGAGATGAATGAAGTTAATTATCGATAACGACTCATAGGGAATATCACATTGAAGTTAACTATCGATAACGATTAATGGAGATTATCGCAGTGAATTTAATTATCGATAAAGATTCACGGAGAATATTGCATTGACGTTAGATATCGATAGCGATTCATAGGGAATGTCGCATTGCTATTAACAATCGATAACGATTTATGGGAAACATCGCATATAAGTTACTTTTCGATAACGATTTATGGGAAATATCGCAGTGAAGTTAATTATCAATAACGATTCATAGGGAATATTGCAGTGAAGTTAAGTATTGATAACGATTCATAGGGAATATTGCAGTGAAATTAATTATCGATAACGATTCGTATTGAGAGCGATTCATGGGGACTATTGCAGTGAAGTTAATTATCGATAACGATTCATAGGGAATACCGCAATGAAGTTAACTATCGTTATCGTTCCATGGGATATGTAACAATGTGTTGAACTATCAAAAATGATAATGATGATTCGAAATATTTCAGTGAATATCGTAGTCAAGTTGAACGTATCAATCTTTTAAAACATCGAAGCCGATTTAGATTTTATTTATTTTGAATTAGCATGGACATTTTGTACCTTTCCACTCCATCGAACACCCCTCCATACACAGAAATAAATGAGTATCCAAACGAAGAGCAGGGAAACAGCAAGTTCCCAAACAATAGTTCCCGGCTTATCTATGCCCTCTGAGATGTGTAACACTTTTCTTCTGTAAATGCATATTAAAACATTTAAAATTTCATTAAAAATTGATGATGTAAATGTGAAAAGTTCCTGCAAATAAAGATTGTTGACTATGAAAAGTAACTTAAAATGCAGAGTGACTGTTTTAATGAAATAAAAACAAATTTTCCTGGTACGAAGTTTTGAGACTTTGAGAAACCTTGACATTGGACTTAGCAGCCTTTGGGGTCAAACGCACTTTGGGGTTAGACCCCAAAGTGCGTTACAATTCGCATCGCACTTTGGGGTCCAACGCACTTTGGGGTCAAAATCGAGAAATTGACCCCAAAGTGGGTAAATATGCTACATATTAACGCACTTTGGGTTCCAGAGTTCTGGAGGTGTCAACTGAGTTCCGCTTAAATATTGCGTACTGACTTATTTTTGATCTGCGGACCCCAAAGTACGTAACGCACTTTGGGGTTGGACCCTAAAGTGCGTTTGACACCAAAGTGCGGTGTTACAAAGCCGCACTTTACAATTATTTTTACTGAAGGAAAATCCACTTTAGCTCAAGGTTTAGATTAGTACTTACTCCCAAAACTCTATAACAGAGTCCACTGTTTTCCCAGATGAATTCAATGCTAAAGGTATATTTGATGTTAATGATTGATTTTTCCATATTCTGCTTCGATTAGAGCTGCCATCAAAACATCTGGAATCAAAAGAGGTGGAATATGTCCTTCAAAATTTACAGAGAAAACGATTTATCAATAATAATGATAAAACTGATATTATTGATGATGATGTTGTAGTTAATGATGATGATGATAATGATGATGATGATGATAATGATGCTGATGATGATGATGATGATGATGATGATGATGATGATAATAATGATGATGATAATGATGATGATACGACGACAACAATTGTTATGATGATGATGATGATCATCATCATCATGTTGTTGTTGTTGTTGTTGCTGTTGTTGCTGCTGTTGTTGTTGTTGTTGTTGTTGTTGATAATGATGATGATAGTAATGGTGATAATGATGATTACGACTGTTGTTGTTGTTGTTATTGTTGTTGTTGATGATGATGATGATGATGATATTGATGAAGTTGATGCTGAGGAGGTGGAGAAGGAGGAGGATGGTGGTAGTGGTGGTGATGCGAAGGGTGCAAAATTGTATTTCTGTAAATTTCATAACCAAATAATTTTTACGAAAGATAAGAACATTTTTTATTTTTATATAGATCTAAAAGCACATTTGATGACACATTTATAATTGAAGAATTAGCAAATTATCAAGAACATAAGTATAACACTTTACCTTTCGGAATTCCATTCATTGTCACAAGTCGCCCACGGAAGTGACGTAGTAAATGACATATACAGGTAATAAACGCTCCAAGATAAGATGATGATGTAATATAGATTCAAACAAAATACAATGATGATGGAACCAATTGCAATTCCTGTGGAAAAAAGAATTAAAGATTAAACAAATTATATAGATAACATTATGAGACCGGGGTAAAATACATACATGCATATATTTATATAGAAAATCAAATAAAACTTTTTGTTGTTGTTGGTGTATAGAATCTAAATCTAATTTAAAAAATCTGCCGTTCCTTTAAAATTTAAATTGAGTCCAAATTCATAATCTCACCTTGAAATCCTGGTACGATCTTTCCCCAAGCTTTTATGCTACCAAGACTCATGTACTGGCCAAGGGAAAGTTCCAGTAGAAAAACCGGGACACCACACGTAACCAACAATACAAAATACGGGATAAGGAATGCCCCTGAAATAAAAGGCAAACTCAAACTGTCAAATATTAGATGAAATAGTGTAAAAGCGTTTTATTTTTATATCCTTTAAAGCTTAATAAATATCTCACAACAAGAAACATGGCAATGCCATGAAACCAGGTTTTCAATTATCACCATTGTAGATAAATATGTTGTATTTGAAATACAAATACAAGCAACAAACAATGTAACTATGTACAATGTAAAACATGAATAATGTAGGAGAAATTGCCACTGAAGAAGTGTTCACTATATATTCTGTATAAGGAAAAAAAACAAAGGGCCATAATTAGGTCAAAAATTATCCAATCACAAAACCCCGACAATATGTGCCAGGGCACTTGATGACAAAGCTTCTGTGAAAGTTTAAAAAAAAATCCGTTGAGAAATGTAGGACGAGTTCAGCACAGAAGAATTTGTTCACTACATATTGATAATTCTGTATAAGGAAAAAAAACAAAGCGCCATAATTAGGTCAAATATTATCCAATCACAAAACCCCGACAATATGCGCCAGGGCACTTGATGGCAAAGCTTCTGTGAAAGTTTGGTCAAAATCCGTTGAGAAATGTAGGAGAAGTTGCGCACGATAGAAATTGTTCACTATATATTCTGTATAAGGAAAAAAAACAAAAGGCCATAATTAGGTCAAATATTATCCAATCACAAAACCCTGACAATATGCGCCAGGGCACTTGATGACAAAGCTTCTGTGATAGTTTGGTCAAAATCCGGTGAGAAATGTAGGAGGAGTTCAGCACAGAAGAAATTGTTCACTATATATTCTATATAAGGAAAAAAAAACAAAGGGCCATAATTAGGTCAAATATTATCCAATCCCAAAACCCCGACAATATGCCCCAGGGCACTTGATGACAAAGCTTCTGTGAAAGTTTGGTCAAAATCCGTTGAGAAATGTAGGAGGAGTTGCGCACAGAAGAAATTGTTAACTATATATTCTATATAAGGGAAAAAAACAAAGGGTCATAATTAGGTCAAATATTATCCAATCGCAAAACCCCGACAATATGCGCCAGGGCACTTGATGACAAAGCTTCTGTGAAAGTTTGGTCAAAATCCGTTGAGAAATGTAGGAGTTGCGCACAGAAGAAATTGTTAACGGCCGCCCGCCCGTCCGCCCGCCCGCTGACATACCTCAATCTAATAACCAGTTTTTTCCTTCGAAAAACCTGGTTAAAAATGTTTCGAAGAGTGATAACTAGTACTTATATTGAAAAGGAGCTGGTTATCGCCCATACACTCTTGCTAAATAAAACTTGGTAAAACTGTGCTCGGTCTACATACAAATATCATTTTCAATTCTCGTGAACAATGATATTTCCAAATAAAATCAGTTTACATTTAATCTGCATTAAATTATTCACTTTCGTCATTTTCAAATATAAAAGATAATGTAGATTCAAATCATTAAAGAGTTTCGAGTCCAAAACATCCATATCAAATCCATATTGTACTGTATCTACCTTTGTTTACAATTTTTAAGTAAGAAAAAATACATATCATATCCATATTACACACGATGTAAACATCATTATTAATGTACTACAAAAACGCTTTTTTTATTTTGAGCGTTATATTTTATTTATTGTGTTTTCCCCCCTAAAAAATTGTGGTGTAAAATAAAAAGTTCATTATAAATAGCTAAGTACAATACTGCTATATTTAACTCGTTTAGTATTATACTTAAATGTATAATAACCTCAAAATATTTCATTATTCAACACACTTCATGCTGTGCAACAATATTGTGACGAACATCTTTTTGAACCCAATCGCGAAACTTCGGAAATTTCCGTAATAAAGTAAGATTGTTTTGGCAGTAATTTATCTAACTGTGGCAGATTTTGATTATTTCTAAAACAATTTTATTTATCTTTTATTCATTAAAGTAATTTCTCTCTAAATTTCTTCTGTTACGGTAAAGCATTTCAAATTCACTTAAATTCATGACTTTTTATAGTGTAAAATTGGTCCTCCTAAATTTTTGGTCATTTCAAGATTAATGATTTAATGTTACGCTTTTATGGTTTTTCTTATTTATTGATAATGTTTTCTTAAGTAATTGTTTAATTTGAAACTACCCCTATTTCCTTTATTTTCTAGCATGAGATTTTTAGTGAGTTCACTTTTTGTTAGACTATATAAGAAAGATTTTGACCTTCTCAATTGCTTTTGCCTCAAGGACGCCAAGGTAGCTTATACCTAGTCAACGAGATAAGCCACAATTTTTACCAATGTAGGGTTATTTTGTTTGTTTCATTTTTGAATAAGAAATCTATTTTATTATATTTTCTCAGGAGTGTTTTCCATTTACTTAAATTAGAAACTTAAATAACTTAAATTAACTTTGCTTTCATATTAAACTGTAAATTATGACCAACGTATAGATTGTAGTAGATTTTTGTAATGTTATAAACGATATTTGAGAAATGTAAATTTAATAAAAGTCATCTAAATTGTGAATGATCTTTGTTTGATTGAAACCTTAGAGTTTATAGTTAACCCGGGTTTGCAAGGTTAGTAAACCTGCTACATTTTGGGGGCTCGTCCGTTTAAAAAACTAAATTCAAAATTGTCTTGGAAAATGACAACGCCACCACATTCTTGGTGGATACCTTTAGAAGATAAAAACAAAAAGGTTTCATTCAAGGAAAGTCATGTTACTTCGCCACTACACACAAGTTGTTTTGATAACAAAACAGTTATGTTCAATAAACCGAAACAAACTCTCATAAATGTTTCAACTCAAAGTGAACCTATTTCTTCCCTTCATGAACCTTCTTTCATATCTAAACATATAAAATTTGAAACTAGGAGCACAAATACACCGAGTAAAAGTGAATTTTCATTTTACAATGAAAATAATTCACATTTTCAAAGTACATCAAGACAATATGAAATACAAAATAAACGTAGGGGATCTTCTCAAAATTTTGACATACACAATAAAAGTAGAGGATCTTCTCAAAATTTTGATATACACAATAAAAGTCGGGAATCTTCTCAAAATTTTGATATACACAATAAAAGTAGGGGATCTTCTCAATATTTTGATGATCTTGCACCCCATGGAAAGAAACCTACTGAAAGGTATTTTCCACAAAGTTTAGAACATGATGATAATGAAAACATGCACAATCCAATACAGGGATCGTCTCAAACTGAGTATAACACACAGGGACATTCTCAAAGTGATCAGCATTTAATTTTCTCAAAACAAGCATCAAACAATGACAGTTTTCTTTATTCTCACGACACGGGGCCATCTCAAAATTATCAAATTAACTCTCATGCCAATGAGTTTTGTCAGAACCTAACAGGGTTATCTCAAAAGGTTCAAGATCAAAACTCTAGGCAAACACGTGGTACACATAGGCAGTCTTTTGATAAACGTTATAGTAATGAAGACTTTAATGACAGAGACAATTTCATAAATTTTCATCAGGGACCATCTCAAAATCATTATCCCAATCATGAAATAAATAATAGTCAGTGCTATGACTCACAAAATGATGTACTGCCACACAATGTAGATCAATATGTACATACATTAGCAGACAGAAGGCATTTGTCAATACCTGAACACAGTTCTGCTTCTACTTTAATGGCAAATAGTCATTTTGTTGATCATAGAAGGCATCCATTAATGACACCTACTATCAATAGTTCAACTCATTCACAGAATGGCATACATTCTTTTCATAGGCCAGAAAAGCAAGCCTTTAAGCCACAAATGCAAAACTTCAACAGTACATATAAACCTAGCTCTTTAGGATTAAAAACTGCATCTCAGTTGCCTCTAAGGCACAAAGCCAAAGAGCCTGATAAATTTGATGGGGAATCAATAGAATGGAGAGATTATATTGTTCACTTTGAAAAAGTAGCAATTTGGAATCAATGGGATGAAGTTGAAAAAGCCCAACAATTACTTATGAGCCTAAGGGGACCTGCTCAAAAGCTTCTTAGTGATCTTAACCCAAACTTATTGGATAATTATGAGTACATTTTGTCAGTTCTTAACCGTAGATTTAACCCCCCTGAACGTGAAACAGCATATCGCTGTGAATTCAGAAATCGTTAACACCTTAAGTCTGAAACAGCTTCTCAATATGGCTACGCTTTACAAAGATTAGCTGTGAAAGCTTTTCCAACAGTACAGCCTGAAACCAGAGAGATATACATCATTGATCAATTTATAAATGGTCTTTTAAGCTTGAAGTCAGAAGCCATGTACAATATAGACACCCAACAACAATTGACTCTGCAATATCATTCGCAATAGAATTTGAGGCCTTTGAAAGTTCTCAGGGAATCCTTAGAAAACCAAGATTTGAGCAAGAGCAGTCTACATTTTGCAATAACATTTCAAGTAAAAGTAAAGAAAATGTTACCTTAGAAGACATAGCATCCCTTCTCAAAGCTTTGAATGAAAATCTTTCTAAAGGCAATAGAAGCAGATCAAATAGCAGAGACAGATCAAACATTGAATGCTTTAAATGTCACGCAAAAGGTCACATTGCATCAAATTGTCCCACAGCTAGTAAGGAAAACTAATTGAGGCTGATCTTGAGCCCAAAAGTTCAGCCTGTGATAAAACAAAAGAAAAGGGGCAAGATAACATTATCTTAAACAGTGCAACAAGTAGAACGTGTTTATATTCTAAAATTATTATTAAAGATTATTGTTCAAAAGCATTGATAGATTCAGGTTCGGCTGTAAGCATAATTTCAAATAAGTTCGCAAAGAAAATAGGAATCTTAGATGAACACCTTCAAGCGGTTTCATGTACTTTAACTGCAGCAAATGGAAGTAATATCAAGGTGTCCGGTAAAATAAATTTGAATTTTGACATAGATAATGAATTGTTCTCCTATGACTTTCTTGTGGCTGACCTTGAAGATGACCTGCCCGCTTTGTTAGGACAAGATTTCCTTGAAGATTTTGATGAAAATTTGAAATTTGGTAAAGCTTG